AACATTGATGCATGCTTGCGATGCCAAAGGCCTCTAAAAGTGAGTTTTAAACTTTAACAGTTGAGATGTCTTCTCTATAAATGTGAAAAACCATCATATGTAGAGAATTTCTTATTTATCCTATGATGGAGCATGTGGTAGGTTATAAATATCGACAGTTAAAAATTTTCGTTTATTAAAGATTTGAGCAAAACTTTTAACTGTTAATATTTATTTTCCTTCGATCGATGCTCAATTAGGTTAATTGTATGAAAATAAATATTTAAACATTTAAATAATTTAAAATAAAAAATTCAAAATTTGATCGATTAAAATAAAATATCAAATATTTAAAATTTTGTTCGAAGATTTTTTTTATCCTTTAATCTTATAATAATTATGTAATCACATTCTTACCAGTCCAATAGCATTCATTCAGCCTAAGATCTCATCCTGGAATGAGGATTTTCTGAGAAGATTTTGGTTTTTATTATTTTCTTCTTGTACCCATAATCATGATTAAATAATAGAAGGTAACCTTCTCCAATCTTGAAAGTTTCACTCTTTTCCTATTTTAAATATTTGAAATCGAGATTTATTGGTTACAACTTAAATTTTATGTTGTTAAAAGCAATAGTTAAATAATCCAAATTAGTATTTTTTAAAAAAATCTTATTCTATTCAAACTATTTGAATAGACATTAAATTTTTCTTTATTTAGCATTGAAAAAGTTTATTCAAACTCTCAATTTCACATTAGAATACAGGCACATTACACATGAACAAAATTTGCTTTCGAAACAAGTCAAATTTTACTATCAACATCCAACATAAAATTATAGATAACAAATAATAACAATATTATCATACATTTAAAAATTTACGAAACCCTATTAAGTAATTAATGAGGTTTTGATTTAGTGATAAGGAAAAATTTTAGAATTTTAGAATTTTAAGTTTAAATTTCACTATGTGAATTTGGTTTTTTGATTAAATTATAATTTATTAATTGATTATTCAGTGATTCATTATATGAATGTAATATTTGATTATAAGTGTAATTTTAAAAAAATTTATTAAGCAATTTGAGATTTATTTTTCTTTATCACTTAAACTTATACATGAAAAAGTTTACTCTACACATTTAATTTATTTGTGGAACTTGAACCTTATAGAGTGGTTTATCCTTAAAAATAGACTTTCCATGCTTTAGATTATTCTTGCTTTATAAAACTTTCTATTCAAAATTTTCCAACATTATTGATGGTTTTTTTTTTGTTGCGTAGATAATGAAATTAAAGAAAATAAATACAAAGTATAATTAACATTAATTACCAACAAATAGTTGATTTAATCGATTAAAATTATTTTTTTCGATGGAGAGATTTTGAGTTTGAATTTTATTAGTGATCATTTGTTAGAATTATCTCGAATGCACGATATGTAATTATTTGTTTTAGACTATCAAATACAACATATTTTATCTTAATTTAAGAAACTGAACAATTTATCTATCTCAAATTATTTCTTACCAAAAAAAAATTAACATTAATTTGTTAATATTATTCATCTTTATTTTTATATTTGCAGTGGTTGGAAGAAACAAGGCAGAAGAAACATCGCGGGAAAAGTTGTGGGGCGGTCCGGTTGGGCCCACTCCAAATTGGGACAGCCGTTCGATTGTTTGAAAGTTTCCCTTGATGCTGTGGTCCCACGTTCTCCACTTCTCCTTCTTCTTATTCCAACGCCTTACAATCGCCAAATATCAAAGTCGGAACTCTAATCTTACACGTGTTCCATAGTCAACAGTCCAACCTTACTTTTCTTGAACATTTTATTTTTGCTGACAATTCTACCCCTTCAGGATTCAGTAAGCTTGGAAAATTTTGGTCCTTTTCACATTTTTATTTTTCTTGACCTTCCATATTTCCATATTGTCATTTATTAGTATTATACATTTAATTTTGAAATTTACAATTGACTTATTTTATGCGTAATTAAATGGTATTCCTTCCTTTCAAAATTGAAATTCAAAATTTTCAAACTGAAAGATTAATTAATTTTAATTTAAAAAAAATCAAAGATAGAAAGATTACTTTTATATCTTGATGATACGATGTTGTTGCATTCTACGTAAATCAGCATTCGAGATTAATTTTAATGATAAGTGACAAGAATAAAATTTACATAAAATTTTTTAAATTAAGTTTGTAACGTTTTTTTTTAAAAAATGATTCATCAAAATTTTAATAAAAAATTTAATCTAATAGATTGATATAGCTCAATATCAAAATCAATAATATATAAAAAAAATTATTAAAAGTTTTATTTATAATTTAAATTTAATCAGTATTTATTTAACAGTAAAAACTTATTAATATTTTTACTACAAATATCTATCTAAAAATATAAATTTATTGAATTTTTATTCAAAATTTATATACTTGATCTATGTAATAAATCTTTGTAATTTATTAATTTTGATTTTTGATTTTAATTTTGATTTAATTATTTTTAGTTGAAAACTTCACAAACTTTACCAAAAAAAACTTCATCTATATCTTTCCCTAAGTTACGATGTTATGTTAATCCAAAAGCATTTATTGTCGAGATTGAATGAATCCTAACCATTTGACTAACTTTAGTTGATGTTTGATTAATTATTTACTGTTATGAATTTATTTGTAGATAATCAAACACTTTAATTTGAAATTGAGATTAAAGGTTTACTTGATAAATTACAAAAAGGAAAGTGGTTATGAATTTTAACTATTGGATTAACAAATTTTTTATTATCACTTATTTTCATTTTTCATATTAAGCATAGCCTAAAATATTAACATATATCTTAATTTTTAATTATTTTTTATTTTTAATATACTATAAGTGATATGTATCACCTTATTATGCTAATTTCATTTATAGAATTTAAATTTTTCATTAACAGTAAATGAGATAATTTTCCTCCTTTTATATAATTTTATGCATAGTTATTAAAGTTTTAGAAACTTAAATTGACCCATTAAATTAAATGATACTAAGAATTTATGGGTTATTAAAGTTTTAGGAACTTGACCCCTTGGTTGGTAGAGTTGGGAAACTAGATTTTTTTTCTCATTCTTGTAATTTAGCACGATTGATTAGGTGAACATAATAGACAAAGAACATAAAGGGTGTGAAAATGTTGGTCCAGATATTTATAAATGCATATTACCCAAAGTCTAGTGTTGGCAAAAGCTAGCTTGGAAACGAAGGAATTTTCTTAACATTGCATTATTGCCCATTGATTCTAAGGATTCCAAAAATCCACATGTTCAAGATTTGGCTTTCAAATCTTACCTTATGTCTTCAAATCTATGAACAGGTTGAATTAATGAACAATTTCCCACACTTGCTATCATTTTCTTCTACACATTATAATAAAAATATTAATATTAATATTAATTATATAGTGTTCATTGAACTAGCCTAGAATTTTCTGTCGCTTTTACATATTACATGTATAGAACATTGACTTTGGCTTCCTTAAAGTTACCGATGTTTCAAACTCAATAAAATCTGATTAATGTAATTTGTGATAGACAAAATTTGGAAGAATGCCATCAACATTCAAAGCTTTAAGCAACAGTTTTTTTGTCTTTCTGAACCATTAAATTAAAGTGTTAGATTGAAAATCCCACTTCAACAACCAAGCCATTGAAGAAAATTAGATTATTGAACAAAGAAAAAAGGAAAAGACTTTGGGCAGTAAATGATGCATAGTAATCTTCTAAAGTGCAATTATATTATGGAAAGGATATTGTTTGTTTTATGTGTTTTTTATTTGAAAAAAGGTGAATCAAACTTTATTCTTTAAGTAGAAAATCACGCATCAATTAACTAAGCTAAATGCTTAATGTAGTTAGTTTCATGTTTTAATTATTTATTTTATTATTTTATATGATAATGATTTATGAATTTATATTTGATATATTGTTAATATATAAATTTTATATAATGTTAATACATCAAAAGAGGTTACCTTATTAATGAGAATTTTTTTAAAATTAAATTTTTATCTATTTATTTTAAGGGTTTGTAAAAATTTATGTTTCATCATTGATGATATGACATTATCTACTTTATTAAAAGCATATAAAATTTATACATTGACAGCACATCAAATATAAATTTATAAATTTATTAGTTTATCTTTAATATTTTTTTACATACATAAATTAATTCATCCACCCATAAACTCTATCTTATTAAATTTATGCAATAAATTATTATCACGTCAAGGTAAATTTGTTAAGACATAACTCATGAAATAATCAACATTATTATGATTAAAATAGTTAAGATTAAAAATGTTATTTTAAATTAAATTAAATAAAACTTACAGAGATATAATATATTTCCTTACTTTTACTCTAATAATAATAATATATATTATTAAATTGTTTTTTTGGCATGATTATAAATGTTTATTAGTCTAAAAAGAGTTCAAGTTAAAAACACCAACTCAATAGAAGTTTAAGAGCTAAATATCAAATTTATCTTTACAAAAGGAAAATTAAAGAGACAAATGCAAAGTAAAAATAGGGCTAGAAAGGCCTGAGCGGTTGTTGGCGTTTGAACAAGAGCCGCCACCGGCCCACCACAACATCTACGTGTAAGTTTACATGAAAATGTCAACAGTAATTATGTTTTTTCATAAGGGCATATTCATCATTTCAGTACATAAATTTTTAGAAACTGCATCAGGGAAGTCCTAAGCAGTTTCCCTTATAAAAGTGGTTTTATAAATAAATAAATAAATGAATAAATTATAGAATTGTTTTTTTTTTTTTTTTTTTTATAGCCAAGCAACCCAACACAACACTCCTAATATATATATATATATATATATATATATATATATATATATATATATATATATATAACCCACTTTATCTGAAAATTTTGGTTTATAAAAGAAAAAAAAAAGTCATATAATTCGATATATTTATATAAAGAGATAAAAGGGGTTTTGTCTTTTGTTTATGGGTATCCAATTCCATTCTTCTTTTTTATTGTTTTCTTTCTTTCTCTCTGACTGTCTCATTCTATCATTAAAAAACCTCTTCTTTTCTTTCAAACTATAACCGACTCTTTATTTTTTTTCAATCTCTCTTTCTTTCTTTTTTATGACTATTTTGATGATGGAGGTGGAAGAAATTATCTGCAAATGAAAAAAAGGAAGGTGATTTTGACATTAATGGTGAATTCAAGAGCTTTTTAAGTAGCAGACAAAGAAGAAGAAGAAGTGCAAGCTTAGCTAGCTTGTGTTGGGTTGGGGTTTTCGTTCTCATGGCTACCGGTAGAGGCAACATGCACTCCATCCAACTAGACCACCAGCAACATACTAATCAACATCATTATCAAAATCAGCAGCAACAACCACATCAGCACCAAATACAAGAGTATAATCAACATCATCAAAATCAGATTCCTTATGCAATGATGCAATCATCGTCATCATCTTCCATCCCTGGAAACTTCATGTAATTGTTTTTTTCTTTCTGCATCAAGCTAAGCTAGGTCTTACAACCCAAAACTTTTCTTTTTTCTTCATATAAATGTTAATTTTTTTGAAATTTTATTTCTGTAATTTGTTGTTTGCGGTAAGCAGAAGCAAAGACACTGGAGCTTATGATTTGGGTGAATTAGATCAAGCCCTTTTTCTCTATTTTGATGGACAAGACCCTTCCAGTATTCAAGACCAAAAACGTGAGTGTTCACTCCATCTCTAGCTCTCTCAAATTTTTTTTCACTGTTTGCTTCCAAGTCTATAGGGGTTTTCCTTCCTTCATAAGAAGATTCTTTCCGGACAGGGCCTGTTTTGGTCACAGGAAAAGCATGTTCATGAATTCAACAGATTTAATCTGGCAGTTCTTTCTTTTGACCAGATCCTTATAGAAAAAAATCTCTGAAAGAAAAAAAAAAAAGAACTGAAAGAAACAAAAAAAAAGAACTAAGATTTTCAAAGAAAAAAATCTGTTTTTATTTTATTTTATTTGTGTTATGAGTAGCTTTGGACCATGACATGTAACAAACAACTCTATGATCATGAATTCCTTGCAAAATTTCTTTACATGTACCGAAAAGAGTACGTGTAGAAGTATGGGTTTTCTTTGCCTTTTTTTTCCTTTTTTTTTTTTTTTTTTTTCTGTTTTGATGGAACAAAGCAACAAATTAATGCATGAAGATCGCTATCTTTTATTTCATATGTCATACTTCTCTTGCCTTTGTCTTCCTTCCCTTTCTTTTGGGTCCTGCTTTAATCAGTTTCACTCGTTTGCTCTCTTTCTTCTCTTTTTAATTTCATGCACTCGAAATTTTCTTGTAAAAGAATTTGAGTTAATGCTTGAGAGTATTAATATATATACATATGCAGATAACGCTGGAATGAGGCCTCCGACTCTGAACATTTTCCCTTCACAGCCTATGCACGTTGAGCCACCATCTTCAACAAAGGTAAAACTTATTATTTATATTGATATAGAGTTTTATATTAAGTACAATAATTTAAATACTAATTTTCTAAGTGGGTTTGTTTCGTATTTGGTAGACGAGTACAGGATTGGTTTCTCCAGCAAAAAGTGGTTCAAAGAGACCATCAGAGCCGTCCATAGAGTTGGCCAACGCCAGAAATGATGCTTCAGCTTCTGCAACAGATCAACCAGCTAAAGCTGTCAAGGTATGATGGACTCTGAATATAAAATGAAATAATATATTTTTATATATTTAAATCAGGAAACAGAAACCTGATGCATTATTTTATAGAAGAAAACTGAGATTCCCATGTTTTGATTTTGTTTTTCTAAGAGGTTAGAATCTTTGTAACAAATGCAAGTTTTAATTTGGCAGCGTGAGGGGAACCGTAAAGGGCCAGCATCGAGTTCCGAGCAGGAAGGACCCAAAACACCTGACCCTAAGGTGAATCCTTTGACCCTCTTTTTATAGACATTCATTCATACTTTTTTTTTCTTTCTACTACTTTTTTTCTGTAACCAAAAAAAATGTTGAATGTATGTAATTTGTTTGGATCATTTCCAAGCAGACATTGAGAAGACTTGCTCAGAATAGAGAGGCAGCAAGGAAAAGCAGGATAAGAAAAAAGGTTAGGCCGTAGAAAAAAATTAACTACTACTACTAGTACTGGTTTGTTTGGTACAAATAAATTTTCTTAAATTTCAAACAAGATTGTTTTCTAGCTTTCATTTATTTTCTTGTTAATTTCATTACAGGCTTATGTTCAACAGTTAGAGTCAAGTAGGATTAGGCTTACCCAACTGGAACAAGAGCTTCAAAGAGCTAGAGCTCAAGTGAGCATTTCTTTTAAACTTTATTTTTATTTTTATTTTTTCCCATAATTTCTTTTCATATCGTTTATCTTTATATATTTGAGTATGAGTTTGAAATTTTTATTTTACTGTTTAGGGCATGTTTTTTGGTGGTGCTAATATCTTAGGAGGAGAGCAAGGCCTTCCTGTTGGTATTAACAACATAAGCTCAGGTTTATATACTACAAATTAAGTCTCTCACTCTTTTTCATGTCTTTTAATTTCATGGCTATATATCAACTGAATTTTTATGTTTCAGACGCTGCTGTGTTTGACATGGAGTATACAAGATGGCGAGAAGAGAACCATCGACTCATGTGTGAGCTTCGAGCAGCAGTTCAAGAGCATCTACCGGAGAACGAGCTTCGGATCTTTGTCGACAACTGTTTAGCACACTTCGACGAGGTGATAAACCTAAAAAGCATGGTGGCCAAAACCGATGTCTTTCACCTTGTGTCCGGCATGTGGAAGACACCAGCTGAACGATGCTTCATGTGGATGGGTGGATTTCGGCCGTCTGAGCTCATCAAGGTACTCTAATGATCTAACCCTATCCTTGAAATATATAATTCAAAACTTGGAATACTAACTTCAAACTAATTTATGTCTACAAAAAGACTAAAAACTAATCATTACTATAGGTTTATATTCAATAATCAAAGAACAATCCTACTAATTAGATTCCTTTTCCTTTATATTTTTTACCTTATTTTTCCCATATAAAAGCCTTTCACACTATATTTTATTCGACAAAAAAATTTGTGAAAAAGAATTATGTTTCTTTTATTAGGAGGATGAGTGAAAGAAGATATTAAAGATTTTATTCATGATATATGAGGATATCTTGAGATAAGACAGGAGACAAATTGTACGTTTTAAATTGCATGGGTGCAATTTGTCGGTAGTCGTGACAAGGAAATATATGGGGATAACAAAAAGAAAAAAAAAATCAATTGAATGACGAAAGGTATCGTGAATGTTTTTCTCTAAAAGGATTTGGTTAGTTGTCTTTATGATAAAGCTATGTCTGTTTCTACAATTTGTGGTGGTAGAAAAGAGAGAACTGCACGGTTCTCTACTCTCTGCTTTATCTTCTCCTTCCTCTCCATTACCTTCATGGGAATCAAGAATCTTGTTTGTAGTAAATAAATAAGCAAAATGGCAAAGCTGCAGTTTCATAATAAAGAAAAAATATGAAGGATGTTTCAGTTTTTTATAAATATTCAGCTTTTGTCGACATTAGAGAAAATGTTTTGATTCTGGGTATGATTTATTTTTGGTTTCAGGTTATACTGAATCAGATTGAGCCATTGACAGAGCAGCAGATAATGGGCATATGTGCATTGCAGCAATCGACACTGGAAGCTGAAGAAGCTCTATCACAAGGCTTGGAAGCTCTGAATCAGTCTCTTTCTGATATTATAACATCCGATTCACTAAGCTGCCCTCCTAATATGACTAACTACATGGGCCAAATGGCTATTGCCATGAACAAACTCTCCACCCTTGAAGGTTTTGTTAGACAGGTATGCCAGCAGCTTCATGATCATTACATGCATTAGTCTCTTTTACATAGTTAATTTGTTTGATGTGTTTGTGGACCCCTCTCTAGGCCCTGGCCCCATGAATGATGATCAATTCATGATCACCAACTTGGGGTCGTGTGTGTGTGGGAAAAGAATCTTGTTAGGAATATTTAAACCTAACCCCAAAATGATGTTTTCCCTACGAAACTACTCCCATATCTTCCTTGTTCTTGAGGAGGCTTTGTGGTTTCATAATTCCATTAACATTATTATTATCTACAAAACATATATATATATATATCTGTCATCCCATAAAATGCTTGGGGGTTCAAGCATTTCTGTGAAAGTGACATTTGTATGTAGTAGTCATTTAGGTTTCCGGTTGTAGTCCATGCCATTTGAGCATCATATAATTAAAAATACCAGCTTCAGCTTGTCTGATTTAGGTAATTTTTCCCAAAATAACATAGTTACCAATTAGAGGAAAAGAAAAAAATCGGATTAACTTCATGGGTAGATTGAGTTTTTCTTTTAGCAAATCGGATGGCTGCAATAGAGCGTAGTATAGCTTTCGAAACTTAAATACTTCTATAGGAATGAAACTCTATTTTAATTGTTCTAGGAGTTATTAACTGTAACAAGAAGACATTAACTTTGAAACAATGGGCAGATCTCTCTGTCAAATAATGATCTATCTATGCCTAAAGCAAGCATGAAGAATGGCAGCTTGTCTTTGTGTCGATTTCCCAATGCTTAAAACCTAATCACTATGAAGTTGTCAACTGATGGAAATAGTATAAGATGAATGGTGGCAACTAAGTCTAAGAATATTTTCATTTTCACATGCTGATGGGTCCCTCCCTTAAATAATGCATATATATCGACGTCCTAAGAGATCCCTCGTGCCCATATGTTTGTGATGTCATGGTCGTAACCGTTTGACTAAAAAGACATCTTTAAAGACCATCTCCTACAACTTCCCCTTTTGACCATTCTTTAACATAGCCTAAATCTCACCCACTTATGTGCCCACGGTTGCACATGGACATGCCCTCTTCCATCCATCATTAATTCACACTCCTCGACACCCAGTTAATTTAGAGTTACGGTAATGAAATCTCGAGAGCTACTAATTGTTTATTCTTCTACGCTCGAAAACGATTAAGCCTTACATGATTGATCTTTGATATGGATCTCTAAGAGAATTGACTTTGTAATTGTGGGAATTAGAGTATACCTAGTTTAAACTTTGAGGATCCAGGGTAGGTGGGGACTATTTAAGGTTGGGAATAAAGCAGTTAGCCTTTTGAAATTCATGTTCCCACACTTAGAAAAACCATGAGATTTTCAATTTTTTTGACATTTGGTTAGTAGAATTGTTAAGTGAAATTCTAATGAAGATGTTTACCTATCAAATTATCAGAGGAAGTCATAGTAATCATCATTGATGATAAGCCAACACTCACCAATAGGACAATATTGTTCATTGACTACTTTTTATAAGTAAATTAGCATCATTAAGTTTCTTATAGGGATTGGTTGAAAATGAAATGAATTAACAAGTTGTATAGTGAAGATTATGATCACCCTTGAATTATATTTTATTTTCTGTCAAAACGTTCTAGACAAGGTAAGTAAAAGCCACACCCCACAAGTAATTAATTTGGACCAAAGAAAATGAGATGAAAAATATCCTATATCATTTTCTTCTTTTCTTTATTCTTTTTCCCATTTGACAATCAAAACACCATAGTGCCACAAAGTCATGGGTGGATAGCCAGTGTAAAATTTAAGAAAGCAAAATTTCTCTTGCCCTCAAAGTCAAATTTAATCCATTTTCAGTCTTAATATTACTATCTTATTTTCAAGTTTAATCCATTGCACTCATTTATTTTCAAGTTCTATTTTAGGGATTTAAACGAAAAATATTAAAATTTTATGAATTATAATAGAATTTTAAAAATAACGGTTTTTTTTTCATAAGATGAGTGCGTACAACATTTTCCTTTAGCATATACTGTTCATTTATAATTATTATTAATTTGCTTAAGAAAAAACTTACAGGCTGATAATCTGAGGCACCAAACCATACAACGGCTGCATCAAATCCTGACGACCCGTCAAGCTGCAAGGTGTTTACTGGCGATTGCTGAATACTTCCACCGCCTGAGAGCTCTCAGCTCCCTCTGGCTGGCTCGACCTCGGCAGGAACAATAGAAACCCTAGCTAGCCCATAGCCACTTTCGTATCTTTTTACTCTTTATCATAATTATTGTCTTCTTTTGATATTCTCCCTTTCTGCAGAGAGATGTATAGATACACTAAAATAGATTAAATTTCAAAGTTAAATTAGTGGAAGTTTCTCTGACTATACTGATTTTTCTGCTTTGAACAAAGAAATCCAAATAAAGGCAATGATTTCGCAGCCATTTCTGACTGATTAGAAAGAGATAGAACTGGTTAAGAAGAAGAAAAGAGCATTGAGAATAGAGAAGAAGGTTTTATTTTTTTATTATTATTTATTTTGGGTTTATTTTTGTGGTATCGAAGAAAGACTAAAATTATTTGGTTCTCGGAAGAGAAGGAGATGCCGAGTGTTGAAATATAAACGTACATTTGGCCTAGGTATGTGTTGTTGCATGCATGCTTTTAGGGGCTAAAAATCCAAAGATGAAGCTCACAAACTTACTTTTATTTTTTTGACTTTGTTGGTTTTTGCCTTTTGGGACGAAGGAACTTAAAAGGGTAATTTGTCCAAAGATATCTATTAGATTGAGTAATTCATATATTTATATTTGTGTATAGTTTGTGTTAACAAAAATTTTATTTCAAATTCATGTGGATACGTTGAACATGAAACATATCTCATTTTTGCACCAAAGTCATATACAATTTTTATTAAAATTTTAAATTGTTATTTTTATATATTTTTTATATCGTTTTTATGTCATATCATAGTGTCATGTTTAAGATTATCAAAATTTTTATTATTAATTATCTTTGATAAATAATAAATCCCTCTCAAGCCTCTTAGTAAGATGATAATTAAATTCAAAGTAATTACTCATTTTAGGTTTGTCCAAACAAAAGAACAAACGATGAGTAAGGAAGAAGAAGAAATTCTAGCTTGGTGTTTACTCTCTCTAAGTTTGTAAGTCAAGGGGAGAAGATATGGAAAAAAGAGATAGAGACATTTTTTTTGTTATTCCATTTTTCTTAGTCTTTGAAAACCACAATTTGGAAGCATTTGGAGCTAGCTTGTTATATGCTTAAGTTTATTTATTTGATTATTTTTTGTATTTAAAATGACTTCACAAACTGCACCTAAACATTTGAGTGAATAGTTTATGGTAGTCAAGTTCGAGCTTTCCTTCTCTAATAAGAAAACAACTTCATATATACAATAGTTTAACCCTTTATACATGTGACATTTAGCAATAAAAAATTTATGTAATGCTATAAATAACTATGATAAAAATATTTACAACAATTTCAACATACACTTTTTCTTGCAATGAAATATAATTTATAATAGCTTGTTACAACAAAATATTTTTTATAATATGATGAAAATAAAATTTTACGATATTAATTATTAATTAAAAATATATGTGCAGCTAAACATTTTTCTAGGGTTATGTAATTGTATTTGTAAGTCTTACTTTTTAGGCTTTTAAATTTAAGTCTGCCCAAGAGTAATTTGGGCCGTAGATATGTGATTTTCGGTTAGATCGTGGCAACGATCAATTCTATCTCCTCATTTGCTTCTCCTTTGTTTTGTTTTTCAACCCAAAGCCCAAAGCCACCTCGCATTGGCACTTGCATGACCCCTAAAAACCCTAGACAGAGGAAGCCATATATTTCTTAGACGCCAAGCGAGGAGCAGCAGCAGAGCAAAGGGTTTAGAGAGGAAATGGTGTCGAAGAGGAAGACCCCTGTCAAGACCCGAAACCCAGATCTCATACGTGGTGTGGGCAAGTATTCCAGGTCTAAGATGTACCACAAACGTGGCCTTTGGGCCATCAAGGCCAAAAACGGCGGCGTTTTTCCCCACCATGATCCCAAACCTAAGGCCCCCGCTGCCGCCGAGAAGGCTCCCAAGTTTTACCCGGCTGATGATGTCAAGAAGCCGCTTCTTAATAAGCGCAAGCCAAAACCCACCAAGCTCAGGTTCCTTTTTTGAAATGATTATTTGTTTATTTGTAGATCTCCGAACATATGTTTCTTATTTTTGGGGTTTTTTATTTGTTTAGAGCGAGCATTACTCCAGGGACCGTGCTGATTTTGTTGGCTGGAAGGTTTATGGGGAAAAGGGTTGTTTTCTTGAAGCAACTGCCTTCTGGGCTCCTTTTGGTTACTGGTGAGTTTTTTTTTTTTTTTTTTCATGTTCTTGTTTGCTGAATGTTTGTTTGGAAATTTTCTTGATGAATTATAATTAGTGGCTGAAAATGTAATTTAATTTTAAAGCTGTTGCAGCATATAGTTTAACTAATAAAGTATGATTTTTGTGATTCAAATACAAGTTGGATCTATGACAATGATGTTAAAACCTTTGTTATTGATGTCTTCAGTATTGCTTCCTTAGCGTCGATGGTCTCTTGTTTTTCAAAAAGTGCAAGGTTGTATATCCCTTTTCATGTTGCTTCTGCTTGTAGGTTAGATACTGTCATGACACAATCCATTTAATGTTCAATATGATGGAGATTGAGTGCTGCTATCTTGAAATCATAACCTGAGATTTACTTGATGCTTTTACTTGTATTGTATCGTTATAGGCATAGTATCCTCATTTGCCTATTGTGGCTTAGGGTGGCTAGGCTTATTATCTGGGAATTTCATTTTGTTTTTCAGGACCATTCAAGATTAATGGTGTTCCTTTAAGGCGTGTGAACCAATCCTATGTCATTGCTACTTCCACCAAGGTTGACATCTCAGGAGTTAATACAGAGAAGTTTGATGACAAGTACTTTGCCAAGGAAGTAGGGAAGAAGAAAAAGAAGGGTGAGGGCGAGTTTTTTGAAGCTGAAAAAGAGGTTAGTTTGTTTGTTTTGTATTTATTATAATTTAAGCTGTCCTAAATGGGTTCATCTAATATGATATGCTGATTGTCTATTATTTTACTTTTCCTCAAACAATTGTAGGATAAGAAGAAACTGCCCGAAGACAAGAAAGAAGACCAGAAAGCTGTAGATGGCTCTTTAATAAAGTCCATTGAGGTAGTTCCAGACTTAAAGGCCTACCTCGCTGCAAGATTTTCTCTGAAATCTGGCATGAAACCTCATGAGCTTGTCTTCTAGAGGGAATTTTGCATTTACTTAACTGTTAAGTGCAACATTGGTTTACAGTATCTTTGGTTGTATTATCGGATTCTATATGTGGAAAACCAAAATTTTGGGATACTATCTTTTGTTATGTAAGAGCCTCAACTTTCCTTATTTGACTGTGATTTGTGCTAATCTGATTGGAGCTTGTTCTATTAAGGTCAAATTTTGTATTTGACAGAATTGAATAGCTTTTTGTTGTTGAACAGCTGATAGGTTTCTAATTTGTGCCATGGAAGGCCAACCAAAGTAACTTTGATTCTGGGCCACTCCCACTATACCCCCTTGAGTTGGTACTCCTTTCTGATTTACCAATTCTCTGTTTCTGGGTTACCGGTGGTATGAAGATATGTGCTCCTCATCCTACGCTCTCATTCGAGTTTCTCTACTTACACGAAAATCATATAAGTAGAAACAACTGCGTTTTTTCCCTTTGCTGATGCTTGTCATTGAAATGATAAGGATGTTTTTTAGTTGTGACTTTTAGTGTATCTTGTATGGTTTTAAAACTGTAATTAGATCAGGAAGCTCGAGTTTATGGAGTCGACATTAATTTGTAATTAAAATGACTAAGTAAATGAAAACTGAGACAAACAAATACAATAGAACATAGAAATTTTATTGGGAGGGTAGTGACAGAAATTTATAAGAGAATAAGAATCGCAATGGAGGTGAAACACTCTAATTCTTCAGAGCATGCTATCAGCTCGAGAGGGCAATCTCCTGAAGAAATTGCTTGGTACTAAAGGTAGCTTGCTCCGGAATCTGGGATGGCGTAGCCAGAATAAGCCTGCAAACAAAGCCATGATTTTGAATGGCGTCACATACAGCGCCACTGCAGCAAATAGGCAGAATATTACGAAGAGGCTAGTTGCTCTGGGGTCTCTCCAACTGAGTAGAGCCAGAAATCTTTCTCCTTGAGTTGCCATGTCTCCTACCACTGTCTGAATTCTTCCTGCCACACTCCTAAGCCTGTCATATCTCATCCTCACTACATCTTGAGCCTTGGATGTTGGGAAAGTATCGAATTCTTCATCTAGTTCATCTGGGTGAACTACTTCTGCCCATGAAAGCTTGGTGTCCATGTGAGGAGGATGCCTTGGCCGGAACCGGTAATTCCAAATCCCAATAAGAAACATGTATAAGAAGATGGTTGGCAGGATTAATTCTGGATAGCAAATCAATATGAAAAACAGAACATGTACTAGGATCGTAGTGACAGGATTCTTCCAGTGGCAAACTTCACCAAGCCACTTGCTCATAGCTATCACACCCGAAAACAATGAGACAATTCTGAAGAAGTTAGCTTTGCTTCTTCTCATGCTCCACATGTGGGAATCCACATCCAACATATACTCGACAACCTCTCTCCTCAGTGGTGGCTCAGCTCGGCCAAGCCTCACTGCAACAATGTTCATGGCCTGATATCTCAAGCTGTCTAACTGGTTTACGGTGAAAGGTTGCAAATAATGCATTTTTGGCAGCAAGGGATGCCAATAGAGATAAATCATACTTGCAAAAGAGAGGCACGTGAACCTAACTGCTAACTGAAGTTCCCCCATCTTCTTCAATCCAGATGTTTGTAGAACAAGAAGAGGGTAAGAGTTTGTATAAATTTTATCTGTTTCCAGGGTTGATAGTCTAATCCTTACCTTACCGATTCTGGAATCATTTTTACTTCCACTACCTGAAGCTGGTTTTTCACTTCCACCTAAGTGGCAGTTGTCAAAAACCCCCAATGTGATCACCGTGCAAGGGTCATAGACCTCCCAAGTATATTGCTCATTCCATTTTGGATTGAAGCTTTCAATTATAGTTCTCGTGCGCACCCACTTCTGCCCATATTTAGCCACACAGTAAGCATCTGTGGTTCCCCTGCCCTCCTTGGTCTTCATCGGCTGAAGACCTTGAGCACTTAAGATGCCCACTTCCAGGATTCCAATTGGTTTCTTCCAAAGCTGCCTGGCAGTTGGCCTTTGATCACTTATATACATGGTTGAATCATCCAGCACATGATAAGCTCCTTCAAGACAAACTCTAAGATGAATCCTGCCTGCAAATTTGAGTTCGTGCCTCTTGTCTCCCTCCAGAGCACCGAATCCAAATTTTTCGAGGTTGAACCATTTAGAATGAACTGGCCTATGATCCAAGCGGCTTTCAAAGGTGCGGAGGGGTTGGATTATCGTCCCCATAACTTCATCTTTTGCAGGGGTCACTTTATTTTCAACTGTTAGATACAGTTTCTCCTCGAAAGGTTCAGCTGCTACAAACATCAAATCTTCATTCCACATGGGATTTATCGTCTTCTGGGGACATAGCTTAGTTTTCAGTACTTGGTGTCCAACTTGAGCCTTAACAAAAGCCTGTGGTAATTGGCTTCTGTCATGTGGCTCCACATCCTGAGCTTCAATCACGTTCACTCTAAGGTACCACAGTTTTGGAGAGACATAAACCTTTGATCGTATGCTGAAAACACCCTCTCCTTGAACTGAAGCAGCATCTGTGTGCCAGGCTTCTGGAAAAGCTTCATCAGCTTGTGTTCCCATCCAGACCGCAAGCATGACCTCTCCTTTCACCTTGCTATCCCCTCGACGGTCTTCTAATCTATACCATTGTGGTGCCAAAGGGCTATCAGGTGGAACCCTTGTAGGCACTTCATTCATGTCGAAGATTACCCTTCCTATAAAATCATCTCTGCCAACAATCTCTCTGTCTCTGACAAAGACCTCTAGAATTGAAGACTGTATCTTCTCCTTTGAGAATGCAAAGACTTGTTTCCATTCCGGGTTTGTTTTCTTCTCAAAATGCTGTGTTTTTCCTTTATAGTTCCCCAGCTTCACTTCGACATAAGGATCAATATTTCCGGTAACAGGATTAGGGGGCAGATCTTTGGCTTTAACAACTCTGACATACAGATAAAACATCTGTTCAACGAGATCATAAGTGCTTGTTGCTCTTTCACTGCTAATCCAACCACCTCCGCCACGCATTCCTCCATGAGGCCATCGTTCTCCTAGCTGGGGCTTTGTGTCCTTCAATTTGAACTCTTCTTTCTGGGTAGCAGCAGCTGCCGGATTCATTGGTGCAAGACAAACTCACCCCTTATGCCGGTTTTGCCTAATGAAATTTTGTTGCTTGATCTTTCTATCTTTGTATGACTTAGGAGCCTTCAAAGCTGCCAAATGAAGTACAATGACTGCTTTATACCTGTATACTTCTCTTGTACCTTTAATACCTGAAGCTGAATGATTAGCATCAAAAAGAGAATTAGAAGGGATTTTTCACTTTAAGGACAGGAAGACAGTTGCCAATGCTACATCATAAATCGTATTCTAAAGTTCTGTAACTCACCTCGGCATACAAGAAAAACCCACTTCTTTTCTAATTGGAATTGATCATAATTGTCTCTTCTTTATTGACTTGTATAGTTGTATTCAAACAATGGATTCTTATCTTCCCAAGAAAGTTGCCCACCAGATATTTTTCTCTCTAGACAGATATCAGTCTCATGGTTTTGGGAGGCATTTGGGACCCTTGGGCTTGATTTGAAGCTTCGGGTTTCAAAAGGGTTTCAGCTACTGTATTAGAGTTCTTTTTCTCTGGTTTTAAATTAGAAGCCTATTTCCTGGAAACATGTCATGCCATTAGCTTTCTATGTCCCTGGGGTTTAACGTGGCTACCTGCCTCATTACACCTTTTCTGCTTCTTTAATGTTAAGAAAAAGAATCTTTTCTTTTTCAAAGAAAAAAAAAAGGTAATAAAAAAGAATGATCGAGGCTGATATTGAAGATTAATTGGTACAAGGAAAAGGCATCACAAAACATGACCATCCAATATCCGTACTTAAATCTGAAAACATGGAGAACAGCAGTGACTTGGTTCCTAGAATTCTATGTACCAGCAAAAAGATAGTTGATGCCCTACTTGGGTGGACAAAGATAACCTTTTTAACATTTCAATATAGGGTTGAGACCAAGTGCATCCTCACTTTCCTAGATTCTTTGTTAAAATTTTGTCAAACTGCAAAAGCCAAAAAAAAAAAAAAAGAGCTTAAACTACCCTTCTCTACACATATAGGATGCTGCTAAGACAAGGGTATCCTAGTGATTTTAGCTCAGTTGCATCACTTTGCAGTTGGCCTCTGATTGTGGACAGTTTTCTTCTTTCTGAAACACTGCCAATGGGTGAATGAAGTAAAGGTAGCAAAACACATAAAGAAATTCAATGAACTACAACAGCTGTGTGATGAGAAAGCTTAAAAGAAAAGCAAAAGCAAAGCAGAAAGTTCAAGGGTATATGACCTTACATTGATGCAAAGATGATTTTGCCCTTTTATTCTCCTTCTTTATTCCAATCTTTAGTTTAATTTTTTCCCAATGGCATCTTCAAGTAAGAATTTGGTGTCACTTCAACCTGGGCATCTCTTAGTTGTTTATCATCATCCATAGAATAATAAAAAAATGGAAAATAAATTACATTTAAATAACACAAGAATTTGGCAAAAGAAAAATGAACTTGAATTATATTAGAATGAACCTAAAAAATGGATTTTTTGAGCGTTAATAGAAAATTCCACATCTATTTCTCTCTTTTATTCTTATCTTAATTTTGATTAAAATATCTAAAAGTTTATAGGTTAACTTAAAATAACACAAACAATTATTATTATTTTTTTATATTCTAGCCATCCATGGTGTTGGTTATGGTGCAAGGGTTTGTAATAGTCTCACACCATTTTTTTACCAAACAAATTAGAAAAAGAAATTGGAAAATATCGCTAAATGAATACACAAGGTTATGTGATCATGAAGAAATTAACAGGAAAAAAAAAGACATATAGATTCATATTGCTAACCAGAAGATTAATGAACTTACATGAATCCTTTACAACAATAGAGAAGATGATTTCTTGATAAACCCCATATGTTATTCATCAGTAGAGACAATTACACAAACAAAAGAGGAACAGAAATTGGGTAAATACCATTGGGATTTTTTTTGGTTTTCTAAAAAATTTATAATTAGTAGTTTTTGAAGAAGCTTTTTTTTTTTTTATGAAAATTAATTCTAGTTTATAATTTTTTATATTTAAGATTATTAGTATTTAAATCTTAATCGTTGAAATTGAAAATTTAATATTGTATCAATAAATTAGACTACTAAAAGTTAAGATAAGTCATCATATAAAATTATGATATGATATTTTAATGGATGTCAAAATTTCATTTTCTAAAATCATTTTATAATATAATTTAAAATTCATAAAACAATGGGTAATCTTTTTTCCTTTTGTCTAGAAATTCTATTGCATGTGCATATCTTTTTGTCATGGTGTTTAAATATATGTTTTGAAATGTGAAGTATTTTTTACCTTTGATTACTGCAATAAATGTTGTAACTTTAATGATTAGTATAAAGGACAAAAAAAGTTCTTTTAATTAGTAGATAATGATTACCTTATCTAGCCTTTGGATTTTATTAATAAGTACCAACCGTTTTTAAGATTAATGTATAAAATAACACTTTCACTCAATACATTGAAATCACGTTTAAAATTATTAATTATTATAAATAATATATTAATTAATCTTTATAAATACAATAGTTAATTATAATTGTAATTTCTCTCATACTTATAATTTTAAAAAATAATATTTATTGAATCAAACTTGATCACGAAATATTTTTATCTTTAATATAAAAATTATCATTTTTTATTGATGAAGGAAATTAGAAGTCAAAATCAATAAGGAATTGGTTCAATTGATTAAAGTTTATTTTTTTCGACGAATATATTTTGAGTTTAAATTCTACCGGTAATTACTTATTGAGATCATCTTGAATGTACGATTTATAATCATTTATTTTAAACTGTTATGTACAATACATTTTATCTTAACATGAAAGACTAAATAACTTATCTACCTTCAAATTTTGATGTTTCTTATTAAAAAAAAAAAAACAACTCTTTGAATAAAGAATACATGCATTATTTTGGAACATACTCGTTAGTATGATACTGTTTGGATTCTTATCAATATATATATATAAATATTATATTTAAAAGTACGAACTCGAAAAGTAAAAAAACAAAGTTTTGGCCAAAAAAAAAAAAACACAAATACAATGATAATATGTTCTAATTAAGGTGATATTTAAGAAAATAAGTGCAATTAATACATTATTTTTCTTGAATTTGTTAAAAACAATGCATGAAATGCAATTTTTTTCTATTAAATAGTAATTAAATAATGGATTCTTGAATAATTAATTGATGAATAGTTATTTATTTACTGTAACTTTTGATTAAAAATTATTTATTATTTTATTATTGAAAAATTAAAATTTTTAATAAATTCATTCTAAAAAAATAATATTAACATATTATATTGTTTACTTGCAATACACGTGTGGATTAAATTTGTCTTTTAAAATGAACAACAATATATATATATATATATATATATTTATATATATGCAAAAATGCTGTTAGAAAAATTTTGATACTTATGATATTTTATATAATTCTTAAATTTGGGTTTAAAAATTAAGTTTTAGAAATGAAAATTTCAAAAGAAACCTACACTGACAAATTTTATTTAAAAAAAAAGTTATATTCTTAGTTAAAAAAGATTAGAACATATATATTTGTTATTCATGATAGTTAATTTGGCTTAAGGTAGAGGATTTATTTTGCACTTTCTTTTTTGAAAACCCAAAAGAAAACAAAGGATTTGGATTTGGGCCTACGCTGTCTTATATACGTCGGGAAGGGAAACCAATTTGTTTTTGAAGCCTGGGCCTAGCCTATAGAGTTCCCTCAATTATCATACTTTGCTTCGCTGCTTCAATGTTCGAGTTGATATGTCTAAGTTTTTCTTTTCTAGCTAATTAAAAGTCTAAATCTGTCTTCAATTTCGTAGTTTAGTGGTCAAATAAATCTTAAGAAAACACCAAAATTGAGATTCGTCTCCAACCTCTTTCTTTCTTTTGTTGTAAGGTTCTGTCCCTCTTATTAAACAAAAAAAAAAAATCTAAATAAAAAATACATCTTCCTTTATATTAAAATTTTATGAAAATAAAAGTGAAGTTCTATTAGCCTTTTAAAGGCTTTGTCTAAAGCTTAGCTCTATCCGTTGAGTCCAAGAGCTCAAAATTTTTAAAAATATATTAAAATATTAAAAATTATTAAATATATATTTGAATCAAAATTAAATTAAAAAATATTTTTATTAATAATTTATTATCTAAGTTGAATTAGGTACAAGTTCAAAAATATTTATTCAAAATATTTATGTGTTGGAATAAATAATTCGATCTGTAAATGTGTAAATAAATTTAGAACGTATTTGTAATTGACAATTTATTTTATTTTTATTTATTATGTTACACTTGCATATAATGATATTTTAAATATAGAACGTTAGGGATCAACTTGAATATATTAATATCCATTTTAGTCTCTTCTATATTGTAAGTTGCTAAAAGAAATCAAATAGTATATATGTAAGATTTATTTAACTCTAATTTTTACCTATATCTTTACTCTTTCAATACAAATTATTCACATTAATAGTCATCATATTTAATTTTAAAAATAATTAAAGCATGTTGAAATAAGGTCATGTAATTAATACTAATTATACCAATATTACTCTTTTCGGTAATTGAGCTGAGAAAAAAAATGTATGCAATTTGCTCTTCGCTTCCATTGGCACCAGGTTTTCATTAATCTCCTTGTGCTGCCTAAAGCTTCCATCAGTCGCAAGCCTCATTGGCACATGGAAAAATTAGACCAGGAATTGAACAGTCCTCATCAAGCAATATATATGCATAAAACATGTAGATCAATCCATTTTAACCATTGGATTTTAAATTATATTTTTTTAAAAAATGTGGATCACCCGTTACATTCTAAACATGTAAGATGCCATGTCTATGAAATAAACATTAGATTATACAAAATAAATACGATTTTGTCATACTAATTTGATTTAAATGAAAAAAAAAAATTGTCTCTTAATTTTACTCCTGATTTGACTGGAACCAAAATTTTCAATACCATTGAGCAGTCTAAAGCTTCTATGTGCCGAAACCAATTCACAAATGGACAATTTAGTCCCACCACTCTAACCTGCCTCACCCTATAAATCGCATTTTTTGAGCAATATGGTCTCATCAAGCAAATAGTCTGAAACATGAAGATTGTTCCAGTTTTTCTCTGCTTTCTCCTCCTCTCCATCTTCTTTTCACCTTTTCTGTCAGAACACTGCAACCCTCATGACAAGAAGGTCCTTCTCCAGATCAAAAAAGCCTTAAACAATCCTTACCTCTTGGCGTCATGGGACCCAAAAACAGATTGCTGTGATTAGTATTGTCTTGAATGTGATCTCAACACCCACCGTGTTATTTCACTCACCATGTTCTCTGATGACCTTCTCACAGGCCAAATCCCAGCTGAAGTTGGCGACCTTCCTTACCTCGAAACTCTTCTATTCAGACACCTGCCTAACCTCAATGGTACCATACAGCCTACCATTGTAAAGCTCAAGAACCTCAAGACTCTTCGCTTGAGCTGGACAAACCTGTCTGGTTCTGTACCAGATTTTCTTAGCCAACTTACGAACTTGACTTACTTGGACCTGTCATTTAATAACCTCTCAGGCTCTATTCCAAGCTCCCTCTCTTCACTTCCAAATCTTGGTGCTTTGCATTTGGATAGAAACAAGCTTACAGGTTCAATACCAGAATCTTTTGGTATGTTTCCTGACAAAGCAGTAGGTTTGTATTTGTCTCATAATAAACTTTCTGGTACAATTCCTGCTTCTTTAGGCAACATGGACTTCGATACCATTGACTTGTCCAGGAATATGCTTGAAGGTGATGCTTCAATGTTGTTTGGATCGAACAAAACTACATCTGAAATTGATCTTTCAAGGAATATGTTCCAGTTTAATCTATCCAAAGTGAAGTTTCCCAAGAGTTTGGCATGGCTGGATCTGAATCACAACAAGATTATGGGAAGCATTCCTACTGGGTTGACCGGAGTGAATTTGCAGTTCTTGAATGTGAGTTACAATAGGTTGTGTGGGCAGATTCCAGTCGGAGGGAAGTTGCAGAATTTCGATTACTCCTCGTATTTTCACAACCGTTGCTTGTGTGGTACTCCGCTTGAAAGCTGCAAGTAACGGTGGAGACAGCTAGGGCTTTGATTGCCGGGGAACACAACCAGTGAAGTGTGTATAGATGATAGTTCAGGAAGAGTTGTAATAAGCACATAGTGGCAAATGATCTGGCATTCAATTTGCTTTTATGTGAGTCTGCTTGTAATTTGATTCGGCTAGAACGTAGAAAAGCACATAATCAGGGTGTAGCTTCCTAATAAACAGCTGTGCAGTTATGTTTTACTCCAAAGTTATTTGCTCTTACATTGCAATGCGGGGCATGAATTTTCTTAAGGGATCAGAAAACGAAGTAATACAAAGGCAGCATAGTAATGCGACTCACATAAATTTGGCCCCCTTCATGAGTTAAGATAAAGAACATGAAGGTGGGAAAATCTCTCTGATCTCCAAAGAATATAAAGGCAGAATCATTCGAAGTACAATAAATTCAGAATGGCTGCTCTAAATCAAGTTGTGATAGCACAATATCCCTAACTCTCAAAATCAAAATTGAACAAAAACTTTTATCGGCAATTTGACCCTTTATTATTTACTCAAAGAAATCAAAAACATTATATTTCCCCTAAAATTAATGTAGTTAAATATAAACACATAAAGTGGAAATAAATTATTCACAAAGCAATTGCCCTTCTCTTTTCGTTTAAGGGTTGCAGTCAAATATCAGTTGCTATAATCCAGTTTACAAGTGTGATGTTAATAAATAAATGCAGTAATTTCTTGATGCACTGTCACAAGGAAGATTCCTTCCATTCTAATCTGTTAAGCCCGTCAACAATTGCCTTCTGAAATTCACCATGATGAAGAAGAAAGGATGACACATGCCCACCAGTAACCCATCTCACTTCTGAACCAGGCCAAGCCTTTTGAAGCCCCAGCACAGAGTGCTTTGGTATGTAACCATCATCCTGAAACACATAATTGCACTTGAAGATATAAATGATGAGATTAAATGACGAGAAGTGACTCTCGAAGACCATTATAAAGAGAGCATTAAGCTTGAGAGGAGATAATTTAGGGATCTAGGCATTACCATAGACATTCTACGAAAAATCTAAAACCTAAGAAGGGTAAGCATATAGGTGTTAGATTCTCCTGTGAGCTTATTTACAGTATGTGGAGTTACCCATGCCCCCTCCCCCTTCTAACAGGGGAAGAAACCTGAATAGTGGGCCTTAAAATAAGAAAAACATGGATGATTCCAACAATCAACAGCATGGACTGCAGGAAAAGGACAACTGTATCACCTAAGTTGTTTGCAAATTGGAATTTTAAATGCAAAAGAAATTAAGTGTTGAAACTTTGGAATCAAATCTTTTAAGTGTAAAAATTGAATAAAACTTTTGCTTTGCAAAAAAATTTTTTCATTGAATTTTTTTTTAAATGCAAAAGAAATTTTTTTTTTTCATTGAAGACTTCAAAATCTAAAAATAAAGAGTAACCAAACATGTTTGAAAAAATAGCTTAAAATATCGCAACTAAATTTTCAGTAGTTTTGATAACATGCAAACGAGAGGAAATAAGCAGTTCCATAACAAAATCAACAAAAAATAACTACAAGCTCCTTATCAATATTCTTAAGGAACACCCATTTTGTTAGACAGAGATATGGTACTTACAGTAGCAGCAACAAATATTATGGCACTAGGGTTTTTGGGAATTGGAAAGCGTGTGACATCTGTGAGAGACAGTACATTTCGCATTCGTTCTTTCACCTCCTCGAGAGTCATTGCAGCCTCTTTTGCTGCAAGATCCTCTCTCAGTGCCTCCCATGCAGTGGCATGCTTCAATAAACCCTCACAGAATGCCACAACAGCAGAATGTGGGGAGAGAAAAGGAAGGGTTGCAACAGGTGTGGGGTGCAGTGATCCAACCATTGCAGCATGCACTCCCCCTAATTCCATAAAAGCGTCAAACTTCAAAAGGAAGTACCAATTAAGAGTAAGAGCAACCCAGTTTCGGGAAGAATATTGACCATATATTTCACAACCATGAACCTGGTAATTTAGTTTCTAGCAAAAGGTAATATATGAAAAATACGAATAGAATAATAGCACCACAACAACAACAATTCTTACCCATACTAAGCCCACACACACCCATCTTGCCGAACCCTGCCTCAGAGTCTAACCAATATAAAAGGCTACGTGCCTCTTCAATGGTTGCTCTTCCTAATAAAAGCAAGTCACTAACACACAAGAGTTTTGCACCACGTTGCAGCATAGGGCGTCTTTGACCATAGAAAGGGCTACCAAAAATAGTTATATCAATTAGAAAACATAAATGCATAAGTAAAAGAAGTCAAGCTTTGCTTTTAGCTTCTAAAAGTAGTTGACAACACCAAAAGGACTCCAACCTCTCAAGCACCATAGTTGCAATGATTTGCTTCAATAATGGTCCACCAAGACGTAATCTCCGTTCAAATGTATGATCTCCTGTGCCTGACAAGGGAGGTTAAATTATATATCAATAAGGATGAGTTCTAAACATCAAATTCACAACCCAAATGATTTTCAATTTGAAGCAATAGTTGCAAGATTGAAATATACATCAAAACTGAAATACTCTGACATGAATAATCTGGGAAGTAACAGCCAATGATTTTACACGGGTATAGCAAACAAACAAAGAATTTATAAACACGTGTAAATGAAACAGCACCACAAGAACATGAAATCTAGTGAATATGTCTATATTCTGTTCTATGAGAGTAGGAATCAGTTCCCTGAATTATAACATAGAGAAAAGCATGTAAACCCTCAAAACATCCCCAATAAGTAGGTCAGGTGAAATTCATTTCAAACATCTTCATTTTTCTAGTAAGAACAGGTTTTTGACAAATTAGAACAAGAAAATAAATTAAAATAAAAAAGAATACCATTAATTGTGGACGAAAATTAGAAAAGAAAAAGAATAACTAGGAATGAAACAGAGAACAACTTGCGACTGTATGATTCGAAAGAAGGAAAGTGGTTCAGCTATCAACTTGGATGTGTTGCCATGCTCAAATGTAAGCTTATATCAAGCTGCTGTTTGGTATAAACAGTTCAAGGAAAAAAAAGAAAAGAAAGAAATAACACTAAAATCTTTAAAACAAACAATAATAAGTGTGCTAAAGCTTGAAATATATAGAGCTAGTCACAAACAACCATCACAAGACCCAATTAGCAAACGGTAGGAAGCTGGTGACATTCTCATTTACCAACCAAAGGTTGTCCATCGTTGTAAATAGACATAATACGAAAATCTCCTTCAATTTTACATCCTGAATAAAGCAGAAATAAACTAAGCCTAAATATTCAATTCCCACCATGTAGAAGATGATTCATTCTAAGCTCACACCAAGAATAAAAAGCAATCAACTAGCATTATCCAGGTATATAAGTAAACATAAATAAACAACTAAGGTTTACCTCCTAATTAAATAATGCAATCACTTATTAAACTAAACTACAGCCAACGGATACAAAACCATATCAAGGGTTTAAATACAACATAATTAATCAATCAAAGAAAACTAAAAGAGCAGGATTTATCTGAAGGCTAAAAGATATACCGTGATACCTGCGAGGTGAACCACACATGCCATCTTTTGAGGTGGCACAAATTTTGGGACAAGGAAAGCAACCCTTGCATTGTGACTTTCAGGAGGCAATGCACTCAGCAAGTGCTCATCACAAGGGGTCCTAAACACACCTTCTCTCAAGCAAGAACTTTGGGTCTCCCAAACTGTTTTCCAAATGGGTTGTATCAATCTTGGAGGCCAGTTTTGGCCTTCAACTTCAGGGAACAGCTGGCTTATCAATCTCTCCAGAAGCTGAAGCTTTGTTCCACCCCATCCTCTTGAGAAAAATGGTGGGGTTATCTTTGTTCTATGCATAAATGCACCATATACATGGTCTAGAATGTAATGAAGCATCCCCAAATTGACTGTAACCATTTTTTTGGAGGAAAACCCAGATTTCAAAATCGCTTAAACCAATGGAAAGTTAGCTCCTTTTTTTATTGTTTTTAGAAATGCCGTGAAAAAGCTATTCACAATCTGAGTTAATTACAACAACCCAGTAATCAAAACTCTATAACAAGATTAGGGTTTTGAAATTTTTTGGTTAGATTGTGAAGAAAGCACAATAGAATAGATCTGGTAAATTAACAATACCTTCTTCCCTGTAAAATTTGAGAAAAAAAGCATGTAAAGATTGGAGTGGATTCAATGAAACAATAGAGTTGCAAAACACAGAAATTTTCAGAAAAAGAATTGAAGATCTGTAAACTATTCAGGGTATGAAATTAATAAGAAAAAAATACAGAGAGGGCTGATATGAAGAAACCGAGGGGGATCCAAATATTATGAATTTTAATTTGAACCAAAGGCAAACTCTGGACTGAGCCCTGAGATAGAATTTAAAACAGCCAATGACACGCGGAAAAGGTTCCTACATGCCATGCCATCCTTATCTAATTGCCACGTCATAGAAAAATCCATTGCGGTTTTGTTCGTTACGAGTTTTTTTTTTTGGTTCTTTTTTGTGTGTTCGGTGAGTCCCATGATTCTGAAGGTCAGCAGCGAAGAGAGCGGACAAGTGATAAGGTTGCAATAATTCCTCCATTTTACCCAACTAAATTTTAATAGTTTAATAAAAAATACTAATATATTAAAATATTATTCATGTTTTTCTTAAATAACTAACCTACCCAAAGAAAGAAAAAAGAAACTAGAAAAAGAAATTGGGTGGAAACTGGCGATGATGATCATGATTATCCAGTATAATTAATTGTCCCAAGAAGTTGACTTCTCAACTGTAAGTTAATGCTAGGATGATCAAACTCAAGATCCCTTCAAAAAATATTTTTTTATAGATAATTAAAGTTTTAAATTGAAAATATCTAATTACAATTATTAGTAATTAAATTAACAGGTACTTTTAAAATTGAAGTCTATCTTTTGTTTTATCTTAAATATATATCTGTGGATGGTTCAAATTTATCATAATCTTTTAGTTAGTGTAATTTTATCATCTTACGTTAATCTTCGAGTAAATTTATTCTTATACTTCAATTTTTGAAATAATTAATGAATATTCAACAAAAATTTTATTAAAAACTGTTTGACAATTCAAAAAATAATTTTTAAAATGATATGGCAAGAAAAATAACCTTGAAGCACACAACAGTTTCAATTGGTTTCTATTTCCATTTGATAAATCAGAACGATGGAAATGGAGATAGCCTAGGGACAGGGATACAGATTAAGGGATGAGCCCGTGGAAGGGTCAGACCAGGTCCTTCTTTCATGTCAACAGTACCATTTGCCCCGTCAACCTTCCAATCAAAGCATTGAATCATAGCAGCAAGACTTGTCTGAACAACTTGCAATGCTAGTGAGGTTCCAGGGCATGATCTTCTTCCACTCCCAAATGGCAACAGTTGAAAATGCTGTCCTCTTACATCCAATTGAGTTTTTCTACTTCCCTCTATGCTGAGAAACCTCTCTGGGCAGAACTCAAGTGGGTTCTCCCAGTGATTAGGATCCCTACCGATAGCCCACACATTGACAAAGAGTCGGGTCTTGGCTGGAATGTCATAACCTCCAATAGTACAGTTTTCACTTGACTCCCGTACAATTATAGGACCAGTGGGGTGAAGCCTTAATGTTTCCTTTACAATAGCTTGAAGGTAGGGGAGATTGGTGATGTCTGATTCTTCTACTATTTTGTTCCTTCCTACAACAATATCAATCTCTTCTCTTGCTTTCTCCATTATATCAGTATGATTAATAAGCTCAGCTAGAGCCCATTCTGTTGTAACAGCAGATGTGTCGGTGCCAGCAGCAAATATGTCCTAGAAAATTTATAAACTATGCATCAGTATTGTCTGTGAATTCTATTGTCAAGTCATTTTCATTTATATTGATAATTCAGAGGTCATCTACACTAACATGATGTCAATGCCAACCGGTGAATTCGGAGTGATTGTCTTCTATAAAAATTTGTTTAAGATATGCGATGATTTGTTCTTCTAACTGAAATTAAAATGGATACTAGCTAGGACCGAGTTTTCTGTAGTTTGTGTAGATTTAGCTCCATTGATTTTGTTCTTATAAATAATAGTTTAATTTCTGGAGACTTTCAGGCTTGAGGACAGAAATAGATTCCCCTTTCAGGAAAGAAGTGAAGAAAATTAGACTACTAAAACAAGGTACTTCAATGTTAGAAAGTAGCTTTATGAGAAAGAGAGAGAAAGAGTAAAAAAATTTACCAGGATGAATGCCTTTATGTTTTCTCTGGTCAATCTCATCTCTGAGCTTTCATCTTCTGATATATCAAGTAAAATATCAAGCAAATCTTTCACCGTATCACTATCACCTCCATCCTTCTTTCTCTTCCTCGCTTCTTCATGGTCCTTTATTATTTTATCCATCATCACATCAAACTTATCACGAACTTCCTTGAGTTTTTTATTCATTCCTTGCAAATCCAAATTCTTACAGAACCAGATGAAATCTGACAAATTAAACTGCCCCGAGAGCTTGGCTATTGCTTGCACCAACTTCCTTACCTCTTCAGCTTCATCTTCATTATTGGAACATGTTTGATTCATTGTCATTCTTGATACAATATTATTTGTTAGCCTTACAAGCTCTCCTCCAACATCCACCTTTTCACTTGCATTTGCTTTTTTCATCATGAACTGCAAAAACCGCCTTAATTCTTCACGTCTAACCGGAAGAAACTGGTCTAGCATTCGGCCACTTAGAAGTTCAGACATGCAAATTTTCTTCATAAACTTCCAGTAAGGTCCGTATGGGGCAAAGGAGAAATCAGCAGAGCCATATGTAAGGTAGTCAACGGTAGCTGTTTTTGGCCGGTTGGAGAAAGACGACTCATGGGTTTTGAGGAACTCCTTGGCCATTTCCGAGGAGGAAGCCACAACACAAGGGACAGATCCAAGCAGGATATGCATCAAGGGCCCGTGTTTGGTTGAAAGTTTGTGAAGAGCTTGGTGAGGTATTGGTGCTAGGAGGTGGAGGTGTCCAATGATTGGTAGTGCCATAGGGCTTGGTGGGAGACGTGATGTGGTCCGGATCTTGGTGAAGAGTGTTCTGACCAAAATAATGGATACCAGCCATATTAGGAAAAGTAGGAAGTAGCCTTGGAAATCAGCCATCTTTGAACCTTGGTTAATCAATTAACAGTAAGCCTATGGTTTTAGAGAGGTGTTTATATAACTGCTGCTAGGATGTTAGACCTCAATTAACTTCTGGGATCTTGTATTTGGATTTTGGGTGATCATCTTTCTTCCCTCTAGTTCTGCTTAGGATAGCCATGACTGGGTCAGTGGCCATCTGCCGTCGATCACAAGGTCAAAAGTTAAGGATCAGCCCTTATATTATATAATACTATATTGACATTTATTATTCTAAGTATATATATATCTTTTCTGTTCTCTTGACATATTCGTAAATTGTAAGCTACTGTTAAGCCTCCATTGTTATATACTGATTTTTTATTCCTTTCTCACGTCATGTTTCAACCTTTTAGAAGTTGCATTTGGTTGTTTCTGCAAGTGGCCGGCCGGCTGGGAGCCAACAAGAAATGAGAAACCTGACCGGCCATTCTGATAACGATGTTTGAGCTTAAAACTGCAAAAGAATTGGCAGGAAAACCTAAACAGGCCCAGACACAATTAGCAATAAACAATTCTGAGAGGGCATTCCAATTCTTTTGAGTGAGGTTTCCTTCCTTTCAATGACAATTCACTGCATTTTCTCTAATCTTATAATAACGTGTCATTTTCTTCTTTTCTTCCGTCCTTTTGGGCCACCAATGATTTAATCACAATTCATTGGCGACATTAAAATTGTTTCCTGGAAAACAGACAAGATAATGGCCTTGTTCGTTTATGGTTGATTGTATCCTGCTTCCTCTGCCTTCTTCCTATCTAAATTCCTGGGTCTAATGAAGTTTATAATTCTTAATGCAAGCTGGAATTAGCTTTCTTTTACATATCTTTCCTTCATTAATTTTCAAGAGGACATGATTTAGCATCTTAAAGCAACAAGTGAAAAGCATAATTTTCTGCATGAAAGGATTTTTTATTAAGCAGCCTCAGTTAAAACTTTTGAATGGTGGAATTTTGGTGATAGATAAATCGAACCAATTGGAGCTAGTTCTGTGTTACATTTCCTAAATAGGAGATATGGATGCAGCTAGCTAGAAGGAAAACAAAGTTGGCAAAACTAATAAAAGTTCTGTCTCAATGGCATGGACTGACCATGTATTTTCATGTTTGAGAACAGTTTGATCTCATTGGCTGTTCTTTTTCATTCATTTTACCCGACAGATCTGCAAAAATGGGGAAGAAATGTGCTATCTGAGATACAAACATGCACATACCAAACTCATATGACATAGAAAGTCAGAAAGTTTATTGAAAAAGGGTAAGGTGATTTGGCAAACCGAAACAGTGGTAATTCCAAGAAGAAACAAGCCCACCTGAATGCTAAACAACATGGAAAGCCACAACATAGGAACGGCCAATTTGCCTAGTTATAAGAGATTATACAATTTATGAAAATAGAAAATATGGACAGAATCTAAAACTACTGACAATCAGCTGCTGATGACAACCATATTTCTACTAACATTGTATTTTTATATAGCGGATTTAGATGAAGCAAGCAAGCTTGAGGCTCAGTCATTGAAGGTTTCTGAGCCAGGATGTATTTGAATGATTCACCATAGCAGTGGAGATCTGAGAAACTCAATAACTAGCATTTCTACAATCAGACAATGAACAGTATCAGAATCTCAGACTGATGGAAATGGAGAAAGCCTAGCCACAGGTTAACAAACCAAGGGATGAGCTCTAAGAGGAGCCATTCCAGCCTTTTTCTTCCATATTAACAGTACCATTTGCTCCATTCCCAACTTTCCAATCAAAGCAATGGACAATCTTAAATCTCAAATCCATAATTAGCAAATAGATAGGCAAGAGCCCAAATATAAAATGACCAAAGCATTATAAACCCAATTTGAAGAAGACATAATTGGAGATGATTTTGGGCCTAAAATTTACTAAGTCCTTTTTAAAGTCCAAGTAGTAATCTAAGTCAAAGCCCTAGTCTGAACCTAACTTCTGTTCTGCACCGTTCTCCTACCTTTACCAGTCAGCCATGCCACAAGCAGCATTGCGTAAACTCCTACCTCCTCTCAGCCTGCATCCATTTCTTCTTCTTCCTTTGATCACTAGAACAGGTAACCAAAAGGCGAAAAGGAGGCGTCAAAATGCTCCAAGCCATGTCAGACACATATATCACACTCTAACCATGTCGTGTCATTCGAATGTTAAATCTTAGGTTGTCTTACTCTTATATTCAAGTTGGATCAATCCACCTATTGTTAATTACTTTTAGGTTTTGATGGTTAACACTGCAGAGAACAGTCTTATTAGATAGGGATAGTCTTATCAAATAGGGATTAATGCATGCAAAGCAGGATACTGAAGGAGATAATAAATTTTTTTTCTTGTTCAGAAGAGCTAATAACTTGATCATGCATGCAGTGTCTAATAAACCTAAGGAACCGAAACTGTAATTTTTTAACAGTGCCCAAATAGGTAATAATTAATCTGAGTTCCTTGGTAAACAGGTTACAGATCTTCTGTATTCCTTGCAAACTTACAACATTCAAGAAAAGGTTTACATGATCAATGTTTACTGATACATGAAAAACTTCACTCTAGGTATAGCTGAGCAAAAATGTGTTTCTTAAATTCTGTATCTTTATTGGAAAACAGTCTTGAAAACAGTGGAATGGATAAAATGGATTTACATAACAGATGCCACTTAAGTTGGTATTAATTAATGTGTGTAAGCTGACCTTTCTCCAATATATCTACTTAATGATATGACGTAGGTTGTTCTAAATGCAATTGTTGCTTGGGTTATGACAAATTTCTTCCGGTGAGTAATAGTATATTTGTATTTCAATGTTTATTATATTTTTCTTGTACTATATATGAAATGAGACTTGTAAAATATCATACATGTATGACGTAATACATGTATGTGCTTCCATTACGGGTCCTCTGGATAATTATAATTAATGCCATAAGAAATTGTACTGTTTTGTTTCTGACTTCTGTGTTCTTGATTATTAATGGCCATAATATACATTGTATATTAACTACATTATTTGTAGGTGAAAATGATGTATATATATAATTCTTTTTTTTTTGGATTATGATTTTTTTTTGGCCAAATTCTTGGATTATGATGAGGGATGCTGAATTATATTGTAAACCTTTTTTTAAAGTTGTATTAATTATGGGACCAAAATCGATGTGTATATATTATCTCGTGTTCATGTTAGTTATTTTTGTCTTTTGATGAAAGTGAACAATCTGGGGAAAAGCTTTCCCGACTCAATAATTGAAAATCTTGATGATACATATAATTTCTTTTGGAAGTCATTTTCTTCCGGAATTAGCTATCTTATAACTCCTTTGGAGGTCATTTTCTTCCTGCATATCAGATATAGATGATTGATTGGAAGCAAACGACACAAGTGGTCCATGAGCTTGAGAACTACATATGAAAGAAGCTCCAATGTATGCAGATCTGTATTTTCCTGGACATTCATATCAATTGTTTCATTTTCCAGGATTTATTTGTAAATATTTTATTCATCTTGAAAAGCATTGAAGGGTTTAGAGTTTAATTTATTTTGCCTCATCTTCAGGTCAAATAATTGGTCTATAGGTTGTTTTCTCATCTCCCTCATGAAAAAATTGTGGCTCAAGTAATAGAGGCCAACTACTTCAGTTCTTGCATATGGACATGTTTGAATAACCATACATTGATACAATTAATATTATCTTACCTTATGAATGCCATGAAAGTGAAACTGATATATTGAAAAATAGTGTCTGCATTAGAGGGGACAAAGTGCACTTATGAAATCAAGAGACAATAAGGTCCTTAATCCTTTCAAGGGAAAAATATAATATTGACACTATACACTATTAATGACTGCTACATTTCTTCATAGGATCTGAACCAAGATTGGAGTCTCACAGGGAAAAAAGAAAAGAAAAGAAAAAAACCCTTTGAGATGTTGCAGGGTACAATGGAAGAAGAAAATATGAGAGGTTGAAAACTACTTTGTAATTGTTGACAACCTTGGGAACTTAGAGTTTACTGACAATTACAAATGGATGGTGAAAGCTTCATGTCCTATAGTTAGAGTACTCTGAAATAGTCAAGCATCAGAAACAGAAAGAACTCTGTTTCTGTTGCAAGGTTAAAAAAAAAAAATTACATACAAATATAAATTGAATGGTTAATGAACGAAAATTCAGGTTTAAAGACATACAATGTTAAAACCATTATAATCCATCAATGACAAAAAACAACAGGCTGTATCCCTTAAATTTAATTGATTGGTGCTTTGACCACTCATGGAATTAACAGGATCTATGCTCATGTTCCCCTGGCAACAAAGTTCGCAGCCTAAGGACGCAAACAAATTAACAGCTTCTGCTAGGAGAAAACAGATGATACTGCAAGCCAAGTCAAGCTTGAGCTCCATAAGAGATGATACTGCTTTACTGAAAGTAAATAGTTTCATATAAAACTAACTGAAAGCATTCATCACCAAACAAGTAACTAATACAGTCTGCACATTTTGAGAACATGATCCATAAGGCATATATTTGATCATTGCATTATTCTAGAATGTAAAGTACTTTCTGTTGCTTGTTGAGTAGGCAACTTAAATAGTACAATCAACTTAAAAAAACACCCAAATTCCAGAGGAATTAAGACTGTTCAGCTTTTACATATCCTGAAAATGTTCCTAATAGCAAGCATATATTGCATGATAACCACATTTAGATTTATCAGATTGATGGAAACGGACTGAGCCTGGCCACTGGGAAACAAATCAAGTCATTAGCCCTCAGGAGAGTCATTCCATTCATCTCTTCCATGTCAACAGTACCGTTGCCTCCACTCCCAAGCTTCCACTCAAAGCACTGAATCATACAACCAAGGACAGTTGAGACAATGCTTAGTGCTAGTGAAGCTCCAGGACAGCTTCTTCTTCCACTCCCAAATGGCAAAAGATTAAAATCCTGTCCCAACACATCCAACCACTGGCTCTTCCCTTGCCACTCTTCACTATTAAGAAACCTCTCTGGCCGGAACTCAAGGTGGTTTTTCCACTGCTTTGAGTTTCTGCCAAGTGACCATACATTAACATAGAGACGAGTATCTGCTGGGATTTCATAACCAGCAATAACACAGGCTTTAGTTGAGTCTCTTACAATGAATGGGCCACTGGGATGAAGCCTAAGTGTTTCTTTCACTATGGCTTGGAGGTAAGGCAGGCTGGCAACATCTGATTCCTCTAATATTCTGTTGTTTCCAACCACTGAATCGATCTCCTGTCTTGCTTTCTCAATTACATGTGGGTTGTTGAGTAGCTCTGCAAGTCCCCATCCCATAGTTGTGGAAGATGTATCTGTTCCAGCCCCAAATAAATTCTGCACAGTTCAAAGCATACAAATTAATTTCTATAATCTCGAGCTTATCTTTTTCATTTCAATACTAGTAATTTTATTTAATTATCCATTTTGGTACAATCTTTTATTTCTCTTATACTCATTTCCCTAAGAAAAATACTGTAAAAACTGGCTTGATATAAATACAATTGTCCGAAATAATTAAATTAAAATCTGTATGGATGTGTGCTTGAGTTTGTGTCAAGTATCATTACCAAAATGAAGGCCTTTATGTTTTCCCTGGTCAATTTGACCTCTGAGCTCTCATCTTCATAAATATCAAGCAAAATATCAAGTAAATCTTTCGCTGCATCACCTTCAATCCCCATCTCTTTCCTCTTCCTCCTCTCTTCTTCATGCTCTTTTATGATCTTCTCCATCATAGTATCATACCGGTCACGAACTTCCACTAGTCTTTTCCTGAAACCCTGCAAATCCAAATTCTTACAAAACCAAATAACATCAGCCAAATTAAACTTTGTCCCAAGGTCATTCATCTCTCTCATCATCTTCCTTATCTCGTCAGCTTTGTTCTCATCACCAGAACATCGATAGCTGACGGTCATTCGGGATATTGTGTTATTAGTCAGAGTCATAAGCTCTGATACAATATCAATAGCCTCTCCTATTTCAGCTTTCTTTTTGGTCATCTTCAGAAAGGACCTTATCTCTTGACGCCTAATTGGAAGGAGTTTCTCTAGTGTTCGGGGACCCAGAAGTTCAGCCATGCAAAGTCTCTTCATCAACTTCCACCTGGGTCCATAAGGTGCCGTTGAGAAATCGGATGTGCCATAGGTAAGGTAATCGAAGTTAGCCATTTTAGGGCGGTCTAAATAAGAAGTTTCATTAGTTTTCAGGAATTCTTCTGCTATGTCCGGGGATGAAACAAGGACACAATGTTTTGAGCCAAGGTAGAAGGACACTATTGGTCCGTAGCGTGTAGAGAGCTTGTGAAGACCTCGGTGAGGTATAGGGCGGAGAAGATGGAGATGTCCAATAATTGGTAGGGCTGGAGGGGTCGGTGGACGCCTACCCTTTGGCAGATTCTTTGCAAAGATGGCTAGGAACAAGATGATGGTTGCCAGGCAAATAGTGAAAAGTATAGCAGGATCTCCCAAATCAGCCATAGTTGAAGTTTTGAAAGATGACTGGCTGATAGTAAAGAGCTAGACAGAGTGTTAACAGAAAAGATGCCTACTTAAATAATTTAGGATTGTGTTTGGACCATGTGTATACGTATTCCTATAGTATATCCATAATGTAGATCATCAAAGCAACCACTAGGGTTTGGCAAAAAAAAAAAAGAAAGAGTAACCAATAGGGAAAAATAATAGAAAGTCTGAGCTTTGCGGCTTACAGATAATCAAAACAATGAAAATATTTTTAAATCAACCAGTTTTGACGTCAATGCTTGATTTTTATTTATTTTAACCTCTAAACAATATCACTATTGCCATGGAACCAAAGATCGAAGCTTCATCAGTCCTTCCATGATAATCCAGCCCATCAATCATTGAAGTCCATGAAATCACACTCTAGATGGCATCTTTCGAAACAAACAAACCGCCTTATCAACTTTTCCAAACTTCAAATACCCACAAATCATTGAATTCCAAGCCGTGACATCCTTCACAGGCATTTAAAAAGAAAAAAACCTTTCAGACACCTCGATTTTCCCAAACTGCAAGTACCCATTTATCATCGTCGTCGAAGAAACAGCTTTTCGTCCCAGCATTTCATCGAAATGCTTCTTAGCCGTAAATAATTCCCCGCAATGCAAATTCTTATGAGTCTCACAGCACTGATAAAATATGACGTAGGATATGAATATAATATAAATATAAAATATAAAAGTGATATTATTTAAAATTTTAATAATAATAATATTTAAATTTAATAAAATAAAAAATATATTTTATATTTTTATATTAATACAAATTATAATATATAATTTTTGTATGAAACATGATACAAATAATCATCAAACCTAAACATTACAATTTAGAATGGAGTTGAACTCAGTAAGCTATGGAAGTTAGCTGAGTGGTCCAGTCCAATAAATTATAATTAGTTTAAAAGTACGTTAAAGTTGGTTTGAGGATAGAATTTGTGTCCGTTGCTATTAACGTCTGGATTAGTTACCTTACCGCTGAGTCATGTTCAGCTGGAGTGATTTAAGGGAGGTCACAATGGCTGTATGGCATATAAGATTGCTGAATACAATTCTAGTCATGAAATTGAATCAATAGATCTCTTCTTATATTCTCTTTTTTTCATTTATTTTATTACATTCATATTTTCCGCTTTTTAGATTAGATATAAGTTTTAGTTATTTTAAATTAGTGATGGTAAAAAAAAAAAAAGGATTTAACAAATTTAAATGTTGAAAATTTTAAATTTCTCTGAAAGCATTTGTTGAGTTTGTGAAGCAGAACAAAATGATTTTCTTAATCATTCATATCTTTCAATTGTTAAACAAACTTGAATTTAAAATATCTAATTAACTTGAATCATATTCTAAGATAGCTTTATTGAACGTGATCAATTAAATTTAAAAATCAGTAATTATAATTTATAATCTATCATCAATCTTAATAGAAAATGACTTCGGAACTACATCAAAATAAAAAAATTATAGTCAAACATAAAATAAAAATAAAAATAAAATCTTTTGACGTAATTCCTATCAATATCTCTTTCTAACACACATCATCTTGATAATTAAATTGAAGGATGAAATATAATTAGAAATTAAATGAAGGGTGAAGTTACTTAATATTCAATTAAGAGCGGAGAGAAAATGACATTGGTCCCAAATTGTGAAATTGGCTTTCTATTTTCTTTTTTTTTTTAATTTTTAATCTACCCTTAAAATCTCTCTTACTTTATTATTTACTTGACTGAAAAAAATATTATGCACATAAATATTCGCAAACACGTAACATTCAAATGATAATTCTAATAACACATCAACTTATTCAAGGAATAATCGACTCTAATTTCTTTCTTTTAATAAAGAAGAGATATAGTAAACCATTATTGTAAGATCGTGCATGTCATGTGCATGGTCCCTTTGGTATAGTTTCGCCATTATAAATAAATATATATATATATATATCTTCTTCTTTTCAATGACCTGGTTGGCATGGCTTATTGGAGTTTGATGTATACAATTTTTTTTGTTAATCATTTAACTTTCAACATATATCAAGTAGAAAAAACCAATAAGCATGTCGAATAAATATAATCATCCAACCAACATGAAGTTGGACGAAAACAACGTATGTTGAAATGTGTTGAAACTTGAATCACGGATCAAATAATTTTGCTATAAAATAAAATAAAAAATGATGTAGAATATATATTTTCTGTTTTATTTTAATATTGTACTATATGTATATATATAATAGAAATTGAGAAATACGAGAGAAACTGTTTTGGCAAAAAGCTTTTGGACATTCAAAATAATTGCCCTAAAGTTTTAAATAATTCCCAAGTTCATTAATTCATAAATCATACATCATAGTCTGTCATTTTTTTAGCAGTGGTCCATGAGGTCGAAAGTGGTCCAGAGAAAATCTTAATGTAACGGTGATTATTCAACACATTTGCCGTCTTAATGTTCAATCATTACATTATTTTTCTAATATTCAAAACAAACATTTAATATATATTATCTTTTGAAATACATTAGGGGTTTGAACTGGTAGGTATATATTTTTAATATTTGTTTTTATTTTAAAAAAAGAATAATATGTAAAAAAAAAAAAAGAAAAATTAAATTATATAAAGCAAGTAAAAAGAAGTTTAAACCAAATGAAACCTCAGTTATATGCTTGAATATTGCCTTATCCTCCTAATAGAGGTTTATTTGCTGCTAATTGGTAAAGCTTGATTAGTAGTTTGTAATTAAGTTTATGGCATATGTATATGTATATGTATGTATATATAAAAAGAAGATTTTTGTCTTTTCTTTGTTAACGAATGCCAGTTATTTATGATATTTTTTTTAATTATCAATTTTTTCTTTAATTTTTAAAATTTTTAAACTATAAAAAAATTTCGATTATCAAATCTAAAAGTCCAACTCTCCATCAACAATATATTTTTATTATCTATACAATAATATACAATAATATGTGTGTATATATATATATATATATATATATAATATGATAAATTTTACCTTTATCCTGTTAAATGACCTTTTAGGAAAAATTGAAAACGTAAAAGAAAATGATAGAAATGTAATTAAAGCCTCCAAAGTCGTCCAACACGTAAAACCCTAAACATATTAACCCAAAAATCCAAAAAAGTCTCCAACAAATTAAAAACTTTCCTTCATGTTTCTGATTGTGTCATTCAACATTCAAATGGCATTTTTTTTCAATACCACAGGATTTTTCACTCAACAAACGGTTTCTGGTGTGTTATTAATTACAAGTGATGTATACACTAATTCAAAGGCTCAAATGAGTTCCTTGCCTTGTAGCACTAGCAACAAGTACAACTGTACATAAAACAAGTTTCAGATATTGGATTCATGCCTCAAATGGATCAAAACGGGTGATGGGATAGCACACAAGAGGAAGTGCAAATGCCCCTGAATACCCTGTACCTGCTACTCCATCGTCGGTTTTCTTCCCATCTTTCACTCTCCAATCAAAGCATTGTATCAGGGCTCCAATCGTTGCATGCATCACGAACATAGCATGTGATGCACCAGGGCAAGCTCTCCTTCCACTACCGAATGGAAGGTAATGAAAATCCTGGCCCTTCATTTCAGTAGAGTTGCCTAAGAACCTCTCAGGCAGGAATTTTTCCGGTTCCTTGTAGCTATCTGGATCCCTCATGATCATGTAGATGTTGATGAAAACTCTAGTCCCTTCCTTGAGATCAAAGCCGTTGACCTTCCTATCTTTGTTGGAAAGTCGGCGGAGCAAGGGCCCTGGAGGATGTAGCCGTAGGATTTCCTTAACTACTGCTTGCAAGTATGGGAGTTTTGGGGCATCAGATTCTTTGATTAGCCTATTTGTACCCAAAACCGAGTCAATCTCCTCTCTGAGCTTTTTGAATATGTGGGGATGATTGATAAGCTCTGCCATTGCCCATCGTATTGCTGCTGCTGTTGTATCCACACCAGCCATAAATAATTCCTATCGGACATGACATGAATCATGTGTCAACAAGCATTTTGCTGCTTTCATGTGATGGATATATAGCAGTAAGCCAGTAAAACAACAACACAATGATATTTCATAGAAATAAATTACTAAATAAGATGATCTAATTGGAAAAGAAAAATGGACAAGGTCCTATAGTTTAGTGATAATGACTTAATTGATAAGTGATAATTGAAGTTGAGCTTTATGCTAACTAATTAATAATTGAAAGACAGATTGAACTCAACCATAAGATTTAGCTTATTATAATTTATAACTAAGATCATCAACTGCAACTGAAACTAAGCTTTAATTGATGTTTGGTAACTGTTCTTCTTTAGTAAGAAATTATGCAAGTAACAATTACCATGAAAAAGTTCTTGATCTGATCCCTAGTCAACTTCACTTCAGCATTTCTGTCTTTATAAGTCTTCAACAGAATATCCATCAGATCTTTCTCTTGATCACTTTCACAATTGTTCAGCTCATTATCTTGATAATCCTTCATAATCTGCTCCATCAACTGATCATAACCCTTCAGAGTCAACTTAAGCCTCTTCCCATTACCAAAGAGGTCGAATTTCTTCAAAGGACCAAAAACTTCTCCAAAATGAAACTTTGCTGCATATTTCATGCTATCTGTAATAAATTTTCTGATCTCCGCGGCTTGGTTAGGATTCTTTGAACATCGCCTTCCCATTGCCATTCTGTAGATCATGTTATTAGTTAAAGCTGTTATCTCAGTCGCCAAGTCGCATAGCTCTCCTTCTTTAGACCTCTTCAGCAGCGATTTTAAGAGCTTGCTTGTCTCTTGCTCTCTAATATGGATGAACCGATCAAGCTGTGAACCTGTAAACAGCTTAGTCATGCATAGTTTCTTCATGAACCTCCAATAAGCACCATAAGGAGCATTAGTAAAGGAGCTGTCTTCATATATGTGGTAAGTTGTCGGACCAGGCTGGAACTTGGATGCAAAATCAGTATCAAATGTTCTCAATATTTCTTCAGCAGATTTTGCATCTGAGGCAACTACAAAGTTAGTAGCTCCCACGCGTATCTGCATTAAGTGGCCATATTTTTTGGCTAGACTCTGAAAGGATGTAGGTAATCCGGATTTTAACATGTGAATGTGACCGATGATCGGTAGAGCCGGAGGGCTGGGTGGATATTTGGCTTTTGTCTTAAACTTCCTGAAGGACTTAACCAGGAAACTTAGCAGAATAGTAGAAATGATCAGGATTAAGAAGTGGTAGAAGTAGTCAATGAGGCCAAGAGTGGGCGCCATGAAATTCTGGTATGGCAGATGAAGAGGAGTAATTTTGAATACGGGGTGCCAACCATCAGACATATATAATTGGACTTAGATTTTTAATCCAGATATCTCCTTGAAACAAAGAAATTTGGAAATAGAAATCCTCTGCCGCATCTAGCCACCCCTGTGTCCTGTTCTTGATGTGTTAGCTTTGAAGTTGGGCTTCGGCCCACATGTTTGGGCCAACCCAAAAATAAAGCCTAATTCAAACAAGAAGGAACAAACCCCCCCCCCCCCCCCCCTTCCTTCTCAGGTACTCTGGCTTTGGAAAGCAGACCGAAATGAGTAAGCTATTGCAATCTTTGTTGTGCCTAGATGAGTACACTTTTTGAGAGTATTGCTATGAAATCATGACTTTATTTAACTTGAACCATTATTTCAAAACCCAGACATTTGAGAACCCAAAAGCCATACATGCTCTGGGAGCTTTGCAATGGCTTATATACTTCACAATGCAAACGACAATGTTTGGCACATTTTAAAGACAGAACTACACTTCAAGCTCCATTTATTCTTAGCATTTTCACTCCTGAAATGGATCAAAACGTAAAACAGGATAACATTCCATAGGAAGTGCCATTGCACCCGAAAAGCCTGACCCAACGGTGATGTCAACCTTTTCCCCATCTTTAATTTTCCAATCAAAGCATTGAACCAAAGCACCAACTGTCCCATGAATCACTAGATAAGCATGTAAGGAACCAGCGCATGCTCTTCGACCACCCCCAAATGGAAGGAACCAAAAATCTGGATCCTTGTTTTGCATCAAATATTTACCATTGTTTTCTCCAGACTTGTCCAAAAACCTCTCCGGAAAATACTTATCCGGGTCGTCCCAGGCTTCTGGGTGTCGCATAATAGCGTAGGCATTGATCAGGACTCTATCCTTGACTTGGATGTCGTAGCCGTTGATCTTGCAGTCTTTGATGCATTCCCTATGGAAAATAGGCACCGGAGAATGCAGCCTCAAGGTTTCCTTGGCGATTGCTTGCAAATAAGGGAGGTTTGGCACGTCTGATTCTTTGACTAGCCTTTTGAACTTGACAACTGAATCAATCTCTTCCCTTAGCTTCTTGAATACTTGTGGATGGTTGATGAGCTCTGCCGTGGCCCATTGTATGGCTGCGGATGAAGTATCAATGCTTGCAGTAAACAATTCCTGTGACACATTTTTTGTTAGTTATAACAAAAAATTTATCTCAAAAACTAATAATAGTCTTTGTTAAAACAGTCAAATATAATACTCGCTAACTCCAAAGCAAAAGTGTGGTATACTGGTATTGGATTCTTTTTGGCCAATTACTGGTATTGGATTCAATTAACTATTAAACAGACAATTCCAAAGCAAATATAGAACTGTACTTCTATCTTAAATTGACTGTCTGACCTAAGTGATAAAAAATACATTTTTTTCGTATAGGATTCAAGATGATTCATAGTAAATGATACACACGATCCAAGATAGACTTTATTCCATTTTTCATTTTTCTAAATTCTTTAAAGAGATAATATTGCAGACAACCTAAAGAAGTCAATATATTTTTGTAACCATATGTAGCTTAATTCAAATAAACTGTTTGTAGTGAATTAAGAACTCACAAGAATAAAGTACTTGATCTGATCTCTTGTTATCTTCAATTCAGCATTGTTGTCTCTATAAATCCGCAGCAAAATGTCCATCAGATCTTCATCTCCTTCACCATTTTCTTCATAATCCTTGATGATCTGTTCCACTAACCTATCATACCTTTCAAGTGCCTCTCTAAGCTTTTTCCCATTTCCAAAAAGGTCAATTTTCTTCAATAAACCATGCACTTCATTCACTCCTAGCTTTGCCGCAAGCCCCATCATCTCCACCACCAATTTCCACATCTTCTTCCCTGCATTCTCATCCTTAGAAAACCTCTTGCTCATTGTCATCCTGAATATCAAGTTGTTGGTCAAGTTGGCTAACTCCGCACTCAAATCACACCATTTCCCTTCCCTAGATCTCTTCATCAATGATTTCAACAGCTTGACGATCTCCTCCTCTCGGATATGGTTGAACCTGTCGAGTTGTGGCCCCGCAAAGAGCTTCGTCATGCAAAGCTTTTTCATGAACCGCCAGTAGGTGCCATAAGGGCCACTGATGAAACCAGCATCTTTGTATATGTTGTACTCAGCTGGACCAAACTCAAACCTGGAAGCAAACTCACCGTCATGGATTTTCAGGACCTCTTTTGCGACGTTGGCATCTGAAACAACGACAAAAATGGATTGGCCTATGTGAATGCGCATGAGAGGGCCATAGCGGCGAGCTAGGTTTTGGAAGGACTTGGGCAAAGAAGAACTTAGGAGGTGGAGATGGCCGATAATAGGTAGAGCTAGAGGGCTGGGAGGGTAGTTGATGGAGGATTTCAGTTTTGTGCATCGTTTGATGAGCAAATAAACAATGATAATTGTAAAAACGGAAATGAAGAAAGGGTTGCTATAATTCAAGAACTCGGTGCTTGTTGCCATGGCAGCCTTGCTGTTGCTAATGAAAGAGGAAAATAAATTTTCATAATATAAAAGATAAGTAAATTAAGCCTTTACTTATGAACTTAGAGGTGTCCATGGCCCGATCCAGTATTAAAAAAATTATTTAATATTAATATTTCAAATATTTTATAAATTAAATTTAAATAAAATTTAATTTGTTATTAATAAAATCATAATCCAAATTAATTGAGCTAAGATTAAATTTTAAAATTTATATCAAAGACCCAATTCAAGTGAGATCTAATTCGCAATCTTAATGAATATCCCAACCCTTGAATAATTATGGTGCTTATTAATTATGATAGTCATATAATAAAATTAATATAGCTTTAAATAAGTTTTTTGTATGTATGAAAATAAATCGACTTTTAAATTATATATATCAAAACAAATAATAATTTTGTCACCCAATATATTTAATCATCCTTCACATCCCAAAATTTTTAAACCTACAAACCTTCAAATTAGAATTCCAAATACTAACCATCCTTCAAAAAGAAAAAAAAAAAAAAAAACATATTTTTAAAAGACTATATTTTTTGCATAATGCAAATATATATATAATTGTCTGTGTAATTCAAATTAATTTTATTATTTTCGTAACTAAAGCAAAGAGAATTAGAATTCAATTTTTTTAAAGAATATAACTAAGATTTAAACTATATCTTGACCCAAAAAAATGATATATATTACTCCATTATTTAATTTGCACAATAGCTTTTCTACTATATAACTATATGGGAGGGAGTCACATGCCCAAAGTACATGATTTGTAATTAAAGCTTCCAATTGACTTACTTAAAATTAAATCTTGATTTTGATTGGCTACGACCATTGGGTTACGAGTAGACCAAGATGAACATTGGATCATTGCTTGGGCATTTATATTTTAATTTATAGCTTTAATCATACATTAATAATTAAATTACCTTGTTTTTCGGTAAATTATTACTATATATTAATTTGATGATTCAATGAACCAATGCAAGCACTACTTAACTTGGATCTGAACTTGCGGGCAAGACCATGAATAATTGGTCGATCGTTCAATGTTAATGTTGGAATTTTTTTCTTCCTTTAATCAAACAATCAACTAATTAATTACTTCATTTTTTTACATTTTTAAGCAGTACTTTCTGTACTGTATAAATTCTTAATTTATTGCCTGCACTTATATTTAAATTGCAGCAAAAGCAATCCAAACTATTCATAATCAAAATTATTCAATTAATTTATAAAATTATTTTTATCAGAGAATTTAGTTCAATTAATTTATTTATGAGAATGATCTTATGAAATAATTAATTAAAACAATTTTTCCTATATGGTTGACTTTTTAACTGTACAAATCTTTTACAATTTTTTTTTTCAAGTCAAAAACCCTAAACAAAGTACTAGGGAACAGGGCAAAAAGATGCAAAACATTGCACCAATTAATAAAGTGAACAAAAATTGGTAGAATCCATTCTTATGATACTTGAATGGTATATGGTAAGATGAATATAGAGCACAGAAAAATGTGAACCAAGCCTAAACAGGTTGTATATCTACATGGTTTGAAACAAAATCCTCCTATTCCTACACTAGCCCCTTTAAAGAATGAAGGAGAGTGAAAACAAGACTGCTTACCAATCTTATACCAGGGCCTTCAGCGAGGATTGAAGGAAAATAGCCTCCTCAGTCCTGATCCTATAGTTAAGACATCTGGTAATACGTCAAGCCGCAAAAGAAAATATAGAAAGGATCATGCTATATGGTAGAAGTTCAAGAATGTAAATATATCATCAGAGGATGATTAGCCAGCTTCCACTGCAACGTGGCTTTGAATTTCTAGCCTTCCAGTTGTCCTCACTGATGCTGTCTTCCCAATCCTTGTGGTGGCATAATGCACTAGAGATCAACGCATTGACATCAGTGTGCGGACTTTCTTTTGTCTTTCTGCTTTCTTAGCACTGGGAGTCCTCTTCATTTTCTGTAATTCCTCCATCACAGCTTTCTCTACAGTGTCAATGGGGTTCAATAGTTTCTTTTGGGGTGTAAGAAGTTCTGATTCCTCGTCATTCTGATTAGTGACATTAAGCAAGATCTTTGACACATTAAGGACTGATGGAGGACGAGCCTTCAACCTGACAGTTGATGCTGGAGTAGAGAAATTGTGCTCGAGTTAAGCACATTATGATACATTTGAATTAAGAACCCTTTCATCCTGGGATATGGGGCTCTCAGTTATCTGGCCTTCACCTTCTCCTAAACGACCTCTCCTCCTTTCAATGCCTGGATAAATCCCATCAAATCTAATTATCCCAATAAAGCAAGCGCAAGAAAAACCTCTTAGTGACAGAACAAATTAAAGAAATATATACTATCTGCTCCCTTTCAGCTCAAATGCTATGCTCTCCTCCTTTCAATGGCCTGGCTTCTCCCTCAAAATTGACATCCAAAATAAATATGAGAAAATTTCCCAACTTTAACAGACTCAGAAAGCAAAGATAAATTCTGGCCATTCTGTTTGGTGCTGGAGTTGAGTACCCTATCTAATTTGCTATATAAAGTTCTCAACTTGGGCAGAAGGATAGGACACCAATGTGGCTATTTCATAGGATGACACTGTAACAGGGCAGTGTAATAATGAATGGCCATCTCACTACCATAGCCGATGAAACCATATAGCAAAAATTAGAACAAAATGGGAAAAAAAAAATAAAACAACTGAAGCCAATATATCAGACTGAAAATTAAAGAGCATAAAGACCAGCAGGCAGTATGAATGCAAGAACTAGTTGCAACCATACAACACAAACAATTACAACAGCCTTACAGGCAAATAGACTATGGGTGAAAAAGACTGAAACAAGAGATGAATGGATCAAAATCCAGACCTGAGAAAGTAAAATCGAGCTCATTCAAGACAGATTAAGAAATTACTATGATAATTTACTAAATTCAGCAACCACTAAAACGTATTGGAAATAAGGGAAAAAGGACAATAAATACCAAAAACAATCACATTGCCTTAAAATTTGAAATGTCTTCAACAAATGACCTAAATGTAACAAGCAAAAGGAAATGAAACCCAAACCATGAAAGTAAATATATCAGCAGTTGAATGGTCATAATTTCAAGAAGCTCTCATTAGCAAAACTAAATAGAGCATTTAAACAAGCCAAGCAATCTTTTTTTTTATTTAACAAACATTAAAAATAGTTAAGAAACAGATCAAAAACCACAAGTAATATCTGACAACAAAATAAATAAATGAATAAATGAAGGAGAAAAAGCGAGCATTACCCTTACAACTGCGGTAATATCACGGAGAGGAGTTCTTGGGTACGAAGAAGGTAACACACTGCCCGCACCTCGACCCGTTCCACGGCCCATGTCACTCGCAGTCGCCGACGATCGGTAAAGATTCCAGCCAAGTCTAATACCGGTTCTTGGAGTCCCGAAACGGTTTCCTCTTCGGAGCCCTCCACCACTGGCCGTGGCAGTAGTAAGACCAATACCCATTGGCCTACGCGTAACTGGTTGTTGAACTGGGGAGCCTAACAACTCCAGTGCTGCATCTGAAAGGATTCCTGAAGGCCCAGACCGTCTTCGAGCCAAGACTTCGGCTATATCAACGGCCCTCGTGATCCTATCTCTTGACTCTGCCATTGCTTATCAATTTCAACAGAGGAAAAATGAAAATGGGAAAATGGGCAGCAAAATTGTTGGCACCTGCGCAAGTTCAAATTTTGGGTTTAGGCGCTTAAGCGTAGTCGCGTAATTTGTTTAAAATTACTCTTTTGTCCTTATCGGAGCTACGATCTTAAGATGGGATTTATGATTTATCTCAATGTCAATTAATATATATATATATATATATATATACAAAAACTAATTAAATTAATCGATCATTACCTCATTCTGTCAAACAAAGAATATGAATAACCTTTTTCCTACAAAAAAACTGAAATGCTTTTCTTATGAATTACAAAAATGAACCTAAATTAACAAACCAAAAAAGTTTGGCAAAACAAAAACAAAGGTGGGCTGTTAAAGTAGGATCATCCACAGCAACCACCTTTCCTTTCTGTTTGCAGCTCCTGATTGGAAACAATAATCCGGGTTCCCTTAAGAAGACCTGAATTGCCATTGGGATCTAACTCATCGTTAGCAGCAAGGGTTTTCTTGCTGATTATTCGATATATCTCTGTTAGAACTGTAAAAAATGCAGTTTCGACGTTGGTAGATTCTAGAGCTGATGTCTCCATGAAGAACACGTTCTCTTTTTGAGCAAACTCTTGTGCATCTTCAGTTGGCACTGCTCTCAGACTTCTCAAGTCACACTTGTTGCCAATGAGCATGACAACAATATTCTTATCGGCATGTCCCCTCAATTCCTCTAGCCACCTTGCCATGTGGTCAAACGATTGACGCTTGGTCATGTCAAAAACTAACATTGCTCCTACTGCTCCTCGGTAATATGCACTTGTCACGGCCCTATACCTGATAGGAGAATGAAAGAAGGATACTTCAGCGCACCATACAATATGAAGGAAACAGAAACAAAATGCAATAGCTTGATGCAAACAAAACACAGTCCCATGAGCTTCTCAATGCCATCAGCCATTGCCATTTTACTTTGTGCCCTAATCTATAAGTTAAAAAGAATAAAGATTGTGAATAGTGAATACCAAATCCAGAGAAAATAGACATCTTCCTGAGAAGATGGTTGTATAGTTTCATATGGAATAAGACAGCCCTAGGATTACCATGTCAAAAAGAAAGACCAGCAATCTCTAATTATTGCTGCTGCAGGATGTGACTAGTTTTTCAAAGAAAAGTCGTTGTCATCATCAATGTAAAAGAAGAACAAACAAAACAAACTGAGGTCAACCAAACTTCTTACTTTTAGCTATGATGAAAGCAGTAATAAGATGCATTTCATTATTAGATTGGATGAAACGTCCATGACCAATAATAGTTACTCCAATCACATTAGATGAAATGTCATGGGTTCATCACAATTCAAGGAGCATTTCAACAAGAACGAATAACCTTGAAGAATATCAGGTATACAAGTTTTTGTTTTATGTCTCAGAAAAAATTCAAACAATTATTTGTGAGGAAAATAAAATTGATAGTTGCAACCCATGAAAGCTATTCTCTTGTTTAATGACAGAATCTAGTTTAGACATTACTTGCAGTATAATCAGTGGCATGTATACTCAATGATCAGAATTCTGTATTTGTTTAGGTGAACTAAGAGGAAATTTATCACACATGCCAAAACTATGGTAATCTAGGAAACGAGACTAAAACGCCTGATTACAACAAGACCAAGTAGAATCTTTTCTGCTATTAACTTCTTAGAGGATTACGCCAATCAGATCTGCTATCCTGAAGATAAAAAGATGAGCATGTGCATTTAGGAGGAAAATAAGTTATATACCAAAACTACAAATAAGTTTACATCCAAAATTGAATACCATTTGAAGATGGTATACACAGGACCATGATAAAGAAGGAAAAGGGTAGAACTGAAAGCAGAATAAGATTGTCATGGATGAACAAGATGATACTCTGGTTTAGAACTTGACAATGCAGATGAATGAAAGAGCACATACCTATCACTGAAATTCAGAGCCAGATTTCTATATCTATATGTAATTTGAGTTCCCTCAAGATATGAAGGATCCACAGAGTAAAAATATTCACTGAAATAAGGTAAAGAATAGTACACGGTGGGTTCAAGATTGAGTAAAATGATGCAGCGATAAGCCATGTACCCAGGATAGTAAGATACTATCCTAAGGTAAAGAATACTAGTAAAAAATATTCACTAAGGTAAAGAATAGTACGCGGTAGGTTCAAGATTGAGTGAAATGATGCAGCAATAAGCCAAGTACCCAGGATAGTAAGATACCATGCCACAATCTTCTTTTCTGTGCTTGCTTGATGAACGAATCCATCCCAATAAATAAAGCATAAAGTTCCAAACAAAAAATCCATCAAATCAGAAAATACAAACGCCTAACTTTGATGTACCCTTGAGAAAACTATAATACAACTCCATCATAAATGAAAGAGGAAAAGCCTATTAATAGCATAAAATTACATGAAAAATGTTTTATTAGTATGTATGATGTTGGCATTGCAACATAAAGGGTTGGAAACAATACTCTAACATGTTGTTGAAAGGTCTTAAGTCTCATTCATTGTTTCTTGATGTTTTAACCAGTGGAAATCAGATAGTTCTTTACTTCTTTCTTTTCCTTTCCTAATTTTAATTTTTCCAGGAGGAAGAGAATGTTATGTCAGATTAAAAGCTTATATAAATAACAGCATCAGCAATGGGTTGTTACATTTCATGATCTCTTCTCATTTGAAAAATTTTAGGATCTATAACCAGCAGAAAATGACCCTCTATCTTCAACAAGAATGACAACAAAAAATTGAAGTATTTATAGGAGGTTTAAGAATTTTCCACTAAATACCATCTAAAATCATTCATAGAAGACTCAGAAACTAACAAAACCTGGGAAGCAGTTATTGGCCTGCTAGTACATTTCAATTTACCATTTCAAACCAGCATTACAATAGAATCACTGATAGAATTTGTAACACTTAAGTTCCACACTAAACAACCTTACCACTGACATCATTCATTAAAAAGAAGCAACATAAAGATCTACTTCATATTAACCAAATAAGAAAATCTCAAGTCTACTGAGTCCCTTGGCTTCAACTAAGTAATCTCCAGAATTCCACCATAAGCCGGAGCACCACTTATTCTTCCAAATCATCATTACAAAATGTAAAAGGTATTACTTTCCTATCGAATTCTTCTTTCATTCATCCATGCAGCTTTGACACGGCTTGACCTCACTTCCCATGTATTTTATTGTCCTAATTTTCTTAGCTTGAAATAATGAAACTCGGTCTGTCTATCACAAGTGTTCCTTTGAAAGGTAAAAAGATATAACATAATTTTTCCTTAACATTTTCTGCTCTAACTCTTTCTTTTCCTTAAATCTAACAATTGTGCAAATAAATAAATGAAAAATTCAGGGGTATACAAGTAAAAGTCTTACCTTTCTTGGCCAGCAGTGTCCCAAATCTGCGCTTTAACAGTCTTGTGATCAATGGAAAGGGTTTTAGTCTGGAATTCAACACCAATTGTGGCTTTTGAATCCACACTGAATTCGTTCCTGGCGAAACGAGCCAGCAGCTGAGATTTCCCAACTGCTGAATCCCCAATCAAAACCACTTTGAATACATAATCAATCTTCTGATTGTAATCCCCATACAAGTTTGACATGGTCACCACCCAATCAAAATCCCCCCTCAAATTGATCCACCGCTCAAAATCGAGAAATCAATTCGATCATTAAACACAATACTCAAATCAAATCAACTAGAAATGAAGCACTGGGTGGCATGAATATAGATTAAAGTAAGAAATGTGGAGAAGGGCAAAATGGGAATGAGGGTGAATGGGGAGAGACCAAGATGGGAATTGGAAATTAGGGTTAGGGTTAGGGTTAGAGGAAAGAGGAAGAAGAAGATCGGAGAATTTTTGGATTCATTGAAAAGAGGTGAAGGAGAAAGCCAAATACCAATGGTCAGTGCGGGACCCCATTAACGGTTTTTTGCTTATTGCTGCTTTAGAAGAATTGTTCTGGTGTGTTCGATGGATACCCAATTTTGGTATGCCTCATTTTTATTCAACTTTATAAGCCTACCTTTTCTTTTTTTTTTAATGTAAAATTTTCTCTTTTATCAACGAAAAATTTTTTTGGCGTCTATCTTATATCATTATTTTAATGATAAAAGCAAGTTTGTTTAAACTCGACTTTGAAAAAAAAAAAAAGTCTTCTCTCATCCTAAATTTTTATATATAAAAAAATTGATAAAATAGTTTAAATTTTAAAAATGTAAACGATGAAACAACTGTACTGCTTTTCTTTACGTAGTGTTACATTTAAAATTTGAAATTAAAAATAAAATGAGTTGAATATAAAAGAAGAAAAGCAAAAATTAAAAAAAGTATATATTATATACTATTAAAATTAAATGTATAGTTAAATTGAATTGAATCGATATATTTATTATCAAATTTGAGTTTATTCATATTTAGATTTAAATTCAATTAAATTTTATTTTTTATACTTAAATTTAAATTTATAATTTAATTTAACTGCTTAAATTCGATTTGTTAATTTGATTAAATTCAATCCGATTTATTATTGCATAAAATATGGATTCAAGTATGAGATAATATATTGAAATCAATTAAATAAGTAAAATATATATATTAAAAAAAGAAAATCAGTAGCATTTGGTATGGTTTCCGAGCTCAAAAATTGACATAATCTTTATGATTTACGTTGCCAAAACTATTGATAAATTGGTTGGAGGCTTAAGTACCCGTGCATGCCAAAGGCCATTTTTATTGACAATTTCTTGCATTGCCTTTTCCCCTTTCCCTTCCCTTTACGCAATATAAATAAAGGGTTGACGCAGCTGTTTTTTTTTTTTTTTTTTTTTTGTTAGACAGCGCCCTTTGAATAAATAAAAAGTGGATAAGGTTGGTTCAAGGCCCATACAGTGGCTTCCCAAAGATGGGATGACGAACAACTAAATACCTGGAAGCTAGCCATACTTGGGGAATTTCAACTTCAAATCAAAATTTACATAAAAAGTAACCAAAAAAAAAAAAAAAAAGTGAGAGATGATAACGAGTAATGCAATCCAAAAACATATCCTATACAATTTTCTCTTTATTCCATATACCTTGAAAGTGGGAAGCTTTTTTAGCTTACAGGATTGGAATCTCGTGATGAAAATGCAGCCAAACTTTTTATATCATAAAAGAAAAGGAAAAAAGAAGCTAAAAGCTCCTTTTTTACTTGGTTCACCGCATCAAAGAAAGACTAACAATTCATTCATATCAAAATTCTATCCCCTTCTCTCCATTACTTTCCTTATCTTTTGTACAGAAGCAAAGCTAATCATACAATTTGATTTGGGACTGGTTTCTGAATATTTAAGCACTTGCAGTTTGCTCGATTGTCGCTGAGAGTCTGCAAAAGAATGTTATTGCAAGTATGAGGTGAAAAACAAAGGTATCAGAAAAGAATGTTGAGTTAGAAGTTTAGGGTCTCCTTCAGTACCTTGAACTGTTTTTGAAGGTCCTTGATGTACTCCACTGCCAAATCTAACATGTCTGCTGTATTGGTTTGCTGCCAAAATCAAACCCCAAAACATTTAGTTTCCAAACACAGAAATTCTGTCCAAAAGTGTAAGGAAAAAATAATACCTTGTCCATGTTTGGAACAAGCTCTTGTAGCTTTCTCATCCGTTCACTAATCCGGGTTCTTCTCACCTGAAAGAAATTTACTCTTTATAGTCCCCTTTATGAACTGGCCGTATTTGTTAAAACAACTTAAGCAAATAGATATGGTCAATTTGAAAGCATGCTAGATATATGATCAGGAGGTAATTAGGAAGAGCAGACTACAACAGGTCTGAAATGTAGGCATTTTTACCCTTTCTGCAATGCTTCGAGGATGAGTAGCACAACCACGCTTAGCTCTAATCTTACAAGGGACTGAATCTTGAAAATATAGAAACTTCTCCGTGGCAACTATCTCGTTTGAAGTCTTTGGCAGACTCAAGTGGTGAGATAATACATGAACACGACTTCCAAGATCTCCATTCTATTAATAAAGAACCAATCCAAGATTAAAAATCGATGCAGTGACGAAGAACTAATTTAAGAAAAGCTAAAGTTTATATGAAAATTTATACCTGGTTAATGGAGAAGAACTTCCGCTCATTATCTTGTGTCCTTTTCAAGCCAGAAAAATTCTCTGCGAAGCGTGCAGAATCATTCCAAGAACTATATTGGTATCCAGTGCCATAGAATTGAGCATCACTGTTGCTATTTCCAAGTTTGCTATCATCGGGACTATTAGCCCCATTGCTTTCATCGCCAATTTCTGAAATCTGTGACAACATGCCCAAGGAAGAACGTAGTCCTGACGAGAAGCTGATCTGATTCTTCAATCTGTTTGAAGATGGACTTAATTCTCCATTAGTAACATTCACCCCACAGTAGTTTCCCACACCTTTCCTGCTGGCATAGCCTGCAATTTACTGAAAACATTTTCAGTAGTTCATCCCAGTCTCTAACTTCCTCAGTACTAAGTTCGTTGGCTTCACATTACAACCAAAATGGATTCACTAGACAACCTCAAATCTCCAGGTTCAAAGAATTCCTTAATCAAATAGCATAAACTCAATCTAACTATTAGTAAAGAGTAAGTAAACAAATTGAATGAGTGGTCTGTATATTAATTTACAAAAAGATTAACGATTATTAGCTTGCTAGATCCATATTTCAACTCCAAATCTATTCAGCAAAACCAAAACCCCAAATTTAAACTTCAAATCCAATCTTAAATGATAAGAAAAGAACAGCTACCAAACTAGCAAAACCAAAAGTTTGAACTACAAACCAAAAATATTACAGACAAAGAATTAAAAGCCTAAACAAAATAAATTGATAATCATAAATGAAAACAATGACAATACCATTTTGAACAGAAAAGTTGGTAAAAAGCCCTGCAGGAGAGCTACTTTGCCTCATAAGGCTAGAAATAAACGGTTTCCCTTGACTGTGATGATCCATTCCCAATAACTCATATGAGCTATCCATGGTAGAGGAGCTCGTAGCAGAGCTCTGTCTCGGATAATGAGGCGGCAACCCTGAATAACTCTGCTGCGGATTCGCATAGTTAACAGCCGTCTCTGTCCCAGATTTATCCTCGATTTCTCTGTCACCGCCGCTTGAATTCATGAATCTGGATATCGATCTCTCTGAGTCGATACTGCCCTTGCTAATCCCGCAATCAAGGCTATTGGTGAAATTAGCAAGAAGAGAACTTGGAGCTGAACGAAAACGTAACAACCCTGAATTGGGTTGATTAGTTTGGTTTTGATAGCTTTGATGGGCACTTGAATCCATTAAAACTTCCTCTAATCTTCCCCTGTTTTGCCCTGTTTTTACTCTGTTATTTTTCTGCTTCGTAGAGCCGAGAACTTCAAGCTAGAGAACCATTCTACGTAGCTCAAGTCGACTTCCTATAAAACGAAGAGGAAAATTCTGAAGGAATTTTAGCATCAATTTCCTGGAAGAAAATTTTCAGCTTAATTTCTAAGCAGAGTGCGATAAGATCTTGAAGAAGAAGCAACTAAAAGAAACCCAAAGGTCCCAAAATAATAAGTTGACAAAGGGAAGGAAGGAAAAAACCCAACATAGAGAAAAGGAAAGCATAAATAGAATTAGAAGCTGAAGGTTTTAGAATAATTAAATCAGATAAAAAAAAAAAAGATGGATTTTGTGAAAGAAGAGAGAAGATAAACATGAGCCTCAGATTAGCTTTTCACAGTACCAAAAGCAAAGAAGATCTAGAGAGAGAGAGAAAAAGGGCGGTGTTGACAGATAAATAGAAGTGGAAAAGAAAGAGAAAGAAAGGAAAGGAGGCGATATTTATCTTCTTTGCCTTTGGGCTTTGGGTTGTACACAATGGCAGAAGTACATGGAGAGCCATCAATTTCAGCTTCTCTTGTCCCCCACACGCTCGCACCTAACTTTTTTTTAAAAAAAAAAAAATTAAAAATAAATAAATTGATCGATCTTTTAAATTAAAATAAAATATATTATATTTAATAATTTAAAATAAATAATTATAAATAATATATTTAAAATAATCTTAATAAATAATCATCGATAAAATTTAAATTTAAATTTTTTTAAAAAAAATAAATAATTTTAATCTATTAAACCATACGTAATTTTAACTCTTATGTCTTTGCTTATTTTATCATTATTTCTTTTTTATTTATTTTTATAATTTTTTTACGTAAAAGTCAAGCGAAAATGATTTTTTTTAATTAAAAATCAGAAGAGAACCTTCAAAAAAAAAACATATATGAGATTTATATATCATTTATTTAAAAAAGTCAAATATTTTTGTCTAAAATTATAATTTTTATAATTTATAATAATTAATATTATTTATTTAATATATAAATTAAAATTTTTTTATCTCAAAATTATAATTATTTTATATTATAAATTTTTATATCATCAGTTGCACTAAATTTTTGAGGTGATAAATAAATTGTTTGCTTATACTCTTATTAACGGATTTTTTTAATATAAAAAAATTCTTTAAAATAATATACCAATTGATTTTGAATTTAAGACAAAGTCAAAATTAAGTACACAACTTTTGTTACCGGCAATGAATTCTCAACGTAGTACCTAACGTTTTGTCAAGAAAGAACAACAATTCGGCTCAAGGGCTTTCCTTTTTCTTGCCATACCTTTTAAACGTGCATTATTAATAAATGGATTAATATTATAAATAATTTTAAAATTATAAAAAAAATCTAATATAATATTTAAATTTAAAATTTTTTTAATATGATACATTAATATAAATTTATTACTTAATAAAATATTTAAAAAATTATTTATTTGTCATATAACATAATTTAAATCTAATCATATTAATAATAAATATTATGTTAATTAATAAATTTATAATTTAAATATTATATTAAAGATTATTTGTAAAAAAATTATGTTAATAATTTTTAAATTTTAGATATTATATTAAATATTTTATTATAATTTAAAATTCATTCATGACATTAATTTTTAATAGATAGAGTATGATCTGAAAATTAATTTAATTAGTTTACTTCTAAAATAAAATATATAGTAAATTTAAAATTTAAATTCTAACATCTAAATTTTTTATCTCAAATTACAATTTCATTTATAAAAAAATAAAAATAAACAAAATACAACATAAATGATTTGACCTAATAGTAAGTCACCGATATAACAAGATATAATCTTTTGGATTTATTAGATATGATAATATTGTTATATTAATAAATAATATATATTTACTTAGTTTTAATTTAAATATTTTATTAATGAATATAAAATAGATTAGCTTGAGTTTATGTTTTTTATGTATCAATTAAATTTTATAAAACATAAAATTATTGTATTAAATTTTTATATAATATTTATTTCTTTATTAAAATTTTAAATTATATAATTTTATATATTTATTATATTATATTTATATTATATTTAAAATTATTTTATTCTTTTTATATTATATTTCCATAACCTTTTATTTTATCAAATTAAGTTCATAAAAAAGAGAATTTGAAAATGAAAAAGAAAAAAAAATGGTGTTGAACATCCAATAGTATTGCAAGGTGGAACAGAAACCACGGGGATATGGCGGAAACCACATGAGAATGGAAAGCAATGGAAAGCTATTGTTCCGTGATTACGCCTTGACGTAACCCGTGACTGCACCTGATTCATGCCGTATCTGATTCCTTCCCTCCATCCTTTTGACCTTTTTCTTTCTTACCATCCTATCATATCAGAATTCAGATAAACCAGCGCCGTCTTGACCAAATGTCAGCTTCATTTTCACCACCCGTTTTCTCTTTAATTTACCAAATTGCCATTCCTGTAAATAATAAGTTTTTTCTTTATTTTTTTATTATACTATAAGCCACCTAGCCTTTTCAACTTTGTGAAACTTTAAAAAGGAAAAAGTTTAATTAATTAAGAAGTTAAAAGCATGTGTTCGTATTATTTGTAAAAAAAATCAACTAAGGTTAGTGAAAATTAAATATAACAGTTTAATTCGATGAATTTTAATTTAATTTAATTTTTTTAGATTAATTTTTTTAAATCAAATCTTAAATAAAATTAGTTAAGTAATTATAAAATAACGTCAGGATCGAATTTTAAGTGAATTCAATTCAATATATATAATTATTTTTAAATTATTTATTTAATTTTATATTTATATATTTATTTAATTTTATATTTACATAAAAATAATATTTTATATTATAAAAAATAATATTTTATTAATTTCAGATCGAATTAAATCAAACACAATTTTTTATAATATCATATCAGATTCAAAAATTATGAATATAGAATTTAATTGAGTTCTAGGCGAATAACAAAAATTTATCTCAACTCGATTTGATGTTATCTCTAATAAAAATTAATAAAAAATTATTTAATTTGGTGTAAATAATATGGTCAACGAGGTTTACAAGTGTAAAATTAAAAAGTAAGAAAGCATATCTTTGTTTTATATTTCTTTATCATGCAATAATAAGCAAGATTGATTAAAATGGAAGGATCTAAACACATTTAAATGATCAGAGATTAATCGATTTGGTACTTTTAGTATCTTAGATCAATTGGATTAATTTTTTTTTTCTTGTATCTTGTTCTTTTGCCAAAAAGAGAATTGATCAAATCCGCATTTAAAAAAAAAAAGGTAAGAAGCATAAAAAAATGTGTACTGGTTGGTTTAGATTTGCATGTTGGATCCTATTTTATATATGTATTTCTTTATTATTGGATCAAATCTTGTATGCTTTTATGCTTGTTCCACAACTTTATAGATGGATGGACAAAATTATAGTAATTTTCAGGTTAAAAAAAGAATAAGATAAGATAAAAGTCAAGTTATATTAGTATAAAATTTTTTAATTTTATATATTTTTAATTACTAATTTCAATAAATTACAATTAAAATATATATATAATTATTTTAAATAATTGAAAGTAAATTTAATTAATGATAAAAATGTTTTTATTCAAATAAAAAATAAGTTTATATATATATGTGAAGTATAATTTTTTTTTTTTAATTTCAGTAACGAAATCAAAGTGACACATCTCTTTATAAAACACATTAAAAGGGAGTTTTTATTTGCAGCTCAATAATTACTTTCATATCTTAAATTTTCTATAATAAAAGTATCACTAAATGAAGTTATTTAATTAATTTTTGTTTAATTATCTTTCAATCCTTTATACACTTATTTCTACTTTTATCCTTCTCTTCCTTTCTCTTCCATTTTTCTTTTTCCTTCCATACACTCATATCTGTAACAAACCTTAAACCATAAAAATTGCAATTATTATTAAGGAAAGAAAATCAATGGGATGAAGAATTTGGGATTTGGGGTTTGAGATTAGGGCTTTCAAGCATTCAAATTTGTATTTTTGAAAATTTATTAAAATTTATTAAAATTTTTAAATTTATAAATTCAAAAATTCATAAAAATATTTTACTTTCGAGCATGTAATTATGACAACTTTTAAAATTTTCTAAAAATATAAATCTGAAAACTTGTGAAAACTGTCAAAAATGTAAATCCAAAATTAATGATTTCACTCAATAAATAAATCAATATCAGAATTTAATTTTATCAATATTTTTCCAATATCAAATACAACTTATCTCTAAATTGAAACTTGATGACTTAATTAACTTTGGAACTTATGATTATAGAGTTTAGACTGAAGTTTTAGAATGATTTTTGGAGTTAGAGGTATGAGTACAAATTTTATGTTAATAAGTTCATTGTGGTCTCAAATTGCCCCCATGGTTTTAGTGATAAAGAAAAACAAAGTGAAAAAAAAAATTTTGATAGTGAGAGGAACAAGACAAGGGATGCATATTGAAGGGGCCTCCAATCCAAAGGAAACAAAGACATATGAGATTGCATTCGCTTGAATGGCTTTGCTCACAAACTTCTTTTTAGTAGTAACAAAAAATTGAGCTCTTTCTTTCTACTTTTGGGATTTACATCTCCAAAAAAATGTTATAAAAAATGCTTCTAATTTAAGCAAAGATCTCTTGGTTTTTGTGATGTTGTTTCTTTCAACTCTCATTTCTTTTTATTTTTCTACTTTTTTTTTTTTGAGAAAGAGAGATACCCACAATCCAATGGCAAGTAACCTCTTTGATTCTCTTGATCTTTTGAAGATCATTTTTATTAAGATACTTTATTTAGTAGATTTTAGGTTGATTGCAACTGTTAAATTTAACTAATTCTTCCATCTTGTTAATTATGTTTGATTTGATTTTTTTAATAGTTAAATTTTATTAATTTTAATCATTGATATTTTAAATACTATATTAAAATATATTTGAAAAATTCTCCATTCAAAGTTTTAAAAAGTTTTTTTATTTATCTAAAATAGTATTTTTCTTGTATTTTAATTAATAATCTATTTAAAATAAAATAAAATCAAATTTGAAAAAAAATTTGACCCTAAAAAGTTAAATTAAGACATTATTTATGTGACAAAGGGAGTAATAGACACATATATATATATTATAAAAAATTTCAAAAGAATTTTTATATTTAAACTATTATTTTGCATGAAAATCACTAAAATTTACTGTTTTTATCATGTTAAACTCTACATGATCTTTATCTTAATTTATCAAATCTTCATTCACGTGGTATCATATAAAAAAATCATATTAAGTCGATATTGAGGAATTTCAAGTTCAAGTGAACATCCCAATTCAATTCGGCTAATGAAAGTATTGTAATTTTAATGTATTATTATATTTTACTTAATTTTAATTTAAAATCTATTTAAAACACTAAAACATTAATATAAAAAATAATTTATTAGATAAGCTAAAGTGGGTAAACTGAGTTGGACCTTAGGAGGTGTCAAATGTCAATTGAGTTTGACCCATTGACATATCTAATTGACATGTAGCAACAATTTACATGGTAGATCACAAACATTTATTATTAATAGTATATTAGTATTGCACCATAAAATCTTAAAAAAAAAAAAAAAAACTTTGGTGTTATATGAGAAAACCTTTAAACTACAAATTTTAATTTATAATTGAATAATTTTGAAATCATCAGTTTGAGAAAATATTATATTGGGATGTCTTATTTATAAATAAAAGTTTTTTAATAACTAAAGAAATAATCTCATATAATATTCCTAATGTAATCTTAAATATTATTCTAATTATAATATTATAATACCTAATATTATGTTTGACTATATAATTATAATAATATTATCTAATGAGAGGTTTTACATTAAGTGATGATGAAAGTGATTGTTAGCTTTTATGGCACTTCATTATACCTCCTTATAGATAACACTTTTGGAATATAAATATTAAATATGCTTTAATCTTTTTTATTATCCTAACTTATTTTGAGAAGAAAATTTTTTTTTTTGGAATATTAAAGTACTTTATTATTCTTCATACTTAGGATAACTTACTTGAATCATATTTCTTAACCATTTTGGACCCTCTTCATTTTTTTTTATATTTAAAACTACTAAAAATTAATATTAATTATTAAAAATTTAATACTCTTTAAAATAATTGAAAAAACTGAATAATGTCCTAGCAGGAAATGGGGACACGAAATAAATATTTGTACCCTCTTTAAGACAAGACAATTTTTGACAAATTTTTTTGGGCTTTTTTTTTTTTTTTTAATTCAATCATTGAAGTGGTGCTATTGAAGCACGCACGGTGCCTGTCATAGTTTTTCTTTGTCTTATTACAAGGTTCCTCTAATCCCAATGGCTTTATCTTCGCCCAGAACTGAAGCATTCAAGCTGGGCTTGCTCTGGTTACATGTAAAGCCAGCTCCTATAATTTGAGTTGTCGAGTGACAAAGCGCTTGCTATACGGGTGAATACTTTGATACAAGGGTTTACAATTACATTTGAGGCATTCCATTATGAACTTCATAAACATATGGTTTTGCATGAATCTCACTTGATAGACAACTTCCAATTTGGAAGCACATGAGAGACATGAATATAATGCTCCATTAGAAAGAGAGAGTAAGAGATTTTTGCATGATACGTTTGCTTGAGGATTTCATAACTATATAGATACTTGTTTTGCATGACCTGGATATGCTTCTTTGATCAACATTCAAATATGGACGTGACCTGGATATCCTTCTTTGATAAACATTCATATATGGACGGATTAAATCATTTAAAGATAACGCATTTGATTACAACAATAAAGTCATACATCAAAGTGTCCAAGGATTTCAGAAACCAAAACAGCTTCTGCAGGAGCCAGCGGTAAGCGACAATGATGGAACTTTACTAGATTCTTCCCGACATATTTTCACTACGATTTGATACGATCAAGACTCTCCGACACAGTTCTCATCCTAGGGCGCAACTCTGGATCCAGTTCTGTGCAATTGAGTGCAATGTGAAATGCTGCAACCACTTGCTTCTTCGCATAAACTTCTGTTAGAAGTGTTGGGTCTATGATTTCAGACAAGGGACGCTCTTCTCGGAATGCCTTCCTCACAAGACCTTCCAACCCCTTATCATCATTTTCTGGTCCAGCATCAGGCAGCCGACCAGTTAAAATCTCCAATAGCACAATTCCAAAAGAGTACACATCACATTTCTGAGTGAACTTGCTACCAGATACTCGAGCCTCAGGTGCCAGGTAAGAATTAGGAGTTGAAATTCTTGAAGCCACTGCAGGCGTTGCAATTGTTTGGGTTGTGTTCAGCTTTTTGCTTGCTGAACTGGTATACTTGGAAGTCCCAGAGACAAGACGAGTGAGTCCAAACCCGGAGATGTAAGGCTGGAGTTCATTGTCAAGAAGGATTTTTGTTGATTTTAAGTTGCCATGAACATATTTTCGAGGGCTGTATTCATGTATGTACATTAAACCCCTTGCAGTCCCCTGAACAATTCTCAACCTTGTAGCCCAGGAAAGCGGTGGCAAAGTATTGGACGGCCCTCCTGCATAGTTTGAAAACCACATTAAAATGGCTATGTTTCGCGTGTTATCGTAGAATTACCACAGTCAAACAAAAAGCACATAGGAAAAGCTCGTTGGATGACAATAAAGAAAGGTGTTTTTCTAAATCTATTATTTTTCTCACTTTGCAGTTTGCATACAATGACAAGTCACATACAAACTAATTGCAGAGCGATACCAAACAATCTACTGGAGAATAATAATTTCATGGGAACTTCTTTACAGCAAAACCTGAGACATGCAAATGCACTTCAGATAATAAGGCAAGTATTGTGTCAGTGGTCCACATTTTGTTAAATGTCATCAACAATGCATAAAAAACAATGCATTTGTTAGCCATTCTGATGGGGTCCGTTCAATAAATTTTGGCCCTTCAACTTGTAGAACAGCAGATCAGCAGGACCATATGCGTTCTAAATGCATACTTTATAGTGAAATGATACTAATAAAAGACAAGAGAGACATTAATCTCTGTTGAAAAGGAAAACACCAAGAGAAATATGTCACAAGTTAATACAGGGCCAATGAGGACAAACAAACTCTCTAAAAAGATCCAGCAAGTAATTCAAATGAAGTAAAACCAAAAGGCTTATATAAGATTCTCAATTTATCAATTGTTAGAATTTGCTCCTATGCAGTTTTCAGCTTACACCCTCAGCAGGAAAAATTAGAAACTAAAAAAATTTGTGACAAGAAGTATCACCTACTTATCATCAAAGTAGGGAAAGCAATAAAGCCTATATTCTATTACCGTAGTGTTCGGTGTTTTTCTCTTGTTCATCTTACTGGTGAAAATAAATATGGGAATTTTCCAAGAATGACCGACAAAATTTATAACAAAATCCGTGCAAAATTGACGCAAACTGTTCACTAGCTGAAGAATTTAGGTGTTTGAAAACAACTCGAATCTCCTTCAGCTTACTTGTCAGTATATTTCCCTATCATTATACAAGACAGGAGCTGTCTTGAAAGAGATAGATTGTGTTGAACTTGTATCGTATTAGCAAGGCCAGTAGCCCAAGAACATATGACTGTTTATGCTAATAATCATCAATGAAAAGTATAGAAAGTAATGAATCACAATCGGAAGAGGAAAACAAGTAGAAGATATTGTCAAATAGATTTCAACAAGAAGATGCAGTAAGCAATAATTCTTCCAAATTAACCAGTATACCTGATATATCAGATGTAGAATTATCGGATTCAACCAGCTACCTAATATAATATACAAAGATCATGTACTACAAAAAGAGTACAGGTATGATCTAGACTTTTAAGCACTCTACAGTTAAAAATCAAAACTAAAGTTTACTCTGGAAATTTCATAACTAAAGTATCTCAGAAACATGATCATACATGAAAACTCCCACCAATGCTTTAATGTAATCATAACTCTGGGTTTTATTATCTTTCCATCTGGATAAATCATGAGCAGAACATTGAAATTGAAGTTCTAACAGTTCTCTTGTTCCTATAGTTATATAAATTACAAACCACCGACAATTTTGTACATAAATAAGAGTAATTTTGAATTGTTCAACAAGCCACAGGGATAAGAGAATATCACTGTTTTTTCGTATTCGAGGCTGTCAAGATTTGAACTCTAGTAGTTAGAACCAAAGGCCAATGAGATCAGAATATCATCATCATACGCATAGTGCAAGTAGACTCGTTGCAAAACACAACCAAGATTCAACTGTAAAGTATGTTCCAAAATCATTGACTTATGTTTAATGACAATAAAGTTAGTGGGCAAGGGACCCATCAAATCAATGTCCAATACCCCATTTTTTTCAAATTAGGGTCTCATTCAACAATCATAATTAAAGAAATAAAAAAATGCCACTAGCTACTTCAAGAACTGCATTAGTAGAATTTAGACGAATAAAAAACCAATGGATGGAGAGGAATGTTACCATGTAATGCAGCATACAAGCTTCCATTACGGATGAAATCAGTAACCAGCAACTTCTCATCATTGGCATAATAATAAGCTTTCAACCTAACAACATTGGGATGATTAACCCTCCCGATAGCCTCCACTTCAGCCTCAAACTCCTTGAACTTCCACGTGGCATCACCCTCACTCAATCTCCTTACAGCAACTACCGTAGTACCCACCGTGCAGGATCCCCTCCCCGTCACCACTTTGTACACTATCCCACTCCTACTCTTCCCCACTACGTACGCAGATGCCCTCAACAGATCCTCTAATTCCAAATTGAACCCTTCATCAATCACCACGAATTTACCATTTTGCCCTTCTTCATCAACCTCCTGTTCCTTTTTCGTTTTCCCCATTTTACCTTCCCCTGATTTCCATTTCCTCCGAAACAGCCAGACAAATACCGAAACCACCCCGATCACCACCGAAACGCCTGAGATCAAGGGAACAGCCACTGACCCATTTTTCTCCTTGCTTCTTTCTCCATTCCCATCATCTAAAATAGGCCTAAAACCATTGGGATTTTCTGGGTTTTCTTCAGGGTTTAAAATGGCTCTAGGGTTCTGAGCTTCAGGGCAAAGATTCCCCAACGGAAACCCACAAAGATTAGGGTTTCCTGAAAATGCGGTGGGCCCTTGGTTTAACAAAGAACCAACTTGAGGCACTTTCCCCGTTAAATTATTTTGCCTTAGATCCAAGCTTATCATAACAGGAAACTCTCCATAAGAAGCTGGGATTTTACCTGAAAACTTGTTATAAGATAAGTTGAGGGTTCCTGTCAAGCTTTTAAGCTCGACGAGTGACTCAGGGAGTGACCCGTTGAGTGAGTTGGAAGAAAGGTCGAGGTGGGTTAAGTTCTTGAGGGATTTTATTTCTGGAGGAACTGAGCCAGAGAGCGAGTTATGAGACAGGTCAATGTAGATAAGGTTTGTAGCGTTGAAGAGATGATAAGGAATGGGTTTGGAGAAGTTGTTTTGAGAGAGACTCAGGCGAGTTAGCGAGTCGAGGAGACCAAGTTCTGATGGGATGTAACCGGTTAACCCTTTGTTATGAAGGAAGATTGAGGAGACTCGGTTACGAGTGCAGGCGATTCCTGGCCAGTGGCATGGGGTTGAGTCAGACTCAGACCATTTGTCAAGGGAACGACTTGGGTCGGATTCTATGGCTGCCTTGAGAGCAAGCAGAGAGAGACCATCCGAATTGAGAGAGGAAACCATTGAAGTAAAGAAAAACAGAAAGTAAACGACATTGGGAAGTGAAAGTAGCATCATTTTTCTTTGTGATTTTGAAAATGCCAGTCTTTCTAAAGCTTCATTGGATCGTAAATTCATAATCAAATTTCGGTTTCATGCAACGAGAAGTTGCAGAAGATGAGAGGAAGTAAGGAAGCAAATGTAAAGGAGAGATCTTTGATGTGTTTGAAAGTGGGGGTAGTTTCTCGAGGTGGAGAATGGAGAGAGGGAGAGGAGGAACGTGGCTGGCTAAGCTTTCTATACAAAACAAAAAGTTTGAATTTCTCTGAGCATTAAGCACTCAGCAGTGTTTTTCTTCATATATTGGGAAGGTTTTAAAAAATATTACTAGTTTATTGGACATCAACACTGACAAAGACAATTTAATCAGGTGATATATTGGAATATTAATTGCTCGATTACATGAAAAGCTGTTCTGTCTTTTCTTGATTGCCTCGCAAACGTTGTAGCTTGAAAACATTTTGAATTGTTGTCTTGTAACTAGAAACTCTAGAACCACAACCCATAATCAAAGAGGATAGTTTTACCAGTACTAGTAATCAAGATTCTTTACTCATGTTGAAATATAAGATATTTAAAATCAGTTTTTTTTTAATAAAAAACATGTCCTTTAATTATTGAAATATATGTTTCCATTGCGAATCTAGGGTGAAAACCTGAAAATATTCCTGTTGAAGGTCATGCCAACTTACATACATTGAGATTATATATATATATATATATAGATATAGATACATATATGTAGTTATAGATATCTTTCCATTTAATTTCAAAATGGGTGTTACTGAGTTGTGTCAATTAGAAAAACTGAAACAAGAATTGGTTGGGGGATTGGATTGTTCGGTAAATTGACACTTGAAACTTCAAAGTAGAAAGTGGGTGAGCTCCCTAGTTTGTAATTTGATACATTTGTTTATGTCAGACAATCATCCAGGCAGGGCCATCCATGCTTGTCAAACTGGCTCTCACTTTCAAGTTTCCACTTCGAAAAAAAGGTGTTTTACGTAATTTAGATCCTCTACAACTACAACAACACAACACACCATTTGAGATTTTCAAAAACCTCCATAGCATACGACATGCCTAAAAAGTAGAAATTTGTATGCTCCAATGCTGCTTATACCCTAATACTTGAGAGTATTACGTTTGGCTTTATTCGAAAAAGAACATTTTCAGATTTTACAGTGAAACTGAAACTCCTTTTTTTTTTTTTTGAACTTTTTAAAATTCAAATTCCCCTTTCCATCCAACATAGTACGTACAGATTTCATAGAGATAATCATTTAGATTTGGAGATGTGTTCAAGATTAGGATACATAATTTTATACTTTCGTTTTATTGTTATCTAATTGAACTACTTTCAACATAAGATACACATGAAACAGTTAGAATATCCTTAATAAGAATGCTTTGTTTAGGCATTAGGCCATACAGAAGACTAAAGGCAAAAAGAGCAACAGATTTTTATTAAAGTGATTAAAATTTTGGAGAATTTAATTATCCTAAAGATAGTTTGTTGAAACAGGGGAAGATATGGCTTCTAAAATATGTGATAAAGAAAAGTTCAACTGGTTAAAGAGTATCTGCATCCATCTACTTCCAAACATTCATCAATGGTACATACTTTTGAAAAATTATGTCAAATTCAAATCTCATCGTACATTTGACATATTTTTATGTTAAATTTGTTTAAGCACGTACTGTTGCACTGCTGCTTCGATGTTTAATTTATTTGCTTGATTTAATTTAATAATATTTTATATAAATATAATACTTAATTTTAATTTTCTTATTTATAGTTTCGTAAAAAAATTGCAAACTTTTGTCTGATAAAGAAGAAAACAGGGGCCGATGTTGCGTAGATTAAAAGTTGTAATGATCCAATAATTGACAAAGTTGTTGCATTCCTAACATTCAATTGGATATGATGATGTTCAAAACTTTTTCATTTTATCATTTTTGGTTCTTTACCGGTCAAAGGTGAAAGTAAGAGAATGATAATGCAAGATAGTGCAGTTTTCAAAGATTCAGAGAGAGCTCAAGTGCTGAAAGCACTAACGCAGCCCAATATACCTAATTTGAATTTTAGCCAAAAAGATAAAAGTAACGGCATTTTTGCTATCAAAAATGAAAAAGAAAAAGCAAAAAAGTATACTTTTAGGTTCATCCAAAGCAATATTTATGAAATAAAATCGTCAATACTTTTCTTTTGTATGGCAAAACGTAAAAAATCCACCAAACCTTAATCGGATCCAAAGCGTTCACCAAAAAACAATCACCTTTTCTAGTAATGTTATTGTACCTTTTAGCCTCAATGGAGTCATATGAGATCCACATGCGGAGATCGAAAATTGTCGTGTTAAAAAAGTTTAACAGAGAAACAAACTTGCCAATGTTGCCACACTCTTGTTCAGTTTAACTTGGACAAAAGTTTCATGGCATAACTTTCGGCATTGTCGACTATTCCTCTTGTGCAAATATTCAGCTCCTCTTCAGCTTCAATGTCAATGGAGTTGATAAAGTGATGGTTGAGTGTGAAATGGAATGAAAAGTGATTTATTATGTCAAACAAAAAAATAAATAATCTTGAATGATCATTTGCAACTAAACATAGTTACATATTTGACATCGATGATACAAATATAAAAGATTACATGCATATGCTCTAAAAATTGAATACTAATACTTATATATTGTCAGAATCAAAAGTTAAAGTTTCGATTTACCAGGCTTTGTTCCAGGCATCTGCAATGCATCATAATGACCAAAACCATAATAGAGAACTCTTATAGGATTTTCCTTCCCATATTCTTGGCCATACTCTGCAATCATAATCAAGCCGCCAGCATCCTTGTCATACATGTAGACTGTGATTGGCATCCTGTAATCATCAATTATAGATATATTTATTCATTTATTGACTTAAAAAGGGAAAGGCAGAAAAGAAAAATCTGCCATGCAAGACATCACGAAAGGGCTTTTTTCAATGCCAGTATATACAAGAGAAGAATACATTTGCATATGGTAACATTCACAATTCTGTGAATTAGGCTCTCTCGGTCAAGAAAACATAACCCTTTTTATACAATGCTGAAAAACACACACAGACAAAGACTTACTGGAGAACATGTGAAGCCATGAACAGTTCAGGTTCACCTCCCCACACATGTGGCTTCCTTATTTGCGATACATAGGCATCAAAATCTCCCTCAACAAACCTGTTGGCATTGTTAAGCCATCAGATACATGTTAAGAAGAAAAAGGTTCAGCCTAAGTGAAGCAATATCTTCTACTGAAAAGATGAATGCCATATGATTTTGCCCAATGTGAATGACAAGTATTTTTCATGTAGAGAGCTAATACTCTTAGAAAACTGATTGGCCACTATATTCAAATTGGTACGAAAGGTTGCATCATGAACAATAATAAAAACATATCGGAGTTCTTCCTCTCAGAAATAGTATCAGTAAACTGAAATTTAACATTAATGAGTTGCCTACATGACTGCTGTATTGACATCTCGCTTTCATTTCATAGTATTTAACAATAGATGGAAGATTCTTCTGGCAATAAAATAGCTGACAGCAAAAGGGACAACAAAATGAGTCTAGAAGTTGACAAAGATGAGAGCAAACAGACTTACAACTCAGAAGACTTACCATTCTGTTTCTTTTCTTCTTTTGATGAATTCATCTGCAACCTGCAGAAAAGACAACAGTGCATTATGCATCAAACAAATCTGTTTAGCATCACAAACATAAGAATTATTCTGTGAACAAACTGGCATCACTTTTGATTCAGTAAAAAAATTTTATAAAAAGATTAACAAAAACTGCAAAGTTTTAGCAATTGCAAGTTATAAAAAAGGGATATATAATCAGTAAACCAATCAGAAGTAAAATATTTTTTGTATATAAAATAAAACCCAAAAACAAAAAAAAAGAAAAAGGAAAAAAGGAAAATGATTATGGAAGCAGACTGAGAATATACTTTAGCCCTTAATTCATCTGCTAATTCTCTCTGAACATGCTCATTGGGAGCTGATCTCCCAGATCTTAAACAAGCTCCATGAGCCACAGACCGGAACATACATCTTCCATCTCCAGGTATTCCTGCACAATATAGGGCTTAGGGAGGTAACTTAACTGATACTCCAATTTAAATTCAATAACTAGGTGCAAATACTTTCTGACCAGGCTGAATAAGGGCTAGGGTGTAATCTGCCACTCACCAATAACAGAGAAGTTGGTATAGACTTTTTTCCCATGAGAGAATTTAGCATGAGAAGACCCATATTCATCTTCATTGCCCTCCTTTGCCCCAGCAGCTTCTGTGTATACTGTTTCAGAACTTGAATAACAAACCAACAAACCAAAAACTAAGCCAGCAGAAACACAACCTGGAGGCCAGGATATAGGTCCTCCAATGCATTTGAATTTTTGAAGTGTTCCTTGTTTGGGTAACAAAAGCCTTATTTTCATACTTTGGCCTGCCCAAGAAATTTCAAACTGTCTTTTCTGTTTTCCTTTATCACTAACTGATTCCTGTAGTGCTAGTGACTGGAATTTGCCACTTTGACTGGAAGAGCGAAAGCAGCCTGCTTGGAATTCTTGGCAGCCAATAGCAGGTGAACCAGATGTTGTATTGGAAACAGAAAGATCAGTATATTTTTTCTTGGGTCCGGCATACAAACAATAATAGCATGAACTGGATGGTCCATGGGAAATGACACTGGAGAGACTGCTGCTCATTCGGCCCTTCATGCGGACAACATTTTTTGCATATGTGCTGATGGGAGAACAAACCATCATGTCGGCAAAATCTGATGCACAAGCACAATAAAGAGAGCTAAATGCCCAATAATCCACAGGCATAAATTTCAAAATTATGTCACCAAACAATTAGCTGACTCATTAAATAATCACCAATTTACAAATCAAGTTGCATTTTTTCCATTACATATCACTCAATTTATAGAGATTATAAGTAGGTTCAGCCAAATTATTGAATAACCATACCCAAAACATCATGCAGGAGTATATGCAGGTTAAACAAGTAACGACTATATGTATTTCAATACCTTGACTAGCATTTTTAGAATTTGTATTTGGGGAAAATGATTTGATCAATAGTAACAGTATCATTGATACCTATTACTTCATGAAAAATGATTCTTAGAATTGCAGCTATAGTGGCTGCGGCAATAACCTAATACAAGTCATACTTACCCCCATAGGGGGGGGGGGGGGTTTCCCAAGTGTAAATCCCCTTTCCAGCCCCAACTTAACAAGTCACGAGAATAATTTTTCCTATGATTATGCATATAAAGACAGTATAAGAGACTACTTTATCTTATTACATACATGAATCAAATTCAGGTTTGGGTTAGCGCAATTGTTGAATTGATTCCTAACATCACTCTCGGTTATATTTTCTGGCAACCTGAACGGTCCAAGCCAAAGAACAAATTAGGTTGACTGCTGAGTTTGGAATGTTCAATTTTGAGTTTGAAACTCAGAACTCAAGGTCAGCGTTAAAATTGCATGTCAACTTGAGAACCATGGCCAAAAATCATATTAGGTTCACTGTCAACTCAAGCCTCCTTTGTACCCCATTTATGAATAACAAAGAACATAATAATCATGCCACTGATTTTTTTTTTCTTTTTCTTTCTTTCAACCCCTTAAAGTTTCTGTAAGTCATTCAAAAGTTTGTCCTCAAAATTTGATTGGATTTGAAAAACATAAATGAATATGATCAACCCTTTTGTCATATTCATGCTTATTGCTTTCTCAAACTCTTTAGCATCTTAATGCAAACAACTACTGCAATACCAACGCTGATTTTGTTATTGCAGTTTATAAAATCGATCAAATTATCCCTCATCCAAACTATAACTATGTTAAAGCTCATGGAGCTAATTGCATCATTGTCTGATTTCTTCTATGTACAATATGCATAGCAGAAATGTCCAGAAATAAACAAGGGATAACAAAGTAAATAAGATAAAAATGTCGCAATAACAATAAAAAAAATAAAAAGAAACTAGAAAAGAAATTGGATTGAAATTGGAAAATTGATGAAAATGAAAAGAGAAAGGGGAAATGCGAACCTGTTGAATCGAGAAAAAGGGGGGAAATGATTGTAAAAGAAAAGGAAAGAAAGGGGAAGAAATGGAAAAAGGAAATGCAAAAAGAAACATATGGAAGGAAAGAATTACCTGGAAAATAAAAAGAGGGAATTGGAGTTTTCAGTAGAGACAAGCAATGGATTTTCTCTTTGTAAAACTTGCTTTAACAATTGATTGGCTTTTGGATTCTGAGATACGCTCAGGTGTCTCTCTCTCTTCCTGTGCTTGAGTACCAAGCAACGAGTCTGCATGCCTATTTACATCCCCTATGCTCAAAACGGTTGCGTTTTAAGTTGTTGCAGAACCCAAAACAGTGGTGTTATTCCATGTAAGAGCTCCAAGCTCTTTGTTTACCATCTAAGAAATTTACTACTAGTAAAAATTTGTTTACTGCAAAAAACAATTTTTTTAACAAATTTATTATTAAAAAAGAAAAAAAAAATACCTTCCTTTGCCTTGAATCACGTGGCACCTGACGATCGGAAGCATGAAGGTGAGAGCAATCAGAAAAAAGTAGGCACGCTCACAAAGTGAAAAGGACCTTCCCCCGTTCTTTTCTTGAACGGTACTTCACTCCGTTCGCTGTCTTGAGTCTTCACAGTAAACCCTGCAAACCGGAGAGGGTTTTTCTTTTCTCTCCCTTTTGCTCTCAATAAAAACGCTAATAAGACCTTTCACATTGTTCGGGAAAATGGCTTGGGATTTAATGTTCTGGATTCTCTGTTTCTTTATCAAAATTGCTCTCGTCTCTTCATCCTTTTATCAGGTAATAATATTTTATTCTTTTTTATTTTGAAAAACTGTGAGTAATCTTTTTTTTTTTTTTTTAAATTGTTTTGGTGCAGTTGTTGTCGTTGTCGGATCTTGAGTCTGATCATCTGAATCCTTTCGAAGCATCGACTCGGATTAATTCGGTTGTTATCCCGGAGTTTCTTCTGCAAGGATTTCTCTGCGCTCTTTTCCTGCTGACGTGGCATTGGTTCATGTTTCTCTTGGCTGTTCCCCTCACTGTTTTTCATCTGATGTTGTAAGTATATTTATACTGATCATTTGTACTGATTGCTGTACTATTTTTGGAGTTGGAATGGTGATTTCTTTAGCTTTATTTGGTTTGATTTAGGTCAAATATTTTAGATTTTATAATTCGTAAGTGATGATATGGCGCCTGTATTGTCGATTTGGCATTTTAGATTGTAAATCTTCGGTAGTAGTTTGTATTTGTTGTGAATTACTACATCTAATATATATTTGATCTAAATGGAACCGGCTTTTATTACTTGGATCCTTGCAAAGAGGGTCCTGTCGTTCTTTCAAATGCATTTATTATGTTTAGAAAGTTGTGAATTCTATGAGATTCTATCACCGTTTCACAGAGAAAGATGTGTGCTGTTGTGTTAGAGGAAATTCTTCAAGCAAGAAATCTTAGAAGGTAAAAGTTTTGTTTGTAAATGGTTACTTTAGGCAATGCTTGCATCGTGGTTCCTTTTTAAGTGGTTGACAAAAGAGCTGACAACTGAATCAACTAACTTAACTTTTTTCGTGGTTGTTGAGGGTATTATTATGTTTTGACTAATTTTTCTATATAAATTTGTCACTGCACTATGTTTGTGGGTGATTGGTAATTGAATTTTTCAGGTACTTGAATCGAAAGCATCTGCTTGATGTCACTGAGATTTTCAGAGATCTTAACAACGAGAAGAAATATAGATTTGTCAAGCTGGGCATTTACTTATTGCTCTTCACTTTAGTTTTGTTCAGGTTAGTTCTGAACTTTAGCAATACTTTGATTTTGATTAGCCTTATTATTTCTGCATTGCCATGTACTTATCTCATGATTTAATATTTCTAATTAAGCTTTTCCCTCTTTTTTGGGTGTAGACTTCTTTCCGCAGGCATATTCTTTTTCTTCACTTCCAAGTTGGAAGAATTAGACATTCGATCCTCTCTTTTCTACTAGTATTTTAGGAACCTTTGGGTCAGTCATCTTGTTATAATTTAACCTATGCACGTACAGTGTCACTCTGTTCTCAAATTAGATTGCCATTTGACCTTATGATGCATCCATAGTTTATTTTCGTGCAAATATTGAATGCATGAATAGCTTGGCATTGTTACGGTTGCATTACATGAACTAGCTTCTAATGTGTCCAATATTTAATAGTAACTTGCCTATTTGTGATATCTGATTTCATTTCATTTCTTAGGTAACTTTTGAATGCTTAAGACTCAAAAATTTTGTTTTGAAAACCTGAAATTTCATGTTTTCATAAAGCAGCACATGTTATTAGTATACTTATGTCATACATGTAAACAAACCTGTCTCAATATGTATGGAGGATTCTATCTCTGAACCAAGAGTATTTCTGGTTCTAACATTTATAGTGTGTTAGCCATACATTATGTATCTTATGAGTACTGAAAAGTACTCAACTTCAAGAAAGTGTCAGTTGTTTATATTTTCTCTGAGGGAAATTGTCATCTGATCTAATGTACTGTAAAACTAGTAGAATTCAGTAGGCTGTTAAACTAAACTGCCACCATTTGTTATCTGTGTGACCAATTTCTTATAGCTAGGACAATTGCACAATTAAGCAGTGATAAAATTCAGTATGTCTGTCATCCAGAGGTGTTGTTGAAAGAGATATTTGTCATGGGCATGCTGAAGAGAACTGAACTCTTTCTTTAATTGATATGAAGATATTGTAGTTTGCTGTTGTTTGCTGCCTTAGAAAGTACATAGCCTGAATTTTACTTATAGTGGAAAGAATACAAATTAGGCTCTAAATTCTCCTTAATAATAATTTGGTTGAGTTTCCTTGAGCAAATCCAAGATCCGCAGGTGTTACTGTGTTGAAATACAAGGGTAGTCAAATGTGAAATGAACAAAAAGTTGACTGTATTGATGTGATATGAGCTCTGTGTGGACCTGTAACGAATGTCAAACAATAGTAATGGTGATTTAAAACAAGTCATAAAGTCTGGTTAAGAAGATATTTGCTATAAATTTATAAATGCTAAGCGTCTCACTTATTTGGGCATAATTCAATATAATTATAAAATATTGAATGATATTAGTAGCTGAGAACAGGTTTGTGTTTAGAGAAATAGAATTTTTGATGTTTAGAATCTTTTAGTTGTAAAGAGTAATTTTTTTTCTTAATTAGTTTGTGTTTTAGAGAAATGGAATTTTTTTTTTTTTATCTTTAGAATCTTTTAATTTAAAGAGTTTTCTTTCTTAATTAGTTTTTTTATCTCTTTCTCACTCTCTATCTCTATCTCTCTCTATGTTATACAAGCTGATAATAACCTCTGATTTGCAGGCTTATAATTTCTGCTTTCAACTCTTTACACGATGAAGTTGACGAGCATGTATTTTGATTACTGGGCAGTATGGTAGGTGGTATTTGCAAGTTTGTCATCCATATTTCTGATCCATATAGAAAGTGAACCTTAACTAACAGGCATAGATGTATTAAAACTTGGATTTAATTAGTTTACTGAATGTTTTTCCACTTGGGTGGTCATATCCTTCATCTGTTATGGCTGATTCATAGATGTGGGAGGTTCTGTAGACTGTTTAAATTTTGAAGAATGAAGGGAAAGGATTATTATTTTCCGTAAGTAGTGATTAAATCAAATGCTTTTTTAGTTGCCATGTAAAATTTCATATGAATTCACTAAGGTAACTTTTTTCTCTTTATGAACTTATTATACCAATTGATGATCAATTTAAATTTTTTTATGTTATGCACATGTTTATTTTATGATGGTGTCTCAGTCATCAAGTACTGTTTTTCTTTTCTTTTATGCTTTGAAATGGATATTTTGCTGCAATTGTAAGATTCACACTTCTCATGGTTTTTTTTTTTTTTTTTATAATTGAGAAAATAACCTTCTCATAATGATTCTGTGATCACACATGTTTGATAAATTAGTGATCGTTTCACATATGCAAACCATTCTGAATTATATATTGATGAGCAAGTATTCGATGTACTCACTTTCTTAGTTTGAAATCAACTAGTTTGTGCTTAATTGGACATGCTATAACCTGTCTAGCAGATTATATTTGCACAACAAATATATGGTATCAAGTGCTTATGGTACATGACTGATTGATGGTTTCACCAGCAGTAGGAAATTGAGTTTGCTGTTTGCCAATTGCCAGGCCACAACCAAGTCACCACCTTTGACATTCTATGCCTGTCATTTTTTATGAAACTAATCAAATTATTACGAGAATACTTGAAAATCCACAAAATTTCCTTGATTCAATTTCATTCCTAATCAAATGGGAGGAAATAATTATTCCATTTATCTTTTTTATTTATTTTTATTATTTTTTCTTTCTATTAACTACAGTGCTATGGATTTTATTATTGCAAGCTTTCTTTTAGGGAAAACCCTTCCTTTTTCTCCTTATGGTAATACTTTCCTCTAGGAATATTATTTTAAGATCTTTTAAACGGGATTGTTTGATCTAATAATTTTTTTTAATGAATTTAATGAAATAATTTTGATCGATCCGTTAGATTTAATTGTAAGCTAGAAAATTTCTTGTTCAGTGCTATGAGAGTTGCTTTAAAACTAATTTTGATCGAATTTCTTGAAGCCACCCTCCATGCAGGATTTTGCGATTGCATTAATATGAAAACATTCAAACCTTCCTTGGAAGACCATTAGCTCTGATTTTAATCATTTGGAGTACTTCAAATTTAAAAAAAAAAAAAAAAAGTATGTATGAACCTAATATTTTCATCCAAAGCCAAATATCCTTGACATATTTTATCTCACGTATGGTTTTTTATAATACTTAGAAAATAATAAAAATTTATATCATATAATCATTCAAATTAAAAAATTTAATACGTTATCAATAAATCATACTTTTTGCGTACATTACGACGGGGAAGCGGAAACTGAAGTTGGCAACTTTTTTGAAGATGAAGAGAGGATAAGGATCATTTTTAGAGAATTCATAATGTCACGATCTCATCCGATAAAAGAAGAAAAAGAAACTTGAAATAGATCAGGATCAAGCAGATCATGTTACCTATTGAAGCCGCCTAGATATATATATATATATATATGTTTATATCTCCAGTTGCACTGACTATTATCCATAAATATTCATTTCATTTATACTCCTTTGGATAAATTTGACCAAGAATTGTATGCGGTGCCAATCTTTATTTCTTACGTCACCCCTGATGTCTTTCTATCTAATTTTTTTCTTCTAAGGCTGCAAAACCGAACACATAAAAATTGTTTGAGCTAAGCTTTTTATGTTAAACAGGCCTTACAATGAAACTTGATTTCTGGTTCAAAATCATTTTGATCAATTATTCATGAACTGTTATATTATTATTGTCTACTTTTTTGCATATAGAAATCTTCACTTTCTTCCAAAGATTGACTGCTAAGATAAAAGAGTAGTATAAATACAGATTTTTGCACACTGCATTTCATGCTTTTATTAATTTCTTCGATATTGATCCCTTGACTATAAAATACTTTGTTGAAGTTCATTATTGGCAGGAACTTACTTTTACAATAATTGATGAATAGTTTTAATGACAACAGCTGAAAAACCATAAAGGAAGCAGAAGATTGGGCCAACTTTGAAAGTCAAGTCACAGACACTGAGACAGGTCAGGCAGATCAGCCAGGTGGAAAGTTAGATGAATGGAACCCCTAACCAATGCTTCTTAGTCTTCAATTATAAAAGCTGAGCCATGGATGGACCACAAATCAGAGGTTTCTGTGACACAGTTTTGCATTGATAAAGAGTGCCATTTTATTTGGACAGACTCCAAATAACATCTTGGCCAACCCGCCCTTGTCAGAGAGTACAAACTGAGTTTATTTTTTGGGTTTCAAACTGTCTTAGAAGATCCCTCATCCCATGATTGTTCAACTAGTACAACTTCTGGTTTAACCATTTTCTTCTTGGCAAGTTTTAAAATTTTCAAGCGTACCCATTTGGGTTGAAAATGTTTAAGTAAATGTTAAAAACCTGAAGCGAAAGACTATAATGAAGCACATTTCAAATTCAAACAGAAATTAAGGAGTTGTCTGGAAAATTGCCCACAATTGGAATCAATGGTAAGGTGGGGATGGTACTATGAAAGTCTGCAAACTGATTGATTGATTGATTGTCTGCTCTGCTCAATGATTTTATTGTGAAAAAAAAAAAGGACCTGTTCTTTAATGGTGAAAGCAAACTGTGGAACCCTAAAGGAAGGCCATGGTTTAATTTAGAGCCACACCAAGATGTAATGAACTGCAAAAGCACTGTGGTCATGAATCTAATGGGAAAAGAAAAAAGGTTAGAAAGATAAAATGATAAAAACATTGGATAACAAATCAACAACCAGCTAATGTCTGATGACAATAATCTAATTTCTTTTTTGTTGCAATTATAATAATCTAAATTGAGACAACTATCAATCAATTTGTAATTTTTTTTTTTTGAAATGCAAAATATACATATTTTATATACATAAATTATATGTATCCGTTATTTTTTCAAGTTTTATTTTTTTTTTCCATTTAGTCTCTATAAATGTTGTCAAATTTATATGTATGTGTATGAAAGTTATGCATTTGTTATGCACGTATAATTTAATTAAAGACATTATGAAAATATCATCAAAATTATTAAAAAAATAATAATATAGATACAATAATTCATTAAAATTTTATTATCATGTCATGATCGTTATTGTCGTCGTCGTCATCGTCGAGAAAAGTTGATATAACAACAGACAAGGATCACGGACAAATGACCTAAGCATAGTGTGCTCGACCTAAGCTAGTTTTCACAATGGACAAAACCAAAGCGAATTTGATAGATTTTTATTGGTTGATTTATACACTTGATGGGAATCATATTTCACATCAAAATTTTTTTCTGTTTAAACAAAAAAAAAACAAAAAAATGGCAAGGAAGTAATGACAAGGGTGACGAGATCCCTATATTAATATTCGTTACTGTAAAAAGTTGGGAAAATAGTAATTTTTGGCTGCAAGTTTTGGTGCCTTTTAAGCTCATATGATCCTCTTCTTTTGTTGATATTGTTAAAGCGATTTCTTGCCTAATCTAAAATGCCGCATAACAAACTCTCTCGCTACAAATTCATAATCGTTACCATTTAGATGTTGATAGTAAAAGCGACAACATGGAAATAACAAATGGTATAATCGTTACTTTATATATATTATCAAACTTTTATGTGAATTATTTAAAATAATTTACCCAATTGAATTATTTAAAATAATTTTACTACTTTTATTATGAGTTAAATTTTATTTGTAGTTAAATCATGTCAAGATTTATGTTAGTTTGTTCATTAATTTCTCTGTGTAAATGTAATATTTATTTTATTATAATTAAAGATAACAAATTTATCCATAAATTTTGATTTAACTTAAATTTTAGGAATTTTTTGTTTTGAAAATTTGATTTTGGGTTAAATAACAATAAAAAAATTTAGAGTTAAGTTGAGGTTGTTTTAGGTAATCCAAACCTTATCCAATTTTATATATATTAAAAATTATTCTTATTTAATTATTTAATTTTATATTTATATTTTAAAAAATAAAATATTTTATTAATTTCGAATTTGATCGGATTCAACACTAATAATAATCTATTTCATCCTAATCTATTACCATCTCAAATATATAATTTTCACTTGTAAAGTAATAAAAATATTAATGATATGCGTAGAGAATAATTTTTAAAAAATATATATATAATTCAAGACACAGATTTGTACCACATACTTGAATTTATTTCCATTATTAGATTCAATATGAAAGAGAAACATGAGGCTCATAGTCTCATAAAACTTGAAAAGAAAAGCGTCGAAGCCACCCAAATTGGGAGCTCTGAATCAAAATTTATTACTCCATCGATTAACGTACCAGTAAAGGTAGTATAAATATAATAAATATTTCAAATATAATTTTCATTTAATATAAATTGGTTATAAATAAATGCAAGACAATGATGGGTCATCTTCTACGATTAAAAACAGTGTCTCGGCTCGGTTCATGGCGGTCCCCTCCGTAAGTGACCGAGCCAGTGTCTTACGCCCAACGGCTCGTCCTTCCATCTCTTCCGTGTCCACCGCATCGCTTTCAGTTTTTTCTATGGTTTTTATTCATTATAATAAGGCCCATGTTATCATACATGATATTATTGTACACATTGAAGTTTCCATTTTAAATGTCCTTTTTAACGTACTATTGGGCCTTAATTATTTGTACACATTCAAAATTTTATGCATATATGATATATACAGACCGAAGGTTTTCAAATTTTTTGGGAGCTAAGCCCCCTAAGGCTTTCCATTATCATAAGCTGCTTTTGCATATATTTGTATTTGACAGTTATTTTTAAATTCAACTAATGTATCAATCAAAATTTTTTATTTTATACAATATAAATACTAAATTTTTAATCTAAAATTTTTATCTATATCTATGTTATTTTCTAATTTAATTGTGCATCATTTTTGTTACATTTTTTTATTAAAGGTTACCAATAAATAATTAAAAATATTTTGAATATTTAAATTTATTTGATATGTTCGGTATCATATAATTTTAATTATATTATTGTTATCTCCTATAAATCTTTAATCTCTTATTTATAAATATGGACAATCAAATACTATCATTCTATGTTTTATTTTGTTTTAATTTTTTATTTTTTTTTATTTCAACCTCTTTTATTTTTATCTTTAATTTATCCGTCAAAATATAAACAAAAAAAAAAAAACTTTACCTTTGTATTCAACTGCTTTTTTGTTTTTGTATTTTTTCAAAAATACCCTTAAATCATTTTTTAAACCATGGGAGACTTCATTACTATGCTTCCCATACTCTATGCTCTATGCTGATGAAATTCACTCTAAGCCAAAGGAATTAGCAATATTTCTCATGGTACAAACAAACTGATCTACATTTACCAAAAAGTTGAGCCAAATCTATAATATCCAAAACCATTCCCCTACCATTCATCCCAATACGAATCACCTGCTTAATTTGAGAATTTCAGCATCATCTCCATGGTAAATGATCATTCAATCCAAATTCAAGTGTTTCAGCATGTATAGGAGATGATAATCATTGATCTTTTTTATGCATTGGGTTCAGCTTTTAAAAAAATTGAGAATTGAAAAAGGTCAAATTGTGTGGGAATCTTTTTAATCAAAAATCAGAAAAAAAAAAAGGTGGAAAGAGTACGTTGAAATCACAATGTTAACATAATTCAACTCAACGTTGAAAAACACAAAAAGCAAATCACTAAAAAGTCAAAACCAATCACAAAAGCACAACAATTAAAGTAAATAAAAATTAAATAATTATGTCAAGCTTAATAAGATATCTTCGTGGAAAACCCAAATTGAAAAACCATTTCTTTATTTTTTTTTAGGTAGTAATGTTTTATAAAGAAAATAAATAAAAAAAATCGTGGAAAACAAGAGCCTTGAGGAGACCGTGCCCAACCCAACAAACTTCTTTTCTTCTAATCTCAACGAACTATACAGTCGTAACTGTACGATTCTAGTGTGATTTGAAACTTTTTTTTTTAATAAAAAATTATCTCACTTTTAAAATTAGAATAAGTTATTTTTCTTTCTCCAAAATTAAAATATATTTTTTTAAATTTCTTTTTTATTATTAGACCGGACAAGCTCAGCGACGTTGCTTTCCCTATACTTCTATTGGCTGAGAAGTAATCTCTTTTCCAGAGCAACAAACTCTCTCTCTCTCTCTCTCAAAAAAAAAAAGACATTAGCTCATTTTTCTAAGCTTGACCTACCTGACCGCCATTAAAAAAACTAACCGAAGTTTCTCTGAAGACTTTTTGAAGCTGTTAGACTCAAAATTGGGTTGAATTAACCAAGTGGGTACTTTTATTTTGAACGAATTTAAGTGGGTATTTTTCAGAATTTCGAAATTGGGTGGCTTTTCTTTTTTCCCCAAGGAGCCAAACGCAAGCACGATGGCAACCAGATCCAATGGAACGGCGTCAGACAGGGGCGAAGTTGAGGTACTCGAATCGCTCCAATTTACAGACGAAATTCAGCATTTGATGTCAGCTCCGACAACCGACAATGCGGGTTTCTTCACGGCTTTGCTAGAACTCCCGGCTCCACAAGCTGTTCAGCTTCTACACTCTCCTGAGTCGGCTAAGCTTATCGCGGCTCCAGTTCCGAACGTTGAAGATTTCAAAGGCAGCTTCCATTTTCCTTCTAATAGTGGTTTGATTGAACGAGCTGCGAGGTTCTCTGTGTTTGCTGGAGAGGGTAACAACAACACTAAGAAGAGCAACTCCCCTGAAACGACGTCGAACATTTCAAGTGCGAATCTTGAGAAGGCGGTGAAGAGTGAGCCGGCGGAGAGCGAGTCATCTCAGCCGTTGGTTTCTGATCCAACGGTGGAGAAGCGGAGTATCAAGAGAAAGGACCGAGAAAAGAAGGTGGAAAACTAAAAACAAAAGAAGATTGTGATCTAGGGTTTCTGGGGTTTTCCATTTTTGGTATGATTTTGATTAATTTGTTTTTGAGGGTTTTTAGGTCAAAGAGTCAAAGAAGAAAAGCAAAACTGCGGCGAATGAGAGTTCAGAGGATGCCGAGAAACTGCCGTACGTTCACGTCAGAGCTCGCCGGGGACAAGCAACGGATAGCCATAGCTTAGCAGAGAGAGTAATCTAATAATTTTCATAATTGACTCCTTAATTAGTTTGCTTGTTAGTATTTATTTTTATTAAGCTAATAATTTTGGTGTTTAATACAGGCAAGGAGAGAGAAGATTAATGCAAGAATGAAGCTGCTACAGGAGTTGGTACCTGGGTGCAATAAGGTCAGTTCAATTCGATCAATTGGTTGATTAATGATTTAATTGTGGTTTTGTGATTAAATTAAGAATATCTATGTGATTACGTCTTTAGATTATTTTTGTTTAGTAACCATTTTGTCCTTGTCACCTTTTACACAAAGTGGATTACTTTTGCAACAAGAAGAGTGCTGATATGGTGTCCTAATGGCATTTTGGTAATTCTAATGTTTGAGCTTTTTTTCTTTTGTGGGGACTGGGGATGGTTTGTTACAAGTCCTTTTTGAGCTTATTTTCGTCTTTTCAAATAGCAAGTGCAATTTAATTGCTAGTTTAGTAAAACGTTGTAAATTGAAAAGCTAGATTTTCTAGTTTTCATTAAATCTTTTGAATTGATGTTTGGACTTTGAATTATCTATGGAAAGGATAGTTATATTAAAATGACAATTCTAAGGCTTTGACGGCAGTGGATGAAAATTTTAGTCATGTGGAAATGCTAGCTGGACATTACCATGAAGTGTTTTGTAGACATGTCTAGTGGCTTGTTAGATTAAATGTCTTTATGTGGTCCCATTTCGTTGATGTAGAATAGTTGCTAACTTCTCTTACAAGTTCGGTATCGTTCCTCCAAGGGATAAGTAGAAAAAGGATGACAAAAGAAAATGCCTTTTGATATGCCAAATGCCTACCTAACTACATGGGGACATGATGTGATAGTCCTTAACGAATTAGTTTAATTGTTCAAAACATAATCTTGATTTATGCCTTAACATTTCACAAGATCCTTTTAACAAATGAAAAGGGGTTCTGAGTTATTTTCTGGTGCCTTTTCTTCATGAAGTGACCACAATTTAGTGAAGACTAAATGAACAAACCACTGAATAACCTTTCTTTTCTAGGACCACAAGTCATGATCTTCTTAAAACTTGAAAGGATGAGAGATGCCTAATTGTTGGAGAAAAATTGTTGATATTAATGGCTTTCAATTCCTTTTTGCATTTGCATTTGCATTGCATCCTTTGGGAGACTGGCCATCTATAGGCTTCCAGCTTGCTTTAGATTTCTATTTGGATGAACTCACTTTGGAACTTATTTTATGATGAGGCCATGATCGTGCCATCTGACCTCATGCCACGAGTTGCTCCTTTGTTTCATGTCTGTTCCATGGTTCTTGATATGCAGCCAAGTTAAAGTTATGTGAATTGTGGCTATTGTGAAAGTTTAAGTCATAATTTTCAAAGAATCATATTCTAGTTGAAGGCCCTTGTATTAAACCTGAAACTTTTATCTGCTTCCCATGGAGTTGACTTCTTACTCTTTGGCCTGTTCTTCATGCCATTCATTTACACTGTTTGAATTAACGAAGATTAAAATTTTGGATTTAGACTTTATTTTCAGTCAATGCATATGTGTAGACTGAGTGGAGCTCCTTGTTACGGCCTATACAAATGATTTTCTGTAGTTTCAAATAAGAACAATTAATGAAAAGTTTAAATGGCGGGTGTCTTCTTGTATGTTTGTTATAAAAATATTCTATAAGGAGCCAATGTCAAGAGCTTTGGTAACTACTCCTTTGTTTCCAAAGGCATTAGGTTCTAGAAGTTGACTGCTATGAAAAGGCTTTGTAGTTTGAATTTCTTTATAGAATGCATACAAAGTCAAATTAATGAAGACTTTTTTGTAATATGAGAAATACCATGTGCTGCAGATTTCTGGTACAGCATTGGTGTTGGATGAAATCATCAATCATGTGCAGTCCCTGCAACATCAAGTGGAGGTGAGAATTGTGCATCTCAAGCTTCAGTTTTATTTTTCTCAGATACCAGAAGGTTTGAACTTGTAAGAATATGGGTTCAAGATGTGTTCTTAAGCATTACAACTGGACTAATAAGGTGTAGGGAAAGACATAACTTGGCCACTGGATGGGCCCCTACTGAAATCACTACCTAAAATTTTTTAAAATTCTTTATCATATGGGTTTAAAAAAATATTTAGTCTTTATTTGTTCCAAAATCACTTTCAAATGATCTTAGATGTCAAGATGGCTTGAGATTTATCATCTTACATATTTACCAAGAGTTTCAGGTGGATTTAACCAATTTGTAGGAGGGCCCTTGTTGGAGCGATTCTCCATGTTCTGCAACCCTTGCAATGTTGATTTTTCTCTTGGTTCTTGTTGTGGACATCCTTTTCTGGCTTAACGAAAGCATTTCCATTGCCTCCCAACCATAACAGGAAAAAAATGCAAAATTAATCTAAGATCCCAATTAGCTGGCATGTCTTGTTATATGATTAGTTTTACTTACAGTATTTTCCATCTCCATGGTCTGACTCTGGTAACATATTCCTTTGGTTGCAGTTCTTATCAATGAGACTTGCAGCAGTGAACCCAAGAATTGATTTCAACCTTGATAGTATATTCACTGCAGAAGTAAGTATCAGGCACGTTTTGTCTTATATGTCTAGTCTGGATTAGGGAATTGAAAGTTCTTCTGGTGATTCTACCAGTTCATGTGATAAGTTGCTCTGCAAAGATTTTAGCCTTCTATAGCGTTGGTGGGAATTAAGCTACTGTTCTATTCCTCTAGAGCAATTTTATGACAGAAGTTTCTTGAAAAATTCTTTTTCATTCCAGGATTGTTGTTTGTGAACATGGCATATAGATTGGTAAAGCCTAAACAGGTGTATGCTTTATTTTATGGCTTCTTCCACTGGATTCCTACACAGTATCATAAAGGACCGTGCCTCATTAATATTTGGAGGGCAGTGGATCATGTCTGGACCACCGTCTTCCATCTGCCTATTTATGTTTTCAGCTGTTTGTTAAGATGTGAATGGGAAAAATGGTTGCTAGCTGAATTTAAATGTTGTCATTTCAATGGAAAATTGGAATGGTGGGTCCATCCATGAAGGCCCATGATTGCAGGAAATTATTGAAATTCATGGGTCTTCAAATGACTTGCAATGCTAGTTAGCTGAATGTGTTGAATGAAAATTACTGAAAAGATGCTACTAAATTTCCCTTTAAGTGAAAGGACTATATAATCTATTTGAGTACTTTTGCTTGTCATGTAAATTGGTAATTAAATGAAGCCTGTGAACTAACTGTATAATAGATTGTGTTGGGTATAAGCATCTATACGATGCCCCGTTTACACAGTTTTCCATCAAGTTTCTCTTCTTAGGGCAAGATAATAGCTATAGGTTTTAGTTACCTGAAAATTTCCTCTAACATGTCTGATCATCTTTTAATATGTGTAGAGTGGATCTATAATAGACTGTAACTTCCCTAGCATGGTTATGCCTATGATGTGGCCTGAGGTTCAAGTCAATGGAAACAGACAACAGTATCAGCAGCAATGGCATTTTGATGCACTTCAGCAGCCTGTTTGGGGTAGAGAAGAAGTCTGCAATAATTACATTACTCCAGAGAACTCACTTTTAAGTTATGACTCCTCGACAAATTCAGGTAGATAACAAAAGAAACTAGTGTATTTGCTTTCTAGTATATATGCAGAATCACAACATAACATTTGAAATACTGCTTACTTTCAAGTTTCAACTTAAACAAAAAATAGTAAGGCTTTAACTTTTCCCTTGGTTTAAATGATCAATGGACAACTAACAAATTATTGAGTTCAGGCATTTAGGCCGCTGTTGATAAGTTACCTTGCAGATTCCATTCATTCAACTGATTTTCATTTAATAAGTTGAACAGAATTTTGGTGAACAAATGGCATTGCAAATTATGGACTGTTTGAGATTTTTCTTTTGTTGTTAAGAGGGGTGTTTAATGATTTGATTGTACTGCTCAAGGTTTTAAAATTTATCCTATAATTACTTGATGTAGAGAACTTCATTTCCTTGTTAAGAATTGATGTAAATCTTGTTGTCAGCTTCCAGATGTTTGCTGCAAGAAACTTTTTTCAAGTTTGATATTAGTCATTTCAATTCATATCTTTCCTCTAATGCCTAGTAAACTGAGAACGATACTAACTTCTATTGCAACTTTGGTGCAGTTACGTTGCACTCAAATCAATTGAAAATGGAGCTATGAAGTCTGAAGAAGTTCCAACGGTTAGATTTATGGAAAAATTGTTCTAGTGCTAGCTAGTATTGTACATATCAAATATTAGAAATTAGGAGGTAGAGGAGAGGCCTCACCATTTATCTCTGTGTTCCCATGTCTTCTGTTTACCTGAGTCAATTGGAAGACTTTGATTTCTCAGGACCGGAGGCAGGAAATCTCAGTATGTTGTTATTAAATATATATATCTTACTATATATACTAACTCAGAGTCATTCAATCTAATACTTCATTTGCGAGGTTGATTGATTCATATTGTAAAATCATAGAACGAACTATGATTAAACTATTATCGAAGTCGGCTTCTTTTGTTCAGTATATAGATTATAGGCTGTCTGTCATCTTTTTCTTTCTATGTTGAAGACATAAGAAGCTTTTTATTGATTGTTAAACCATATATATTCCTTCTCACCTTGATATCATTTCAACTATGGATCTTTATTGTTATGCTGGAAAGTAATACTCTACTATGTTGTGGCTGAATTTTGCTTCGACGATGAACTATCAAAAGGGTTCCACTGGCCCCTGTTTTGTCCAATGCTTTATGTATAACTTGATAGCAAGGGTGACATTTACAGCTGCGATTCCAATGAATCAATTCTCATTCTCCACTTTCTCCTGTGTCTCTAGCCTTACATGCATCATAGTGAAAAGGAGTGAAAAGGAAAAGGCTGTCAGAAAACCATTGCCAATCCTACCAAAAAAGCCCCAGTGAACAGAGAACTCCATTATTGTGCTAGGCGTCAACAGTCCCGATTGGCCCAAGTCAAACCCATTGCGTCTTAATTTGGTTTTGCAATTTCTATTTGTTGAAGGAATTAAAGATTAATAAATTTTTTTTTTTTTGTTTCGTCTTGGACTCTTCTTTGCTCTACGCATTCCAATGGTTACATTATATTAATTAATAGTAATATTTTAACTCCATGTTGATAAAGTCTAGATTTCGGTTTTACAAATGAGTTAACCAAATAAAAAAGCAAGCAAGAAAAATGGCTGCTCCAGCTCCAGCTCCCCAGCTAACAGTTATCACTTTCCTGTTCCTCCTCTCCACCATCATCCAATCCCATCGTTCCACCTACACCACCATCTCCGTCACCGACTTCGGAGCCATCGGGGACGGCAAACACTACGACACATGCGCCATCCAATCAGCGATCGACAGCTGCCACGCCTACTCCACCACCTCCAAACCATGCTATGTAGCCTTCCCGTCAGGCACCTACCTAACAGCCACCATCTTCCTCAGATCCAACGTCTTTTTAAACATCCCAGAAGGCTCCACCATCTTGGGTGGGACCAAATTGGAAGACTACCCAAAAGATTCGGATAAATGGTATGTGATATTGGCAGAGAATGCTAGCGATGTTGGGATAACAGGTGGAGGGGTTGTGGATGGGCAGGGATTGAAGTTCGTGGTGAAGTTTAATCCAAGGAAAAATGTGATGATGAGTTGGAACCAGACCGGGGCTTGCTTAGGCGATGAGTGTCGGCCGAGGTTGGTTGGTTTTCTTGACTCCACCAATGTTAGAGTTTGGAATGTTACCCTCAACCTGCCGGCTTATTGGTGGTTAGTCCCTCTGCTTTACTTATCTGTTTCTAATTTGCTTTCCTGCTTTTTTCTTTTTAGTCAACTTGTATTCTTTTTTACTTAGTGATTTCAATATTCAAATGAAGAAAATTACACTAATAAAACTGTAAGTTCTAAAAATCTCTAAGGATCCGTGAATTTCATTTGTGAGTCGTCGGCTTGTCCTGCTTTAGAAATGAGATAACTTCCCCGATCCTAAACTTTTACAAACCCAAAAAAAAATTATTTCATTTTTTCTTTTATTTTGTTGTAGATAATTCATAATTGTTTGCCATAACTAAAATTTAAACCAACAAACAATGGTGGGTTGAAATCCCATAGCCTTAAATATAAAAAAATAAAACATTTATAAACTGCTTCAAACTTCTCCAATTCCAAATTGCTTGAGGCTGTCTTGCTTAGGGTTTAGGGATTTAATACTCTCTAAAAATAGTCTACCACATTTGAGCTAGGTTATCCTTGATGTTAAGACTAAGATCTGATCATAAAAAAACACTAGTATATTAAAATAACAAAGGGTATCTTTCAAACCCCCATTAAATATAGAGTCAAATCTTCATTTTGTTGATTCGTTTACATGTGTCAGAAACATATTGGCTTTGAAGCTTATTCTTTTCCCTTTCCCTTTACATAATTCCTTTATACATAATTTTGTCTTGAATCTGAACCAATCCATTTTCTTCAACTTGAAATGAGACTTCCATTTGATGGATAGTCGCAATCCATGACTGACACATTGCATGTGAGCCTTTTATAGTTATAATAATATACAGATACATATACATGTAATTTAGTAATCGATTGAGAGTTTTGACAATATTGCACGCATTTGCATTTTAGCTTTTATCCTCACTGTCATGGGTCATGGGTCATGGCTCTGTTCTCAAAGGACCCTTCTACAGGATGGTGACTGCTGGCTTTTCCATTGTTGCTTGTCTGGATAACTCTGAACTTTTCTTGACATAAAAGCCCAAAGTTTCTGTTTTTCCTTTCTTATTGGTGCCTCATTTTCTGTTATAATTTACACCCTTTTTGTTACTAATACTAGTGTTTTCTAAAAGAGAATTGATAATTTGTCTGATATTTATTAGTTGATATTGTACTATTTTTTAAATAGGCACATTGCCACAACTAGTAAATAGATCAAACGTTAGGGTATTTAATTTTTTTGTCTACTTGGATACTGTGGATAATAAATCTCTCCCATTTTAACATTTTCCATTTTTTCCATGGAAAGCATCTTGCAATAGAAGATATGATTCCGAGATACAATTTAATATAGTTCCAAGTTACAAATTCAATGATTTAAGGGTGGCTACTGGCTAGCATAGGACAAGACTAGTTGCTGACAACCAGGTTTTACGTAGTTGTTAAATCAGATAATCTGATACCATGTTTCTGGAGTTACTTTTATTTGTTTTTATTTAAAGAAGGATCAACTGAATATTCATTGATCAAAATAAACTAAAAGTACATTTTGAGTTGGGAGTATAGGGAATAAATTGTTGCCCAAGCAAAAAGATGTAGGGAATGTTGGATCTACCAATTTATGTTATGTAAAATTATTCATAAATACAATGTTTAAATTTAAACCAATGATTTTTTTCACATCAGCAAGGACAAAATGGCAGGGTCAAATAGCACTACTCCTTTTAAGAGTGTTTAGAATGGTTTTAATTAATTGCTTGGTACAGTGTCTGTTGCTTAATATCCAGCCATTGCAAAAGGAAACAAATAATGAAACCAGAAAATTGGTGTTAAAAAGGGCTCACGAAATAAGCAAGAAACAGAGTCACTCCATTTATCGCATTTAAAAGATGAGGATTTTTTTTTTTTTGTTTAAACTAAAATGATTCATTCTGAAAGGAAGGGGAACCATATCAGTTGGTTGAATGGTTTAAGCAGGACAATTCTATTAGATTCTGAGTGAATTTTTGTATGTCATTGAGTGGTTTTATTATTGGGGTATTAGAGCTATGGATTCTGATTCATGTCCTTCAATCCATTTAAATTAGTTAAATAAAGCAACTATCTTGATCAACGGTGTTTTTCTGTTTCTTCTATTCTTTTAACTTATCCTTGTATTCTGATGAAGAATTTGGATAAATGCAGCTTGCACATAGTTCGATGTGAAAACACATCAATTCATGATGTTTCAATATATGGAGATTTTAATACACCTAACAATGATGGAATAGACATAGAGGATTCAAATAATACAGTGATCACAAGATGCCACATTGATACTGGAGATGATGCCCTATGCCCGAAGACATCCACTTCTCCCCTACATAACTTAACAGCCACAGACTGCTGGATTCGAACAAAATCTTCCGCAATTAAACTTGGAAGTGCCAGTTGGTTTGAGTTCAAGAATATGGTCTTTGACAACATAACTATTGTAGATTCTCATAGAGGGCTTGGATTTCAGATACGTGATGGAGGTAATATTATCTGGTTTTGCACGAGGCTTAGTTTGTGAACATGAAACATGTTTCGGTTTTCTATTTGCCACAATGACTTGGGATTTATCTTGTGCAGGAAATGCAAGTGACATTACTTTCTCGAACATAAACATCAGTACAAGATACTATGATCTGTCATGGTGGGGGAGGGCAGAGCCAATTTACGTGACAACCTGCCCACGAGACTCAAACTCAGCAGAGGGTTCAATCTCTAATTTAAACTTCATAAACATCACTGCAATTTCTGAAAATGGTGTCTTCTTATCAGGTTCCAAAGGTGGACTTCTAAGGAATTTGAGATTCATTAACATGAATCTAACTTACAAAAAATGGACAAATTATGTTGGCGGGTTGGTTGACTACAGGCCTGGATGTCAGGGACTTGTGAATCACAGCACAGCTGGGATTATCATGGAACATATTGATGGGTTGGATGTTGAGAATGTAAATATGAGATGGTTCGATGGACGAACATTGCAATGGGATAATCCTTTGGACTTCAGGCCTTTAACTGTGAATAATATTTCTTTGCTTAACTTTCATTCTGGTTTCTACAGACAGTGACAGAAAGATTGGAGGCTAATTCCCTTTGCTCAATGTCATTCTTTGATGGAAATAAGGTACGGGTTCATGATTTTTATGCCAAGTATGTGTAGACAATACCATTTGATGAGTGGTTTTGCTTGTAAACTCTTATCATCAGAACAATTTAAACGAAATCATTTCATTAAAACTCTTTTCATTATTTCATACGTTTAGTTTAGTTTTGGTCTTGGAAGATGAAGTTACTTGAAAAATTAACTGCCTTTTCCCATTATTACCCCAAAGAAGCATCAGTTTCATTTTCATTCAACTTCTTTACCACCAGCCAACTAACTGTCACTACTTTCCCTCCAGACCCACAAATTCTTTTAACTACCCTATGCTACAACGGTCATCTGAAAGAAGCTTTACTAGAAATGGCGGTTCAAGCCCTTGAAATGAAGTTTGAAAGCTACAATATGTTATTAAACGCGTGTATAAACAAAAGGTTATTTAGAGAAGGCCAAAGGGTCCATGCCCATATGATCAAAACTCGATATTTATCGCATGTTTACCTTATAACTAGGCTGAACGTGTTTTATAGCGTCTTGGAGGAGGTGAGGTATGTGCTTGATGAAATGCCTGAGAGGAATGTGGTTTCTTCACTTCTTGGACTGCTATGATTTCGGCTTATTCTCAAAAAGGGTTTGCCTCTTAAGGCGTTGGATTTTTTTTTTACAGATGTCAAGGTATTTTATGCTAACATGACTTTACATGTAATACGGTTTAGATCGGATTAAATCCGATTTACGTTTAAAATTTAAATGCGAATTTCAACTCAATTCACACATTTATGTTATGATTTTATTGAAAATTTTTTATATTAATATGTTGATATTTATAATTAAAATTGAGTAAAAATATATTATTTATTAATATAATAATATTTTCGAGTTTAAACATAAAAATTCGTTTGCAAAGCTGGACCCACGACTGATTGCTGGCTTTACACAACTCTTACACAAGCCCATTTGCCCAAGGGAGCGTTGTTAAAAACCAAAAAGGCCCAAAATGACACGACGTCGTGCAAGAGCAATTCCACTCTGTCATGACGCTCCCTTTTAACTAGCCAAACAAAACCCCCAGCACTACGAGACCCCAAATTCCCTCTACATTACCTTTCGGGCTTCAGCCACCGCCACGATGACCTTGACCAACATGCTTCGCCAGCGCCTCTTCTCCCGAACATTCTCGTCCCACTCCGGTCCAAGCCGCTGGACGACGCCAGGCCACCAGGAGCGACCTAATGGTTACCTCTTCAACAGGACCCCACTACCTCCAGGCCAATCCCGCAAATGGGAAGATTGGGAGTTACCTTCCTACATCACATGCTTCCTCACCATTGTCATCCTTGGTGTTGGCCTCAACGCCAAGCCTGATCTTTCTATTGAGACTTGGGCCCATCAAAAAGCCCTCGAAAAACTCGCCGCCGAATCCGAATCATCTTCTTCTTCTGACTGAGCTGTTTTGGGTTCAAACTTCAATCTGGGTCTGTTGGGTACGGATCTTAGGAACTCTTATGATTTTCTATTGTTGATAAAATGTGTAGCTCAAATAAAAAACTGTTCTTTTTTAATCGTTGAAGGATTTGTAGTTGTTAAATCTTAATGGGTTTTTAATTGGATTCATGCTTTCGCTGATGATGAAGTCATTGGCTGATTTGGGATCACAATATAATATATACTGTTTGAGTTTTAATGGCTTTTGAGTTTAGTTTGCTTAACCAATTGTGTGCTGTTCAAAAGAAATTGAAAATAGATTAGGGGTAATTGGCCCTGTATTAAAATGCCAATGCATTTATGATATCCTTATAAAAAAAATGGATTATCTTATAAATATTGTACTGTGTAAGTTTTATTTCTTAGTTCTTTCGGTAGGTTCTAGGAAAATATCAGCTCTTTAGAGGTTCTTAGAGAAAGAATAATCCACGTTCGACTTGTGTTAGCCTGTGAAGAAAACGAGTATGTAGTTACCGTGAAGGATTGAGGATGATAGCCTTTACATAAGGATATTATTAGTGAAACAAGGGTTATGAGTTGACCACATACGGATGTGGGGTGGGATATGTAAGAATGTTAAGATGTTCCTGTTTAGTAGATTTAGACGGTATGCAAGTTTCTTTCTCCGTGCTTTTAAGGATTGATTCTTAGGTCAGAAAGAAGGGGAAAAAACAGAATGATTCATGGTATTGTTATATTAAAGGCCTGTATTAGTGTTGAGCATGTAATAGTTAGTATCAGGATTGCAATTCAGTTGCAGAGTGAATGAATGTGTTGATTGATAAAGTTGTGGTTAAGGATCTAAGAGCAGGGATGTTGTTAATCAACTACATTTTCTTGAATAAAACTTGTTCTTGTAAGTTTTTTAGTTTGTTTTCCACTATATATGTTGTCTTTAACACTGTTTATTTATAATGAAAAGTCTAGAACACTCGAAATTCTGTCTCATCCCTGCGAATGGACCTTTCCATATGGCTAAGGCTCGTATTCTAGGCTAAAACATTTTCTCATTAACCATCTGTTTGTTAAACTTTATGCATTTTTTGTCTGACGCTTGATAGTCACTGCCATGGTTTCCAGTCTGTTTCTTGATAGAATTGTGATTGAGAATATGGGAACGCGGATCTATTAAATTTTTTCAAAGAAGTCTTGCCAGCTTAAGTTGCATGTTCTTGGCTAAAACCATTTTACATCTGGTTTAGAAAACTACAGATTCGTTTCCAGCACCATTGCAAGTCTGTTGCAGTGTATAGGATTATAATTTTTTATAGAGTTCTGATCAAAGAGGTGGTATTTGTGATGGGAAAGTTTCTTTATTTTTTTGTGAATTTTTAACGTTCATTAAGTATGATCATGCAATCAGGATATTTTCTTTATATTTCATCACATAGCCAAGGTTTTAATCGTATTTGTTGATACCATTTCTTACTGTAGTTGTCATTGAGACCTCTGCTTGCTTGGGATCATTAGGACATGTTTTTTATATATGAATTATTCCTGGTAGAAGTATCATCCTTATTTATGTTGTTTGCAACATGGAAGATAAATTTTTGCCTTCCAGTTATTTTATTGTGGGAAAGTTAGTACTACCTGAGAACTATAACCCTTTGCCCTTCAGATAACCAAACCATCTCCACCTTCCTAGCTGCCCCCTTTCTACCTCCATCTCTTTTCTCTGTCACACAATTCTGTAGTTCCCAGATTTCTTTCTATGCGTATGATGCAAATTTCTTGGTACTCTGTTGTCATCTGTGGAGTCATCTCCTTAAGTTCTGTTTATTTGAGTGTAACTTCCTGGATTATGGATGTTATTTTACAACTACAGATTATACATATCGTTAACAAAATTATGTTTACTGGAAGTCTGGAACAATGGAAGGCAAGTCACTAATTTGTGTTTCGTATCCTCCAACATCCATCGCTATATAATTTAACCACGTTAAATATTAATTTTCTTGTGCAATGGAACATAAAACACTTGAGCGTTTTCTTTATTCAATCAAGTTAAATGGAAAATGCTGACAACATAAACAAGGAAATAAACGTAAGAATATTTGAGCCTTGTGTCTGTGTTGTTTCCTTTGTCCCTTGAGTCAATGAGATGGTTTTATGGTGATACTGTGCAGCACAGCAGTCTCGACGGTAAGACCTGGCCCGAATCCTAAAAGAACACCCCACTCTAACGCTTCACCTGTGGTGGCTTTCCCTTCCTCCACAGACTTGTTTCCCATCCCATCCAATACAAAGAACATGCTTGTGTCACGGTTTCAGGAAGGAGTCATAAATCTCACATTGATTATATGTAAAAGTTGTTAATAGGATATAAGAGTTTACACTATTTTCAATTCGTAAAGTATTTATTTAGATAAAATCGTGAGGTCAAAAAAACCGAAATAAGAGTTCACACTACTTTCAATTTGTAAAGTATTTGTTTAGATAAAACCGTGAGGTTAAGAAAATTGAAATAAACAATATCTTACAAAAATGTGAATCATAACAGTTAAGTTGATTTGAGACATCAGATAAGTTTATGTATAGATCTTGAAGTTACACGAACCTAAAGGTTAAGTTTTGGCCCGTAACAAGTGGTATCAGAGCCAGTTTTGGTTGATTATGGGATATAAGATTCACACAAACTTCAACTTGTGAGGTCATTTTTATGAGACAAAATCGTGAGGATAAGGAGATCGAAGTGGATAATATTTCGGTGTGAATCGTAACAGTTAGACTGATCTGAGACATCAGATAAATTCATATCCAGGTTTTAAAACTGCACAATCCTAGAAGTTACAATCCTGGAAGTTGAGTCTCAACCTTGACACTTGCACTTGACATGTTGCCATACTCAGCACATGATGTGTCGCCGTCAGTTTGTGTTTTTGGAGACTTAGTTTTGCCTCTAATTGGTCAAGAATTTTCCGGCCAGCAGCACAGAAGATTGAGTCCCAATTGGTGATCATCCCAACCTGGGAAAGTGCTTCAGCAATGTTCTTCTCTTTATTGTTTGAGATCAATGTTGGTACATATTCAGATAACTGTACAGTTAGGCCAGCTTCACGTAAATGTGCCTCAACGGAAGCCTCTGAATCAGGTAGAATGGTCTGAGAAGAGAAAACCAGTTGGAATAATGGACGTTCATGACGGTATCAGGATCAGCGCCTACGATAACAGCTCCAGTGCCATCACCGTAAAGCGCCGAGGCCACCAGGTAGTCCTGGTTGGTATCAGACACCCCACGGAAATAATAAGCTGAGATTTCGGAGCACACGAAAAGAACACGTGCACCTTTGTTATTCTCAGCTAAGTCCTTGGCGAGACGGAGTGCTGTGCCACCAGAACCTTGGTGTTAAATCACCATCCTTTAAACCGAAGGACTAAAGAGCAAGGAGCTTGGTAAGTTGGTAGTCAGCACCAGCAAGCCTATGCTTGAGCTGATGCAAAAAACGAGGTGGGTGATCTTGGATTTGGGCTGCCCCCATTCTTCGATAGCTTTTGCAGCTGCTTCTTTGCCTAGTTTAGGTACCTCCAGCACGGTTATGTCTTGGCGACCGTCCAGCTATGGAGTCATGCAGCCACACATGCTTGGATTTTCCTTCGACATTTCTTCTGTCATGTAGAAGTAACGTTTCTTGATCATTGATTTGTCACCTGTTGAATAATCAATCAAAGGCAAACGACACAACCATTACTTTAATTCAGAAAAGAACAGAAAGAAATGGGAGACCATAACTACTCAATTTTTTTCATGCATTTGAGCTTTTGAAGACCAATTTATGTATGTAATTAATAATTAGTACATATTCGCTTGAATTTTTGTTTGAGCTCAGTCAAGTAGATGCTATTGGTGACGCGAAAGTAATAGTTGGGATAGTCAGACTGGGAGATGCAATAGGGTGGTGTGGCAGTGCTAATTGATAGGATGGTGGTGGCTACACCCTCGGCTCCCTGGGCTTTTCTAATCTCTTCAACCTTTGCCATTGCCATTAGTATACACTGGTTGCTGAGTACTTGTTCTTAGTTTCGGTCTTAAGGTAAGGAACATATGATATAAAATATATATATATATATATATTGATAGAAATTAGAAAGTATAAGTAAAAGACAGAACTATAATTAGTAGTTTGATTAAAATATATGTCAAATTATTAAGATTTGATTAACTACCTTCTACCAATTCCTCCAAACATTTATATCATTTCGAATCACTCATTCATTATTATATAGTATACATAAAAAAAAAATCAAATTCCTTATGCAAGAATTAATAGAATCATTAATTAATTACATTATATATTTTTCTAAGAAAAAAATTATATCTTAAAAATGCAAAAAATTTTACTTGTATTAATGTAAATCTTACATTTATTTCAACTTTTAAATTACAAATAAATAATTAAACAATCACAAGTTTTAACTATTGAGATAGTCTATAGACTTTCCTTTTGTTTAATTTCTTCAATAACAATATATTAGATGTTTTGTTGCTGTGATACAAAGATAATATAGTTAATTTATGAAATTTATTTTGGCCTCACTATAAAGTGAAGTAAAGGAATATGATCATGTTGGCATGTCCACCGATGTCTATATATGCATGTGAAATCAAATCAAAACAAATATTTTTATAATATTCCGCTATATGAAGAATGAATTCCAATTCCTACTTAACTTATAATATATGAATTTTCTTGTAATTATTTCCGAAGAAAAGGTCATGGTTTTACTTTTTTTTTACATATGAAGAAGTCGTATAAGAGAAAGAGATTTAAACGGGTTCGTAGGGATTATAAGCTAGATTCAGTAGATCTAAAGGAAGTATTAATGAAAGCATTGGTTAAATCCAAGAAATCATTTTTTTAAATAATAATACAAAAAAAGATGATGATCACTAAGGATTATATCATAATTTGATATGGTGTATGTATAAAGGTGAACCAATATAATCTTTTACATCTCTATAATGTTAAAAGATTTTATATGCTAATTGGCCCCCTGAATCGTTTCTTAATTTAGGCAGCTTAAGAGGCAATTCTTCATTTTATATGCTTAAAAGGCACATTTGAAGCCTCGGTCCAGTAGATTAGCGGTTGGTCATCCTCTCCCCCTCCTCTTCCTTCTCCTCTTCTCTCTCTTTTTTTTTTTTTTTTAATTTTTCTTTCTATTTTGAATTTAAAAAATGTAGATTTTAAATTCAAAATA